CCCCAGCATGGACCCTGGTTTTACTGCCCTTTGGGGATGATAATTAAATCTAGAATCAGGAGATTCAAATTCTCGAATTACAGCTCAAGCTCACCAAACTAGGGTCCATGGGGGGGAGTTAACATATATGTATGCTGGGAAAAACATGTTTTTATATGTTCTTATATATGTATGGCTCCGCTCCCCCGCCCCCAATTTGGTAGGACACGTATGTTCGAGACATGCCACAACTTGTCCCAAGCTTGCAGGCTGGACGCCAAATCGAGTTTGTGCGAGGGGGAGGCCTTCCACAGGATGAATATCAATGCTCCAAGGCAGTACACGTCCTTCCGTATGCTTAACATGTTTTCGCCTGGTGAAAAAGGGAACCTCTCAACTACTGTTGTTTTTTTCTGGGGGGGCTAAGCAAAATGGAAGCCTTTGCCGCCAAAGCCCTGAAGCGAAGTGGAAAATGCGGCGAGGACTTCGAGCGAAACGTCCTGCGGCGAATGGAGCCCTCCAGCCGCGCAGAACTGCTGAGGAACGCGCTGCCGGAAGGGGCCTTTTGGCCTGGAAGGGTTTCGTGTTCAGATGGCAAGGTGTCGTTTTCAGATTCCCACCTAAAACAGGGCTTGCTATGTTTCCCCTCTGCCTCGGAGTTTGGACATCAGCTTTTGGGCCGATGCTGTGTGATGTGCACGGCGGGACTGCCCCCCCAGCTGGGGGCGGATTTTCGCTGGTGGGATGGAGGGCCAATACCAAAGTCTCCAAAACACGGACGGTCATGGATCCCTTTGAGCATTTAAGCCATGATGGTCCATGGTGGATGTTTGACCATGGCTTGGTGCGCAGGCTTCATGCCAAGACGTTTGTTTGTTTGTTTCTTTGTTTCTTTGTTTCTTTCTTTGTTTGTTTGTTTATGTGGTTATGTGATTGATTTGATTTGATTGATTGATTGATTGATTGATTGATTGATTGATTGATTGATTGATTGATTGATTGATTGATTGATTGATTGAGTTGAGTTGAGTTGAGTTGAGTTGAGTTGATTTGATTTGATTGATTGATTGATTCATTGACTGATTGATTGAGTGATTGAGTGATTGAGTGATTGAGTGATTGAGTGATTGAGTGATTGAGCGATTGAGTGATTGAGTGATTGAGTGATTGATTGAGTGATTGATTGAGTGATTGGTTGGTTGGTTGGTTGGTTGGTTGGTCGGTTGGCCTGTTGGTTTGTTGTTTGTGTGTTTGTTTTGGTTGTTTTGTTTGTTTGTTTGTTTGTTTGTTTGTTTGTTTGATTGATTGATTGATTGATTGTTTGTTTGTTTGTTTGTGTGCTTGTGTGTTGTGCTTGCTTGCTGCTTGCTTGCTTGCTTGCTTGCTTGCTTGCTTGCTTGCTTGCTTGCTTGCTTGCTTGCTGCCTGCTGCGTGCCTGCCTGCCTGCCTGCCTGCCTGCCTGCCTGCCTGCCTGCCTGCCTGCCTGCCTGCCTGCCTGCCTGCCTGCCTGCCTGCCTGCCTGCCTGCCTGCCTGCCTGCCTGCCTGCCTGCCTGCCTGCCTGCCTGCCTGCCTGCCTGCCTGCCTGCCTGCCTGCCTGCCTGCCTGCCTGCCTGCGTGTGTTTGTTTGTTTGTTTGTTTGTTTGTTTGTTTGTTTGTTTGTTTGTTTGTTTGTTTGTTTGTGTGTTTGGTTTTGTTTTTTTTGGTTTCTTGGTTTCTTTGTTTGTTTGTTTCTTTGTTTGTTTGTTTCTTTGTTTGTTTGTTTGTTTATTTGTTTGTTTGTTTGTTTGTTTGTGTTTTGAATTGGTGGGGTAAGCAGCATGGGTCCTTTCTTCCTGTTATTATTTTAGGGTGCTGGCAAAAACGTTTGTTTCATGCCCCTTGATTTATGTTGAGGTGGAAACCGATTTTTTGTTGGGTGGCCCCGCAAGTGCCTTCAATTTTTACACACAAAGTTGCAGTCAACGAGGTGATTATTCCTGGGTGTCCATCTTCGATCCGTGGCTTGCCAAACACCTCCCTGAGACGGCAAATATGGGTGCCCCTGGCACGCCACGCTTGATTTTGTCAAGTATGGGAGCCTTTGAAACGTTTGTTTCTCTTGAGCCATGCCGTGCTGAGGCGGGTTTCTGACTGCCTTGTGCAGTTCCCATCAATGCTTGTTTTTGGCCTTGCTAGATGGAATTATAGGGGTCCACTTCAATGGTCGCTAAGAGGACATGTAGATGTGTATGTGTGTTTTGTTTTTTTTTCAGGTTGGGGTGGGGGGGGAGTGGACCTTTCGATTTCCTCCAGACTCTGGCAAATCAACCTCCACTGGCTACAGGCACAAGCGAGCAAATTGAACTGGACCCACGCCATTTTTCCAATAGTGTTCTCCCGGTGACGGATTGCTTTTTGTTAGGCTCAATCATGCTGTTGCTCATTGGATCCAGTAAATCATCCCTTCTGCTTTCAACAAGGCTGGAATGTGGGGTTCCTTCGGCACATACCCATATTTGATTGAGAAAAGGGTGGGACAATTATTGTGAAGCACATTGTCTATGGCAAATACTGCTTCTTAGTCTGGTTTGCAGACATCACAAAATAGATTGTATTCGGAGAAAATGCAGTTGGGTGAAATAGATGGTGCAGTTCCTCCCGTGGCTTGATCACCCCTTTACTTTCCAAGGGGATGACGCTATCTACCCTCACCCTAAAACTCCCAAACCCTAAGCCCTAAACCCTGAAACTCCCAAACCCTAAACCCTAAAACTCCCAAGCCCTAAACGGTGCAGTGAGAGCCACGTTTTTTCTGGGGGTTTTCGTGCTCTGGCCCAGGGCAACAGCCCTGCCGGCACCGCCTTCGCGAGACCGCTTGCGCGACAGATGAGTGACACCTTTGCCACCTTGCAGCTTGCCCTTACTTGGCTTCACCGTTCTGCTGGAGATTTAGTTTTGTTTGTTTTTTTGTTCGGTTCAGATTTAGTAGGGGGCTGCAAAAAACAAAGTGTGTTGCTACCATACCAAGGGTTGTGAAGTTGGGAATTCCAAAGCGGCGACTAGATTTAAGCTTGGCGTGGTGAAGCAAATGTCGAAGGCGTATGTGCTGAACAGAAAGGAAGATTCTAGTTTGGGCTTCACCAAAGCCAAACGCTGTTCAACAATTTAACTGCTTGTTTTTGGTTGGTTGGTGGCTAGCTCCCCAAGAGCAAACGGTGGCAAGCGAGCCAGTTTTGAATGACGTTTGGGCCCTTCTGGAATTCCCACGCAATGTTGTTTTCATGGAGATCGCCACCAGTATGGCTCCTTTTCGATCACCTAGGGATTACCCTCCTAAATTGCAGGGCTCCTTTTCAGCCAAGCTTGTCGATCTGCTTTCATTTGTCTAGGTCGATTTGACATGTTTTCAACAAATCCCGAGCTCAGCGCCGCCCTGAAAATCCGGAATCGGCAAGCGGGTCCCAATTGAAACCAACAAGGGCCCTGAGGCCTTAGGACCAAGGCGTGAACGAACCACCGAGGATTTCCGGCATTGGGATGTCTCAGGATTCCTACACTGCATTCCCAGCCCGCATGCAGCCGAAGTACAGTGGAGCTCACCCTATCCTTTGGGATGGTTTTGGAATTCTGGTGACATCAGGCCAATCCGAATGCATGATTGCAAAGCCAAATCACTACAGCCTGGCGATGTGTAAAATTCATGTCTGTTTCTTGAGGGTGCCCTTTCTGGCATTGGTGCAAAGGGAAGCCAAAAGGAAGACTACTTAATTCTTGGGGGGTCCCAATTTCTATTTTGACGAGCCGGGGCGAAAAACTCGCCAGGCTGAGCGAGGATTTGGCGCCATTGGAGCGGAGCATTTGGCAGCAGGTGGCCTTTGCATTCGGGGACCAGGTGAGAGCGTGACGTTCCGCCGCTTCCGCGGGTGGAGATAGGGCGGAGTGAAGCCTTGTCCATCCTTATCCATCCTTTCTGACTTCTTCGCTTCCTGGACTTGAGACTTAAGTTGACTTATAACAATACATATACGAATGTAACATTGCGCGAGAGATGTTCTAAGCTGGAGCTCGTTGTTCTTGATTGTTGGGAAGACCATTTAGCGGCAACGAGTGTTGTTTGGAACCCACTGCTCGCGGAGAAGGACATTCGGTCTCAGCATTCCTTGAATTCCCTCGGTTTTTTCTTGTGGTTCAAAACATGTTTCCACTTTTGGGGCAGGATGAGCAAGATAAGCAGACGCGTGTCAAGTGGCAAGGGCATTGGACGAGGTTTGACCATGGCTCAGATCCAGCTCGTTGCGGACGGAGAAAAAGAGCGAGTTTGCCGCACACTTTGAAGCCAATCTTCGAAAGAGACGAAAGTCATGAGAAGCCCAGTTTTAAGGGGGTTCCATTTTCTGCGAGTGGCCATGGGGAATGTAAAGCAGTCGTGCTTTGATGGGAGCACTTTGGGTATCACAGAATTGGAGTTGTCATTTCCGGAGCACCCTGAATGTGTTTTGACTAACTCAGCCATAAACCATGACAAATTGCAGCTTTCACCTGTTTCCAGGAATCCACCATCCCCAACCTTCAAGAAGGATGGACATTTGGTGCATGCACAGTTGCTTCCTGGTAAGGGTGGTGTTGCAAACAGAAATGCCGCGCTTCCTTGTTTGAGGGGTGACCTTTCCGTCATGAAGGATCAGCTGAGACGCTGTTTTGATCGAGTACAAATAATTTGGAGGGTTGAGGCAACCCCTTGCCCCGTCAACCGATGCTTATCATAGATGCCTAGAGGCCCCTCTACAAAACGTAAAGGAAAAGGCCCTGGACACTGTGGGGGGGGGGGTCCCTTTGCTTGTTTTACATGAAAACAAAGGAAAGGGCAGAGGGTCTTCAAGTATCATTTTTTAAGGTTCCCCTACTTTTGGAAGCACCCAGTGCAGTGGTCCCTAGATGTGGAGGGGATCCCCTTTTCGTATGTTTGCAGAGTCAAAAGCCACTAATCTGGGAAACCCCCATTTGTCTCCCCTCCCCCCCACCCCGACCCGAGACCTGAAAGGTGGCGAACCCTTGGAAGGGCCGGGGGCCCTAACGAAGTGTGTCGGGATTTCGCTTTTGGAGTTGGTACCCTTTCTGAAGAGACAGCAATCATGTTGGCGGCCCTATGCTAAGATGCACGCATTTGAAGGACCCTCCATCATAGAACCCATCAAAGGAACGGGTACGCCAAGCGCATTTGCTTTCATACCACTTTTCTAGCGACTAACCGCTTTGTTAGACCCCCTTTAGTTCCAGCCAAAAGCTAAACCTGGTGCCACTGCTTGTCGACGCACGGAAAGTGCAGCCAGAGGAGGGGCGTGAAGGCCTGCAGGCAGTCACACGAGCACTGGCGCAACAGCTCGAGCTGGCTTCTGATAGCATAGAAGACTGTATGTCACAGCACTTGGCATCAGCAACATCCGACCTCCAAGGGGCGCAGCAAGCAGTTTGCTGACAACTGCTGTTATTTATTAACCAGGCTCCCGCCTGCTGCCGCCGACCCTCGGCGCATTAAGGGAAAAGTCACAAGGACCGGTCCTGAAACACGTCCGCAAACCCAGGGACCACTTATAAGACCCTCTACGACCACAAACAAGGATTAACGGAAAAGTCAGAAATATGGCAGCTAGTCCGTTAATTACCGCTTGGGCCGGCTTGCGCCCAAGTCACTTCGAGTTGGCCCGGGAGCAGTCGCCTCTCCGGGGGTCGCCCTGAAACTGGCCCTCCCGAAGTTGCCCTGGACCGGTCGCCGGCAGGGACCGGGACTTGGGACCCTGTCCAGGCTGGTCCCAGTCTGGCGCGGTTTGACTCGACGTATTGGACTCTCTTGCAGAATAGATCCAGGGATCCTCTACTACCACAGGGATTAACGGAAAAGTCAGACAGATCAATAACCGCGCCGGTTTGTGCCCAAGTCACGTTGAGATGGTCCTAGAAACAAGGCCGTCGGTGCCCGCAGAAAGTGTCTGGGACCTGGGACCCTGTCCAGTGTCCTGAAACACGGGTGCCAGTCCGGAAAGGTGTCTGGAGCGGTTTGAGGTGGCATCACAGCAGTTTGAAGTGCCAGCGACCAGGACTCGATCCGGGACCAGCTTCAGTCCTGAAAGCGGTCCTGCCCAGGACTGGTCCTGGGACCGGTCCCAGGACCAGTCCCAGGACCGGTCAAACCCGGTCCTGAAACTGGTCCTGGGACCGGTCCCAGGACCGGTCCCAGGACCGGTTTTAGCTGACTACAAGTAATCTGAAACAACCGAAGTCCCAGGACTGGTCCCAGGACCGGTCCCGGGACCGGTCCCGGGACCGGTCCCGGGACCGGTCCTGGAAATCCACTTTTCGTGCGTTCGGGCGTGTCCCCCAGGGACCATCATTGATTCCAATCACTTCCAGTTGCATCCCACGCCGGTCCCCTCTGCAGGAGGCTGGGACGGGAGGCAGAGGGTCGGCGGATTTCTTTCATTTCGTTTTTGTGGGGAGAGGGGGTGGGGCGGTTGGAATTCCATTTTTTCTTTTCGGCTTCATACAGTTGTTTTGAGAGGAGCGGGTCTTCACCAGCCAGACAGCTGCTTCCCTTGGCGCAGTGTGGGCCCAGGTTGGTGTGGTTGAATAGTATTCACTTTGGATTCCGGTCTCACCAGCAAACGGTTTGCTTTCTTTCTGAGTCAGAAAGGAAAGTCGTCTTCCCCAAACAGTTTGTTCACTTTCACGCCCTGTCCAGGGGGAAGCCCCCAAAGGAACAAAGTCGTCCAAAACCCTCATGGTTCAACCCGATTCCTCCTGGATGGCAGTTCTTCGGAAAACGATCCGTTGAATTCTTGAGCTAGGCCCTTACCGCAGCGCAAGGCCCTGTTTGCCCCTGACATCCTTTAAGGAAGCATAAAGGAGGTTTCAACACAAGTGGTTTAAGCATGTCTTAGCAGATGGCTAGGCCCCACCCTAATGTTTGGCTTTGCGGTTTGTATCAAGTTTGAATATTTGCAGTTTCCCTGGAGCACCTATTCGGAAGAATTCTTCGCAGTTGTGGTTGTGTTTTGTTTTGTTTTTGCGGGGGCACTGGGACTTCCTCATTGGCCCCTTTTGTTGGTGGGGCATGTGGGGTTTTCCAAGCTGTTCGACCCCCAACGATACAGCTAAGTTTAGTAGACTCAAACGCTGTGTGTGTGTGTCCAAATTGTCTGGTCTGGTGTTTGGGGACGAGCAAATGAGCTGGAGTTGTCTAGTTTACCACATGACAACGCCAATTAAAGTGCACCCAGAAGAATAACATCAACTCAAAGGGTCATTTGGACCATACTCTACAGTGTGATCATGTGCCCCGGAATCGCAGTGCCATAGGTTTCCATTCCTAGCCTGAACTGCTTGCATACTTACATTTGGCTCAAGGCAAAAGTCCGTGGGCGGGGGCGGGTCGAATCCCTTAAGTGTTCCTCGTTTGCGGTTGCCATAGCGTACACTGGAATCTGTCACTTGACAGTTGTTTGCACGGATTGCACAACTGGGTTCAGGCGGCGGATTCTTTTGGTTATCAGCCGTGTCGCAACGGCTTATTCCTTGCAGCTTGGAACGATTACTTGATTTGGGTGGGCAGCCATAGCAGCCACACTTTATCTTATTGGGTACAGTTCAAGGGCCTTGGAAAAGCGCATCTTGTTCCTTACAGCTTGGGTCGACAACTTGATATTGGGTGAACAGCTGCAGGCGCAGCTGATTTTATTGGGTACAGTTGACGAGCTTCAAGAAAGGTACAACCACGCCCTTGCAGCTTGGAACGACTACTTGATCTTGAGTGAACAGCTACGAGCAGCACTTGGGGGTATTGGGTACTGTCGACGAGCTCTTGAAAATCCCCGATTTATATGCAATCGGAGCAGCAGCGCGACAAGCGTTTCCGGGAAAACGGGTTACCCAGGACGAGAGGCAAGAGAGCCGGGAACCCGAATCGTCCATCGCAGCAAACGCAGAGCACGCAGCGGATCGAACAACAATCTTCATCTGCAGCCTCACATCGCGGGCCATCGATCGACTTCGATCCTCGGGACTCAGACAGAGCTATCAGGACAGCGCCTTGGAGACAAACGGAATCCAGACGCGCGCCTCCAGAGCCAACTGTTTGGGAGGAGGAGGAGGAGGAGGTAGAGATCGAGGAATCTGATCAGGAGGAGGTGGAGATCGAAGAATCTGATCAGGGGGTGAAGGCGGAAGATCAAGCGGGATCTTCTGCGAGCCGGATCCACATCCGGTACCAGAAGGCCTTCGTGGAGTCATTAAAAAGACAGCGTGTTTCTGAGGGGCAGCGACCCAATTATATTCGGCAGATTCGAAAGGAGCAGGACCCACAAAAGTTTGGTTTTCTGTTGCCGGAGGACGAACATCACTGGTACTTTTTGGAGTGCTTGAATATTGGGTCGGCCAAAGAACTCACAGCTGGGACAGAGGCGAGTCCTTCGACCAGTAAGCCTGTACCGGAGCCGGCGTCAGCTCCATCGACACCAGCACCGAAGCGCTCGACGGGCGGTTTTGTGCCCGAGCCACCTGCTGAGATCAGAGGCTTCATTGAGAACATTGCCCAGAGTGCTGCAGAACACGGTGACGATTGGCAGTGGGAAGTGTATAGAAGCACAGCGTATAGTTTTCTGCATCCAGGACACAAATATCACATATTTTTTCTGCAGCAGAAAGAACGTGCGTTGTCAAACACTGACCAGACGACGTATCTGCCAACCGGCAGACACAGAGGCGGAGCGGCCCTTAGTTTGGCATCGATTGGCATCAGACTTTGGAGCGAGACAACGAGGTCTCCCCTGCGATCACAAACGCCGTCAAAGCTTTGCAGCAGGTCGCAGACGTACACATATTCTCCTATGTGGGTTCAGACACTCGATTGAGAGATACTAGGGACAAGATTGCGGCATCGCCAGTTGCTGATCTTGAGGTTCATTTCTCAAGGCGAAAATCCTGGCAATATTTTGCTATCACGCGTCAGGGGGTGGACAAGAGAACCAAGGCACAGCAGTTTTTGGATTCTGGTGGCCTGTGCCTGATTGACGATCAGGAGACCATTCTTTCTGAATTGAAAGGGAGGTGGGAACAGGCCGGACTTCCAGCAGAAGCTGCGCCGTGGGGTGTTCTTGTAGCCACTTCAAAGGACGTGGAGTTGCAGATCAAGGTCCTCACACGAAAGCTTTCGCATCAGCAGCGTGGCAATACGCATCCGAAGCCATCACAGAGAAAGGGGCTGTGGTCACAGGCAGGACAATAAATCCGTGGGAAGGTGAAAAGATGTCCGATCGGTCTCGAGATAGCCGGAGGGACAGTCGTGCAGGGATGTCAGCAATTGTCATAGGTGCATCACCAAGTCAGCCTTCCAGTTCAGATTCTAGTGGCCTCATCCAGGATGATCCCAACCATGTCGCGTTGCAATTGACTCCGTGCCAAGGGAATGATCCAAATCGTGATTCGTTGCAGTTGACCCCATCGCCTACTGGGCAGATACAAACCCCAGAGTTGATGCCGCCTCCACAATCGCCTGCTGTGCTTGGTGTTTCTCAGACTAATGTTTTGAACGCCCCGCAACAGCATAATACTGTGGAAGCCACCTTCAACGACGGTAGGACGTATCAGCAAAATGTGCTTAACCAGACCGCAGTGTTGACATATGACCCCGATCAAATCGAGGCACTTGTTAATGCTAGGGTGGAAGCAGCCTTGACAGCACAACGTGAATCTTTGAGGCAGGAAGCATTCAGTGTGATTCAAAGTGCTCAGCAAGATAGGGATGCCTGCATTCATCAAGCGCAGACCAATGCTGCCCATGAAATAGAAGCTTGTCAAAGTTACAAAGTTGCCTGTTGACTCCACCACTTGCCGGGAATTGCGTAGTGTTTTTATTGCCTCCGTGTCTCGCATCGACACTACCGATGGTGATGTGCTCGCCAAGTACGTGTCGCTGTTTCGAAGGGGGTCGGGGGAAAAGGTTCCGTGAAGCATTGCATAACTCGGTTGTGTTCACTCGGTTCAATAAGCATGTTGCAGCAGAGCTCATTCAAATTGATGATCTGGCAACAAACACCGAGTTGGCTGCTGAGTTCAGTTCCTATGTCGAATCATGTGCACTTCGTGTGCAAGGGCCGAAGGGCGCACCTCTGTTGAATTTGTTGTATCAGCATTTCTCGGTAGGCGCCAGCGGAGTTGCACTCGGCCAGATGCACTTGCTGGAATTGAAGCTTGAAGGAAACTCTCTGAGTAATGTTCAGGCATTCATCAGCAAGGCACGGTATGTTAGGAACGGACTCAAGGTAGACGATCGTCCGAGCGATGCTACAATGTTCCATTGGTTGTGGCATGAAGTCAAAAGGGTGCCATGTTTGTCAAGGATCACAAACAAAGTTCGGGATTTCGAATAGCTCACATAGACGCTCATTTCAATGGCTCTGGGATGCCATCCATGATGAGTTGAAGGAGCGTCGTGAAGACTCGAACTACGAGAACTTGACGAAAGGGTTGAAGACGGGCCCACAGGCTCCGCCTTACGGTTTAGCTGCAGGCCAAGCCGATAACCCTCGTGCTAGTTCCGCCCAGACAAACAAGGGCAACTCTGAGAGCAAGCCAAACAGTGAGCATTCCGCGGACAAAGCAGATCGGAACAAGAAGACAAAGAAAGACAAGAAGGGAGAGAAAGAGAGTCAGGGGAAACAGGCCGGACCATCAGCACTTCCAGCACAGAGCAGTGAGGGCAGCAAGGGAGAAGAATGGGTCTGTTCTTATCATGCTGCTGGTTTTGCAGATTTGGTGAAGCTTGCAAACTCTTGCATGTTGGAGAGCCTGGTTCTCAGAAGGCAAGACAAGCATTTAGTGAATCTCAGAAAGGCGAAGGGAATAAGGGAGACGGCAAGGGGAAGGAAAAGGAAAGAAGGGTGGCCAGAAGGGCGGGGCAACCGCCACAGCCCAAGCTACAGCAGCAGCAGTCGCTGCTAGTGCGCCAGTAGGGGCAGCCGCTCAAGAACTGACGCCGGGGTTCTCTCGATGGTTCCGCATGTGGGAGGCCTTTTGTGAACAGGCCAGTTGCGTGCGTTTGCCAATCCCTGCATTTCTCAGAATCACAATCCCCCTCATGATGGCGTGTGTGGATGGATTGCTAGGTGTTGATCTGCCAAATGCAAATGTTGGGTGCTTCCAGAACTTGTTGCAGAATGGCATCGAGATGCCTCAGCCTACGGCTCTTCCGGTTGGTTTGATATCCTCATCCAACAACTTGGAGGCCATTCAGGGCATCGCGGACACGTACCAGCGACTCTCGTTTGAGCTCATTGGTGACCCTGGAGCAGCGCATGACATTGGGTCTGAAGAAGCGTTGACAAGTCAGGGTTTGAGCCCCGAAGTGATCTCATCATGGAAACGAACACTTGGGAACCCGCTCAAGTTCGCAACCGCCTGTGGGGTGCAAGAGGCTCGTGAAGTCTTGTCGGGTTGGGCTGGGAACATAGGAGAGCTACTTCACTTGTTAAAATCCTGTCCTCTCACTCTCGCAATGTCCATCGGCAAGCAAATCAAAAAGGGAAGGACATTCATATGGGAATTTGGGAAGACTCCATACATAGCCTTGAATCACAAAAAGTGTCGGGTTTGGTGTCCTCTTGAAAACCGTTGGTTCGCATCACGGGTCAAATATAATGTCCCAGTGTTCAACGTGGACTTGCCTGGTTCCGGGACGGAACCGGCGTTGCCCATTGTTGATTCGCAAGACGACGTAGCCGATGCAGCGGAGCCGGACGGCACCCTGCTAGGCGCGTTCGTGGGTTCACAGGAAAGTGCACATGACAACTTGTCTCAGAACGCCACAGCAGGCGTGTCAAAGGGGGACTCGTTTACATTGCAGCCGGACGAAGAGGCTGACATGCAGCATCTGCCTTGCAATGACCATTTTGGTCACAATCATGAACCGGACGGTTCTGCAGAGCAAGACAGTAGCAAGCATGGGCGGCCAAAGCAACAAAATTTGCCAGATGCGTGGTTGTTCGATCAGAATCAGATGACATTGATCCGGATTCACAACAAGGCTAGGCGGGCTTGTTTACTCCGAACGGGGTGAAAGGGTGTCCTGTTGACCCGTCATGCATCTCGCACAAGAGGATCACCATTGCGAATTTCTCGAACGGGGAGACGCAAACGATCACACACCAGGACTACAAGAGTCCCAAGCTCAATAGTGTGCCACTCCATTCTAAGTGGACCGGACAGACGCTCTTCAAGGTATTGCACACGCCGTACGTGCCTTGTGAGGAGTCGCATGAGGACAAACCTGTGCCAAGGGGGGCTGACGCAGTGACCGAACATGCGAAAGCCGCCATCAAGGAGTGTCGGTCTGTTGCCGGAACGGCGACAGAAGAACAGATGAAGAAAATTGACAAAGTGGTAGTTCAGATTTTTGGGGAACTCCAGGAATTCCTTCCGCAGGAAAAGAACCCTTCCCATGAAGGAAGGAAAGCTTGTCGAGTTCTGCACTTTTGAGGATTCACCCTTGGGTAACACAGCTATGTCATACAACATTCCGGTGATCCGTTGCACGGAAAAGCACTTGAATGGCCTTGATGTATCAAGCTTGGAAACCTTAGAGGGAATGCTATCTTCAGGGGAAAGTCTTGACTTGTGGGGAAGCCTGCCATGCAGTCCATGGTGTGTTCTCAGAGGCACTTCCTATGGAAGTGGTGGAGCATAGTCCTTCAGAGAGAAATTCACATATCATCTACGAGGACAACGAGGCGACCGAGAAGATCGTGCGCTCAGGATTCAGCCAAAAGTTGAGACACATAACCCGTACTCTTCTTTGAGTGACGTGTTTGCTTCTCCGGGCCGTACCCTGAAACATGTGACATCTGTTGACCAGATCGCAGACGTGTTCGCGAAAGCAGTTGAGCAGCAGGGCTGGCAAAATGCTCTCAGGTTGCTCGGCATGACCACATCCGTGCCCGAGACCGTGAAGCGTTCCATGGCCGGTTTGAAGCTGCAGCAGGATCAAAAACCACAGTAAGTTTGGCTAGTGTGCTTGTAGGCCATCTTGGATCCGTGCGCAAAAGCACAGGACTTGATCGGACTCAGCATCTTGTTGAACTTGAAACGAGCGTCAACCGCTGCCGTTAGGCGCTCAGCCTACAACAACATTAGTGGTTGTGACTGCTTTGGACGCATTGACAGTTGCCACCAAGAATTTTTGCGCGAACCCAGCATACGGCTGGCAGCTCCGGCCCACTGGCAGTGTAATCGCACTGATCTACATGTAGAGAGGGGGGAGAAGAATAACATCAACTCAAATGGTCATTTGGACCATACTCTACAGTGTGATCATGTGCCCCGGAATCGCAGTGCCATAGGTTTCCATTCCTAGCCTGAACTGTTTGCATACTTACATTTGGCTCAAAAGTCCGTGGGCGGGGGCGGGTCGAATCCCTTAAGTGTTCCTCGTTTGCGGTTGCCATAGCGTACACTGGAATCTGTCACTTGACAGTTGTTTGCACGGATTGCACAACTGGGTTCAGGCGGCGGATTCTTTTCACCCTTGCTAGATAGGTTTATGAGGGCCAGTGGCCATCCCTATGTTGTGCAAAATCAGGACCAACACGTCCAGACATTCACCAATTGTCTTTGCTTAGCTGCGGCTGGACTCAACATAGCAGTTTAGTTTACCTTTTACCATCCTATTATTTTCGGAATCAATATTTCACATAGAATCCCTAAGTTCTCGAGTCAAAATAGCAATTTGTTCGGTCAGCCTGCCTTGGCTTTTCGGAATCCCACAAGAGCAGTTGCTTTCTTATCTCGGATTTTCACTCTAGCTTCATGTGGTGCTGTCTTTCTTTTTTTGGCACCCCTTCCTTTTTGGTTCGCTTAGAAGGGAAACCAAAGGACCCCCCGCAAGACAAACATACTTGCTATGCCTCTTACTGAGAACCCGGACAGATTACTTGCCACTGGTTAGTCATCATGAGCTTGTTCCCTTTGAGTGGAACTTTTGCACTTTTGGGTGACACCCCCTCTGCTCGTAGGATGGGTTTATGAATCCGGGGTTCCCGTCAACTCCGGCAACCTTCAAGTCCCCGAGGCAGTGCTTCAGCTGATTCCAGCGAAGCCTCGCCGCTGGCGATCGTGGGCCTGCGCCCCAAGGTTGTTTCTGAGGCAGAGTGTGCTGAGCGCGGCGAACGCCATGGTGTAGGTACGTTGCTTGGAGATCCAAGTCTTACTTCAGGCCTTGAATTCTAGAGTTTCCCGCGGTATTGAGGATGCCCTGTTGGGTGTTGGGAGCACAGACAGACAGACAGACAGACAGGAAGCAATGAAGAATTAGCGGTCAATATAAATGTATATATATATACATATGTATAGCCATGTAGCTAGCTAGGTAGGTAGAGAAAAAGATGAGTTGATATACGCATGAGTAGACAGGCGAAAATGTAAACAGGTGGGTAGATAGAAAGGTAGGCAGGTAGGTAGGCAGGTAGACAGATGAATGGACAGATAGCTGGCCAGAAAGGAAGACGGATAGCTAGATGGATAGGCAAACAGTCAGACTCAGAGAGGCAGAAAAAAGAGGGAGAGAAAAACAAGGAGGAAGAAGAAGATGATGAAGGTGAAGGTAACAAGGGAATAAGAGGAGGAAGGGGGTGAAGAAAAAAGTCAGCAGAGAAAGAGTAAGAAAGCGAGACAGAAAAGCAAGAGAGAGAGAGAGAGAAAAACAAAAACAAAAAGAAACAATGAGATCAATACAGAAAGGGAAATATGAAAAAAGATAAAGAAAACGAGAGAGAGAGAGAGAGACAAAAAGAAAGAACAGAAGGGAAAGGAAAGGTAGAAAAGAAAGGAGGGAGAGAAAAAAGAGAACGGGAAAGAAAACAAAGGAAACATATCATATGTAGTTTTGAATCTTCTTTGCGACGCCCCCTGGCGTCGCCGGCTCGACTTGTTTGTGTTTCAGGATAGTTCAATACAGGAAGAGAATCAGAGAATGTGATTTTTGGAGTACCCCAGATGTGGGCCAAGGCTTGTCCATTTGGAATTTGGGGGTCCAGGTCACACAGCTTGCCTGGTGGTCTTGTTTTCTTTGTGTGCGCACTTGGCAAGGGACACTTGAATGATTTTCGCACCTGGTGCAACTTGCGTCTTGCAAAATCCTTTCACCTTCAGCAGTTTCCGCCCTCAGTCTTGTCTTGCGGAAGCTTACCCGACATAGAAAACAGCTCGCTTTTTTTCGAGTCGCACTTGCTGCGTCTGGCACTGGATGGCTTCTCTGGATGGTTGGGCAAACTGCCTTTCCTGCATTTGAACAAGTCGGTTGTTACATATTACTTGTGTGTTTGCACTGCTGTGTGTGTGACTGGATGCATGACCAGAGGGGAGAGTGTAGAGACTGATGTCAAACTGAAATGAACGAACGTATGTGTGCGGGTAAATGACAGGACATGTGTTCTTTGTCTTTTTGATGCACAGCCACACTTGCTTCAACCCAAAAATGATGGCGACGCAGCCACGGTGCGCCCCAACCTTGTGCCCGTGGTGCACAGTCGCTGGCTGCTCACGCGAGTGCAAAATCGACTCCTTTTTCTTTGAGGTCCCGTTCCTGCCAGTGGCTGCGGTGGACTGTGCTGACGGCCCATTCCAGGTTTGGTGGCACATGCCGCATCACTGGAGACTGCGACTGGCTGCAGCATTCACCGACTTCTTTGCCTTCTGCGCTCGGTTACTCCGTCTTCACCGTCTTCGCTAGGCTTCTACTTTGTTGCGTTTTCGCAGCGTGTTGATGTGACAATGAAAACCTTGCAACATTGCAACATGCCTTGCAGCACGCCTTGCGCAATGCCTTGCAACAAGCCTTGCAACATGCTCTGCAACATGTGCTGCAAACACGCCTTGCAACAATGTGCCTACAAACTTTGGCTGCAACATGCCTTGCTACATGCGCTGCAAGAGCCACATGCCTGGCAGTCCATGATTTAGAGGGGTTGAGCGTCGGGTGACCCATGTTGTTGCTTGCTCGGTTCAAACATGGGCCGCAGCAGAAGTGGGTTGATTGTTGTGCTTGCTTAAAGCTCAGCTTAAACTCTGCGACGTGGCTGACACAGCTTTGAGTGTTGTAAAATCTGCCAGGGAAATCCACTGTGAACTGATTACGTTTGACACTTGTTGACATGCTCTGACATGTGTGGACTTCTGGTTGTGGCAATTGCTGCCTACAAACAATTTGTTCTGAGGAGTGAAACAATGCAGCCACGCAGGAGTTCTCACGCAACTTGTCAATGTTGAGCCCTCTACCTTGGTAATCCAATTCAAGCCTTCAAAAGGGTAGCTTTTGGCAAACACCCAAGGGGCCACCGCTTAACCGGCAATTGATTCTACTCTTTGAGGCCTGTCGTTTTCCCAAACTCGACACATCAGCTTCCCTCATTGTTAGGAAGAGGGAGTCCACTCTTTGGTTCGTGTGTGTTTCGTCATGATTCTTGTGGAAGCTGTTCCGTGTTCCCTGCAGGAAAAGCTTGTGACGGAACAAACTGATTCCTTAATTGTTGGCTCTGTTTGGCTGATTTGGCGTGAAGCTCGCTCTTTGGGCTTCTTCGGAACCCATTTGAGTGGCCGACAAACAGCTTGGACCCCTGAACAAGAAAGTGAGGACGTCAAGCTACCTGCCAAGTGGGCCGGCTGGCCAAATTTCCGAGGCACGGCAAGTTCCAGCAGGCAGGGTGGAACACGGTGGCTTGGCATTGTATTGCGGCCTTTCATCGGTGACTTTGGAATGTGGGCATCTTTCCGACCCTAATGTGGATGGTTGAGAAGCCACCCTAACTGCGGATCTTGCTCACACCGAGGGGATTCAGACCTTGTGAAGGGTGATGAAGTCCAAATCAAGGGCCTTTTGTGTGGAGTCTCCCAGATTATGAATTCTGGGGGTTGTGACATCTGCCTTACAGAGAGGGGCCCCTCTCTGAACGCTTCAAAGCAACTGCCTCCCCAAATCAGGTTCATGTGACTTCATTTGGGTGCGACACAGCCATGCAGCTAGGCACAGATACCGACTTCAGGGTTTTGGTTTGCCACCACCCACAGGTCCCATGTTTTGCAGTGGATGTACGAAAGCTTCTCCCAAAAAGCCCCCAAGAACAACAAAACTCTTTGGACAAATGCCGATTAAGTTTATGTTTAAAACAATTTATCAAGGGAAAATTGGTGTCGTGAGCCGTTGGAGCTGGACATCTATTTATGGCAACTCTCGGTGTCAGGTGCTCGGTACAGGATCAGGGTTTGTTAGAGGATGTTCCATTCTATTATTTTTCTTAAATACCGGCATCTTCTAAATCCGCTAAAAGTGTTTGTTTACAGTGTTTTTGGAACTGGCCGAGCTGGTATCCGTTAAGACGCCCTGTTTCTTGCTGGCCCACCGGGTGCTGGGAAGCCTGTTCTAGGAAACCATGCTTGGATGGTTCGGTTCCAAGTTCGCTCATTCTCTGAGAACCTGGGCCCTCAACTGCAAAAACGGGAATCCACTCCATGAGTTTGGGGGCAGCCACCCAAGTGTTCAGAGTGTTGCCAGGGCCCAGGTGAGTTCCAGAGGACCGGATTCCCAGGAGTCGACCAAGCTCCGCGTCCGGCGCAAGGACGTCCAGGACCCGCGGGGCGTGGATCTTTTTCTTGGGGCGAGCGGCAAGTTGCCTTCCGACTTCTTCTTCTTCTTCGCGGCTCCAAAGGGTCCTTGTCCTGTGAAATGGATGCCACATCGCCTCAAAAAGAAAGCAAACGTCAATTCGAAACCGGCCACTTTAAACCTCCCGACTTTCAACCAATCATAGATCTTAGCCGTTTTTTTGTTGGTGTGTCTCTGTGTTTTCTCACCCGACAGGAAGGGTTGTTAGATTGTATGTTGGATCCGCGTTTGCGATGCTTCTACACCACGCCCCGACTCAGTATCCCGCCAGAGCTGCTCGCCAGTGGATCCCGCCAAGTATCCCGCCAGACGGCTCGCCAGTGGATCCCGCCGAGTATCCCGCCAGAGCGGCTCGCCAGTGGATCCCGCCGAGTATCCCGCCAGAGCAGCTGTGGGTTTACATTTCATGTTAGCGCCTTCGTGTTTTGAGTGTGCGTGATGCTTTTGTGTTGCTTTGGGTTGCGAAAAAGCAACTTCAATTAGTCCCCCGTCAGGTTTCTTTTTGGAAGGGGCTTGGCTTTTGTCAACGGAACCGATGTTTGAGTTCTCGAGATCGGCTCGCAGACAAGTGGATTTGACACATAGGCCCCAAGCCACTCGAAAACCATGCTTGAATTCATACAACCGTGTTCACGGTCGTAAGCTCGTGAGTGTGGAGGGTGGGGATTGCTCGAAGCAAAGTATTTTTTTTACCAATTTTAGATATTGCCAAAAAACAAAAAGGGGATGGGTATTTTTCAAGTGCTTCCAGACCCCCATTTAGCACCCAGCTAGGTGGCACCGTTGCACGCATTTGCCAGCGCCATCCGTTTTTTTCCGAACGTACACCTCAGTATTTCACATGTTGGGAAGAGGCGTGTTTTCACACAGACCATGCCCAGTTGTTCAGTGCACCGCTTCCCCTTTTGGAGGTTTTCCCACTTATAATTGTCAACCCAAGAAAGGGGCTTGCTTTATCTGCCAGGACAACTGGGCAACTGGGCTCACCAACGTTGCGTTTGTGTTGGCGGGGTGCAATGGCCACCAAGGGCTGATCGGTTTTCTGGGTTGTGGATTTGAACTGCCTTTGGACCGATGCTCACTCAGAAAGGCCATTTTGGGGCAGGTGTAGGTTGGGGACTAGTCCAGGAAGTATCCAGCATGAATCAACCGGGTGATCAGTATGGGGCCCAAGAAGAGAGGAGACAGGCACACCGGGCGTAAGAAACCCCCGGATGGGTGCATGTTGTCCGGCCCCGGGCCCTAGGTTGAGAAGGTGGAGAATATGCACGTCAAGTTGAGAGGTCTGCACCTATCAACTCTATGGCCACCTTGGGTTCCGTTGGGTGAAATTCTTTGCGGAATCAACAAATCCCAGCCTCCGGGTTGATCGCTCGGCTCCCTGCTTCGCAAGCAAGCAAAGTGGGGCAAGTTGATCAAGCACAACGGACGCCCTGCTGGTTGTGATGCAAAGCGGCTCTGAGGCAACCCCTATCCCCCCCCAACACGCATTGTGAAGTAAAACAAATGAGGCTGCTGAACACTCTCCTGTTGTTTGCCTGAAATTGCCAGCCGGAAAAGCCGACAGGGCTTTGACAGAGCTTTCAGATGAAGGACCCCCCAGATGCCAAGCACCTTGCTCTCTAAATGTGCGACCAGAGTTTTTCTTTTTTCACGGGTCTCTTTGAACAAAGCGAACTGTTGGAAGCTGGCTGGCCGAAAGGAGACCCAGCAGCGGCAACCGGGCGGGAAGCTAAGCTGGGGGGAAGGGCGGCAATGCTGGCGTTGGTCAACTTGGGACCTGGTTAGTCCAACCAATCAAGCAATCAATCATCCAGCCAACCAGCCAGCCAACCAACCAGCCAGCCAAACAACCAGGGAGCCATCCAGCCAGCCAGCCAGCCAGCCAGCCAGCCAGCCAGCCAGCCAGCCAGCCAGCCAAAGCAACGAACGATTGCAATAGCATATAGATGCACATGCGGGCTCCGGTCAGGGTGACAGCCATGAGTGGGTGAACTAAAGATGAACCCTTGTCCGATTTCTAGGAAACACATGTTGATGAGAACAACGAGCCAACCTCAGTGTCGGTTTACCTTCCCTAGCTGACTTGTTGTTCAGCCCAACAACTTGTTAGATGACATTTGTCATCTAGTAATGGCCACTTTACCCAACACCAAATGGGTTTGTCCTTTTGGGAGACATCCAGGGCAGAACCCAAACACTGACTTAAAAAGACCACTATTCTGTTCGGCGGGATTTAGCGCCAGAAAGCGCAAGTCAAAACAGTGTTTCAAGGTGTTTCAAGCTGGTGCTAGATACAAAATTTGGCCATGGGGCAGAACCTATGGCTCCATTTTGGGGTGGATGAACATCCATTTGCCACCTTTTTTGATAGTCATTTGGCTTCAAGATTTCGAGCCAGCGGGTGGAGAATAAATGAAATGCCTTTGTGGCTAGGTAATAGATAAAATTGTATAATATACATGGGCGAGAGAGCGAGGGAGCGAATGCGAAGAGCACGAGAGAAAGCCCGATAGATAATGCGAGAGCTAGTAAGAGAGGGAGAGAGTATGAATTGAGCCAGTGCGTCAAAGGGCGATCCGCTAGGCGCCCAGTCTGAAGAAGATGACTCCCAGCTTAGAGGTGAAGCGGCCAGAGAGGAGCGGCCTGGGGTTGGAAGAGCAGGGGGGGTTGTCAAGTGGTCCCCTAAAATGCTTTGGGGCTCCTCCAAAACTTGTTTTATGGTTTAGGGTTGACTAAGTATAGAACAGGGTCAACAAAAACATGGTTGTTTGTGGGGAAATTACAATCTACACTGGTTTCTTAGACACTCCCATATGCGCCATGCGCCAGGTGGAAGGAAGCATGATTACATTTTTTACAAACCCCTTTCAGGTGCGATTTTGGTGGGAGGGTGTCTGAGATCCTTTGGCGCAAAAGTGGGCACTGTGACCTTTCCCGAATGGCGTCCAATGGGATCTGCGGTCCAAGGGTGAATTTGGACATTTTTGGGGCGAGCAGGGGGTTCGACTCCCACCTTGTCCGGCCTGGTTGGTTTCCGACCTTAGCTTTCGGTCCGTCCTCTCGCGAAGGGTGTGGAAACTTTCTGCGAGTTTCCAATGGAAGCATCCAATTGACAAAGCGGCGCGTCAACAAGACACCTCTTTTACCCATCGCATTTACCAGGTGCTATTGGAAAAGGCTTCTTTTCGAGAAATGTTGCAGGTGTGTAGGAAGGCTTTTGGAATTCCAGTTTGTGAGCTATAGTAATTTGTGCAGATACACGTTGGCCATTCCAGGACTGAGCGACAGCGCAAAGAATGCCAAGCACTTGGACTGCGCCGGCTGGCTATTTTGTGATGATGTAGCTACCTTGGCCGAGGATTCTTTATTTCAGGTTTCGGACATGTTGTATCCCTCCGCCTGGACGGAACTTTGGAGGAAAGCAGGGGAACAGTGGCAAGGAGAGGCCCACTGGTTCATAGCCCCAACCTGCAAGTGGCAAAGCAAGTCTAGGTCAGGGCCAACGGAACCAGCTGCGGATGCTTTTCAAGAGAAAGAGATCATACCCGGCATTGGGGCCTATTTTTGGATCCGCTCAGTGGCCAGGTCGGCTTTGCGGCTCTTTGGACTTTCAGCAAATCGTGTTAGCGCCCTTGGAAAAAAAAGGAAGTCAAACTCGCCATATCCAAGGACTCGGAAAAAGTTTCGGATGCGAAAGGTCGTTTTCCCCCCCTTCAGCACAAGCTCCCCTAGAGGGCAATTCATTTTTAGGAACTCCTTTGATTGGTCCGGCCCTCCGGTTAATCCGGAGTCAATGTTACTTGGGTCTTCGCCCATGGCTGGGCCCTGAGGTTCCTGAAGGCTTCACCTTCTGCTGGCCCTTTTTGGCGGAAAGCGCCTCCTTTTTTGAACGCGTGTTGTGGCTTGGTTCGTGAATGCAGGGGAAGTTAAACCTAAACCAACCCTAGACCCACCATAGTCCAATGCAACACCCACAAGCCCTTGTCCAAGCATGAAACACCCCTTGTCTTGTTTCACCAACCTCCATTTGGCTCCCCTTGAAAGGGTGGTTGCATTTTTATTCCGACCAATCCTGGTCTTCACCGACCCCGTGCATTTCCGCTCATTCGTGCTCTGTTGGCGTGAGGCAACTGCCGCTACTGCCCTTCGTGCAAACGCCGCTTGGAGCAGGACAGTCCGCCCAGAGGGTACCGAAGCCCAGCAAACACGGAGGGTCCCTTGATACTAAGGAGGCACTTGGACCCCTTTTACCTTCAGGAGGTACTTGCCATCCTCAGGTAGTTGGACCCTCTGGGAAAGGGGGGGGCCTGCCTTTCGTTTGAGTTGAACACCTGAAAGAAACTCTCCCGGAGCACTCGTCGCATGCAATTGGCTAACAGAAACTCATTGATGAGGGCTTTTCAACACGAGCGATGGCCCAATGAAGGTGCCTGGATTCCTTTTCCCTTTGGTGAACGCAAATTCACAAACCCAAAAATGGGTTCCCAGAAAGAGTTAACCTCATCGCTTTTGGTGGTCCATATCAAGCTCCAGAGTATAGAAACTCCCCAGATGCGATGCTAGCGGGCCTCAACCTGGGCTGTTCAATTCGCAAGGCCAGTTGGGTCACGAGAGGATGTGCCGACGCATGTCCCTTGTAAGGATTAGGGATGGGAAGTGGCCAACCCCCCCCATGTTGAACAGCCCAACAAACATAGATGTTAATGTGCACTCTGCTTCCCAGGCAGCCATACTCAGGATTCCCATTTGGTGTTCGGAAATCAAGGATCCCTTTCTGTGTAGTTGGCTTTTGCTCATTTGGGGACCCCCTTTGTTCGGAACACCACATGTTGCACACCGCCTGGAAACAAACGCAGGAAGGGGGCTTGCCTTTGTTTGCAACTTTAACCAATGCGAGACTTAGGTGTTTGTTTCCGCTCCTAGGTGTTTTGTATGTCCACCCCCAGCCCAGCTGGACCAAAAGGTCATGCTGACGTGTTGTCTCCACACACCCTGACTCCCCGAGATAGGTTGAAAGCCAACCCGAAAGGGTTGCATCATGTGTGAGCTCCTTTTTCTTGTGCCCAGATCTGGCAGAAACAACTTATGTGAATCGCTTGACAAGGCGAGTTCAAACGGAAAATGGGAGTTGGGGCGAGCAAAGCCGGCTCTCTCCTGGTCAGTTGCTGGGAGTTACGCATGTAGAAGTAGCAGATTGCTTGAGATTGTTCGTACGACATCAGCCAGGTTGTCCTTCCACGAGCGTCCAGCGTGGCGAAGTGCCTGACTAAACTAGCGACAGCTTGCGTGTCGCTGGGTTTTGTTCAACCGGTTGGCGCTGTTTTTTTTTTTTTTTTTTTTTTTTTTTTTTTTTTTTTTTCGTTCATTGTACGTGCTTCCATCTGACACTAGCGGAGACTAAGGACATTTATCGTGTCAAGGCCTAGGGACAAGAATTTCCCAGTTGCGTACATCACTGGAATCACTGGTCAACCGCAAAGTCAAGTGGCTGTTTGTTGAATAGTCGACTTAACCTCCCGATTTGGCAGGTCATTGGGCGTGCCTTTGGTTTGCAATTGAAACCAAAAGACGTGGGATCAGGAGCACATGCGGCTGGCAATCGAGAGGTTGGCGCCTGAACTCTGGCGAGAGTGCCAACAGCAGCTCTTCAGCCGTGTGTCCGAAGCTCACTTCCTGAGTTCAACTTAAAAAGAGTTTGGGAAAACCATGTTAGCGGCATACACAAAGTTTTGGGTCATCCACTCAGGGAGTGAGTCAAGCTTGAACCCGTTTTTTTTCAGAGTTCGATTTGTGTTTGTGCCTTAAAAGGAAGGGAAAACCAACCATCGGGGGGCCCCCGGCTTCACGTGAATATTGTTTTACATGGTGCCCAAACAACGAGCCGAGCTTTGGACCTTTGGTTTCCATTTCGGGCAGCCTTTGGTTTCCATTTACGAGCCTATGTCCCTCTTGGAAAGGGCCCTCCACCTTTGTTGTTTCGAGGGTCATCGTGGTTTAAGTGGCGCAGCCCGAGGCCGTCTGGCCATGTATAGGTGTTCCAAGTTCGACAAGTTTGATCCAGCTTGTATATATGTATATGTTGTTGTTTTTTTTTAACAAAAATAAATATGGAGTGCCTCATTCGGGCAGCGGAAAGGGTCCTATAACCCTTCTGAGAAAGTTCTAAGCTCCTTGCTGGGGAGCCGTTGCTTCCTCCCTATTGCAGACTTAGTCTTTGGCGTGGCCTTGAGGCGAACAGGCGGCAATGTCTAGTTCTCCTGAAGAGAAAAAACGGGGAGTTGTCCCAGGCAAGTACCAGCACATATGTAACCCCAGCCATTTTGGTAAATTGTTCTGCTCACTGGTTCAGCAAGGGTTTTATAGCAAACCTTGTAGTAGAACCAACATCTAGTGGAAGCCACGGTCGCTCAAGAGAGGTCGCTGGCCGAGCCGGCCCCAGCCGCGCCGCACGCGCCTGCCACCGCGATGCTGCCGCGGTCAGGGAACTTGGAGTCTCAGTTGACTAGGAATCTGCATGGGGAGCCCTTTCAAAAGTGGTTGGTGGACACAAAACCCCACCGAGATGATGTCCACCAAGGAGTTCCCTATGTAGAATTCGCACCCATGTCCCTTTTTCCTGGACTGGACCTACTAATTTTGGGAAGGCCATTTGAGTGGTACACCAAAAGTGTGGAGTCGTGGGCCAATCCACCCAGGAAGTGAGATCACGCTGCTCTCAATGATATGTGCCTTGTTTTTTCGGGGTCGGGCCCAGCTTTTCTCGAGCGGGCCAGTCAGACGCAGCCGCGCTGAACCGGGGGTCATACTGGGGTACTTCACTGAAGGAGATGGAAGGTTGGACCTAAATTTCCATCCACATGTCATTGCCCTTTTGGGTGAAGCACCCCATTTTGACGATTTTGAGCAGTGGGGCAGAATTCCAAGGCATGTGGGTTTAGCCCCCTGTACCCAAGGGAATTCTGCCATCCTTCACCTAGCCCAAGCCTTGCGCCCGCGTGGCTTCAAGGCGAGGGCCCTCTTGCGGCGGCTTGCCAGAGAGTGGGAACCTCGGGCACGAAGCGCGCGAAGAGATGCTGTTGGGACGGTTGCTGGGCAAGCGCCTTGAAATGGGCGGTGAAAAATAGGAGCGGCAAGTGAGGCTTCATGTTATTTCATTGCATTCCCTCAAGTGGCATTCAGTGGCCGCCCAGTTGCACACCCTGACTTCAGAAGAACCACAGTGAAAACCTGGAGGCTTAGGGGACAGTCCCAGCCAGTCGGCGGTGGAGATTCGCCCGTTGATACGGGTGTGGCTCAAAAATAAACAGGAGGTTACGCTATTAACTTGCTTAATCTGGGGTTTGGACCTGTTCGGTGAAATTAGGCTACAATAAGCGTTTTTGTCGTCCACTTCGAGCCTTGTTCCATGTTGCTCGGGCTTTGGGGTATGGAAAAAACACTTTTTGAGCCGTTTGGCTCCGTTGGAGAATCAGGTCGGACCAGGTCAGTCATGCTGTGTGCCGTATGCGGGCATTCACTTGCTCATGTTGGCGCGCTTGGTGTTTGAGAGAAGTGTTTTTGACATGTTTTTCAGCCCAAAGTTCAATAAGTGTTTTTGGTTTCGGGGGCAACGGCAAAACAACTTATCGGCTATCAGGCCGCAAAAAACACTCATTTTGCTTTGATGGAGGCCCGTCACATGGATTTGGGCCGTGGATTGCTAAAGATACGTTCCTAAATGGCGGAGTTGATACGCTTGATAGAAAATGAAAAAAAACTGTGTATTACAGCATGGACATGTGCCATGTATTTTGAGGAGTATGCAAGAAACACTTCTTCCGAAACTAAACGCGGAGTGAACATTTCGTGGACACAGTGTTGCTGCCGCCAGGCTACGTCAGTAAATAAAGTGCGAGCGGCCTTGTGCAGACTGCAAAAACTCCAAGAAGTGTGCATAGGCTGTAGGCACAAGTTCAAACAAGAAGCAAGCACCGTACCAAAAGGACTTTTTCACACGACTAGCCCCATTCAAAGGCACTGTTGAGCCCACGCGGCACACCACCCCGTTTCAAAATGTTTCAAGTGACTCTGGTCGAGCGCAACTTTCAAACGAACTCAAACAGCAGCCTGCTGGACCTGCAATCATCATGCAAGTGCCCGTATAAGAGTTTTACGGGGAATCGTCTCATGAACGTAAGCATGTAACACATTATGCTTGAGCGATATCCCTTGTTTCATGTGCAAAAAGGAGGGGAGGCATCTGCGGGCAATGCGGGGCAAACTGGAGATCCTGAGAATCACAAATGTGACAAGCGACCACTGTGCAAATATGCTATACATATATACGGCTTGGCAAGTTTGCTAAAGTGCACAGGGGTGTGGATAGCTCCTCTTTTGCAGCTTTGTAGACGTGATTCCAGATTTCAGGATCCGGAATTTACGGGCGGATTCTTTCGACAATTGCAGGGCCGCTGGTGAAGATTCAATGAGATTTGGGGCAAGCCAAAGTAAAAAGTTTGGGCCCAATTCTTAGTCTCGCGGCTTGGCTTCCAGAAACACAGTGGTGATGAGTTCAAATATGGTGGCAACAACGGGAGGGGCTGGCAATTCATGTGCGAGCTTTGGCAGCAGCCCGGTCCTTACCGATGCCTTTGAACATTTTCTCACTTTTAAGGGATGCTATGGGCATGACCTTTTCGGGCTTGGGGGCATTCACTCAAATGTTGGATTTCGCAAACAAAGACATTTCATTCCACGGCAAACTCCGGCAATCAAAGCAGTGCTCATTGGTATGTCGGCCAAAATGTTGAAAAAGTCAGGGCAATCACCATTTTGGTTCACACTCGAAGTCACCAAGTCACTAGGGCGGGTGTGGCGAAGCAACGTTTGGGGACAGGTAAATCATTTTGTTGGGCCAGGCTCCTCATCTCAGCACTCAGTCTATTATACAGGGCAAACTAGCTTACATTCCAGGAGGTGGTGAGAAAGCAAGGAGTACAAAAGTTTCTGTATTTATTTTCTCTCTGTTTGTTTGTCGTTTACTTTGGCGGTGATGTCCTTGATCGGTGCGGGTTCACGCGAAATGTTCAATCTGCGTTGTTTTCTTCTGGGGCAAAGTCAACTTCTTAATTCCGGACAAGCTTTTCATAATTGCGGATCTCAAGCAGCAATTCACGGTGAAGGAAGCCAGCTAGTGTGCGCACAATCAATCTCCAAAAACATGGAGCCAGTTCCAACAGCATGGCTAATTTAAAGGGTGCGCGCACGGTGCGGGACCTAGGCATTTGTTTTAGCAATATTCTGAAGTGTTGCGCGGGTGCAACAAGGACTCAAGACCAGCATGTTCTATGTACAGGAGCACTGGTTTAAAGCTGATAGTCATCCAAACTGGTTGGGGTGTTCTGGATCGACTTGCCTTGCCAGTTCACATTTAGACACTGGAGATGTTGCCGGGTCCTCTGAAACTACTTTGGATGGCCTGCGTTAACTGGTTCTACGGGTCAGGGTCACAGCAAGTTGGTTCGAAAGCGCAAGAGAGGCAGGCTTTTTGGGGGTGCGCCCGCTAGACCTGATTGGACTTGGATAGTTTGTTGGCGTCGGCTTTCCAAAATGCAAGTGCGGGCAAACAATTCTCCGGGGCTGCCATCCCCCCTCTTTGAGCCAGCAACTGTCAGAAAGGCCAATGAATCCATGGAGCACAGACTACCCTGGCAACATCAATCTCTTCACATGGTAAACCGCCGCACGCAAACACACACATGGCAACATGGCGCGCTCAGAGCTCCGGTCAAATCGGCAAAGTTCTGGCAGAGTTTGCAAAGTTTGGGCAAATTTGTGCAAATTTGGCCAAATCGGCAAAGCTCTGGCAAACTTGGTATAGTTTCGGCAAATCTTGCAAAATCAGCAAAGTTCTTGCAAAATCGACAAGTGCTCACAAGGTTGGCAAAGCTCTAGCACATCTCAGGAAGCCTAGATCTGCCAAAGTTCCGGCAAAGTTCGCAAAGAGTTTGCAAAGTTCGGTCAAGTTTTTCCAAATTTCAAAGTTCTGGCACATCGAAAAAAACCCTCGCAAAGTTCGCAAATGTCTGGCAAAGTTTGCCAAATTGGCAAAGTTCCGGCAGATTGGCAAAGTCCTCGCAAAGTTCTCGCAAAGTTTGCGAATTGGCAAGAATCGAAAAACAACTCGCCAAATTGGCAAAGTTCTGGCCAAATTTGTGAAGATCTTGCAAAGTTCGCAAAGTTCTTGCAAAAACCCGCAAACACTTCTTGAACTGAGCACCAATCAAGGGAGTTCTTTTGTTGGTAAAGTTGTCAAAGCCACAAGTACAACAACATAGTTTTCTGCGTCGGCTTTCTAAAGAAGTCTTTTCGTCATGTCGCCGAGGATTAATAATGTATTTCCATGGTCTCGAGGAATGTCAAACGCACTTCTTCTGTGTGATTTGAAAGCAAGAGCGCGCCTCTCCGGTTTATGCCAGTTTATGCGTAAAAAACTCCAAATAAGTGTTTTTGGCATACCCCCTAGGCTGCGAAACATGTTTTCAGGTCCTCGAGGTATGTCAAAAACACTTATTTTGCATTTTTTGCCTTGCAAGGAACAGTGAAAACCAGCAAGCTAAGCCAAAACAGTACTTTGCCGCTGTGTGCCGGCTCCTGTTTTCTCAAACCGCTGAAATCACTCGATTTCACCCTTTTGTAGCAATAAGTGTTCATGTTTTTTTGATGGAACTCTCTGAACGCTTATTTGATTTGTCACCTTCACCGGAGGTCCCGAACACTTATTTTGACCAAATTACGGCAACATAAGCAAGTTAATAGGTTACGCAAGTTTTGGTCCATGTTCCCACTTAGCAGGGTTGATTTTGGTGCCGGTTTTTTGACCCGCCATACCAGGTTTGATTCTGGCTCGGGCTGAGTTTGCCTCCGAAAACTATGTATTTTAAAGATCGCTTGACGAAGTCACTTCTTGTTGTGTGTGTGTGTGGCCATGTATGTATTTCATGCTGCATGTGTGGTCCTTCCCAATCGTTTGTGGGAGAAGAAGCTAGAATCAAGAAAACAGCCGTGCCAGAGTAAACCATGATGACAGTTTCTCAGAGAGGGGTGAGGGCTGCACTGAAAGCACCAGGCAGCCAGTCAGCCCCCGCGTCCCTGCCTTAGATCTTGGAGCTGAGAGTCTAGAAAATTGCTTTGGGCCAGATATCAAATTGCTAAAATGTGGCTTTCTAGAAAACAAGTTGGATGCACTTTTGTGGATTCCACTTGTTCTTCCTTGTGTTTGGCACTTTTCAGTACCCTTCGAAAGGTTGGTGCACAAAGAGCATCCCAACCACACCCTCAGCGGCCTGCAGAGACGACTCCCCGCACGCAACATGTGTATTGAACCACTTGGAGATGCGCACATCGTGGTCTGAGCAGGCTGCACTCACTTCATAAAGTTATGGCAACCTCACCTCGTGTTGACCCTGGATGAATCAACCTCACCGCAGCTCTCGAAACGCGCGGAGTGAACGCACGGGCCAAGCTTCCCATCATGGTCGTTGTTGGGAAACATTTTACATTTTTGCTTATTGTGGTTTAGTGGTTGGAATCCAACCACTTAACTGCTAAAACGTTTGATTTGTTGCTCCCCTTCCAACGTCAACTAAGCCATGGCGCGCTTTGCGACACGTTTGAGTCGCCTTCCCAAAGCCAGCTTCAGCGATCGCGCAAGCGCATTGGAACCAAGGGTTAATGAACCTATGAGGGCCTAAATCATTAGAAGAGGGTTGTGGGGTACCAAGGCAGTCATGAATACAGGGAGCATGCTTGTTGTCATTTTGTTGCCCCCTTATATGATATTGTTTTTGAAGGGAGGGACGACACCGATAAGCCCTCCACCCCAGAAGGTTCGGGGCCTTTGGTTTCCTCCCCTCTGGATTTCCGGCAGGGGCCTAGATCGCTCGGGTGAAACGAATGGCCCAATTCCGCAGAGAGCATCGGGCGATTCAAGAAGAACCTCCCCCACTTAAAGGGGCGATCGATTCGGTACGTCAGCTAAGTGGATAGTAAGTGCCTGGTGAAATAACCCACTGAGCGAAGACTGAAATAGCCATGGCTTTTGTGTGGGTTATTTCACCAGGCTTACCAACCACTTGCGAAGTACCCGATCGCCCCTTTTACATTTAAGCAAGGGATCATGATTCAAACTGCCACCACCGTCAAACACGCCACCCCCACATCCATTTTGATTTATTTCAGTATTTTTTGAGGGTGCGTGTGTTGGGAGATCCACCAAAGGGGGGATGTGCGCGTGAACCGCGGCAGCTTACCCAAACATCCATTGGCAGCAGCAGCGGTTTCGGTGAGTTTCGCGTGGAGTTCCCTTCAGCTGGTTTCGTAGATCCTATCTGCCGAACCTAAGCAAGGTCCGACCTTTTGAGAAGTCTCGTGCAGTCATGTCCTCATTTGGAATCATGGAATCGGGTTGACCAACCAATTTTGAACAGGCCTTTGCGTGACTGATAATATGTCCAGACGTTTCTTAACATGTTGTTGGACGCCGCCTGGGTTCCAGTCGAATTCCTTGAAATTCACGCAAAATTGGGCTCCCTATGGGCTCCCTATTTCAAGTGCAAGTCTCCCTGTCCTATCGGATTTGTAGGCTGATGCGTGTCGGTTTGGAGGTCCTTCCAGTTTACTTGTCCTCGTCAGTATGTCGTCAAGGGCGTGCTTTCCGCGAACCCCTCACTGGTCACTCCCAAGCTGGGCTTGTCATAGTTTTCGAAGAAATACTTTAAGTTGCAAACGGCAAGTTTCCTGCCAAATCACCCCTGTACACATAATCTTGTGGTTTCCTTTCAGGGAATCCCTTTCCGCTTCATTCCCACATGGGTCATTCCTCGAGCACCAGCAGGGCTGTGAGCTCCGAGGCGCGCGCGAAGCTCTTCAATCTCTCAGGCGCGGGATGGCGCGGGCGGAGGCGTTTTTTGTTTTGTTTTTGGTTTTTACCATTATCTCCTTCCTTCGCATCAACCAACCTCAACCCTCTCTCTTGGACAGGTTCTCTTGGACAGGTTCTCTTGGCATGAGGCAAAGTTGAGAACTCACGGGTTTCAGGGGCAATGACTGTCAAAGCCTCTCAGATGCCTCTCAGACTGGGTCTACCCGATTTGGTCCAGAGCTGAGTTATAGATGCTCAGATTCTCTCGCTTTATTTCATCAAATTCCGGGTGTGTGACTGGGTCTCCCGATTTGGTCCAGAGTTATCAGCCCAAGTTTCTGGGCTTGCCCCAACATTGGAAGGCCATCACGGAAACTGGCCCCAACTAAAGGGAAAAACTGGTCTGAAAAATGTCAAAATGTCTCAAATAAATGACACCCATGCAAGCATATTTAAAAATGAATTGGGTGGGAACACGCATGAAAATTTGACAATTTTGACAAATTGATCGGCTTCGCTGGCACGTTGGCGTGCAAGCTGGAACTCAACATTGAAACCCTGCACGTCAATACAAACAGCATTGCTCATCGCACCCGAAGCCTCGCCCTTCGCCTATCAGTTGACAGCGCTCGAGCGCAAAGCGGCTGCAAGGCACCTCGGGTAACTGCCTCACGTTCGTCGGGGCCAAAGTGTGGATATACACGCGTGATCTTTGGTTAGGCGTTTACTGATTGATTTGCGTTCGGTGTGCCTGATCTTGGGCATGAAACAAAATCTGAATGAAATGCCATGAGCCGGCCACACTAAAAGGACAAAGCATCGGCAAGGAAGGAAAAACAACAACATCCCGTGATTGATCTTAGATGTTTTCATCAAAGGATCAAAGGTTTCGGAGGGGGGGGGTAGGTCGGGACAAAAATGAAGTAAATGTTGGTGCGGGTCCGTGCACGAGCCTGAGGACAGACCGCTTGAGACAGCCACTGCCCAAGCAATCATGATCGACATGTGCGATTTTTTGCAAGCTGGACGTAGATGGGTAAGTCGTGGTTTTGGAGCGGTTCCACGTTGTTTGGTGGAAACTACACGTATTGTCCAGCCTGTGACTGTGAATCACAACCATTCGAATTATGTGATTAGCATGTTTTGCAATGAGGCACACCCAAGCCTCCCAACAGCGAGCGGGTGCAGGAGCCTTAGTTTGAGTTTTTGTTTGCAGGTCACATGTCAAGCGCGAATCAATCCACAGGAATGATCATTCCTTTCAGTTCGTTTGGCATCGTGCGCACTGAGTCTGCCAATTGGCGAGCACGAGTACACAGTGCAGAACGTGCGTTGCAAAGTGAGTTGGGCAGACACGGGCAAAGCGTCGGGTGACAGTTGCCAGTGCCACATGCAAAGAACACATCCAGCGTTATGGTGTTTTATTCTCAATTGCCTGCGTTTTGAACAACCCGCTCGGCGCCAGTCATGTACAATATTCAGATCATGCCTTTTTTCGTGGCACAATGCTGAACACATCGGATTCAACGTTTGATTTGAGCACAATAATATTCAATATGACGCACGTGTTTGCAGAAGGCATCAAAATTCGTTGCATGCAGCTACGTGATTCCGTGCCATGGCGATTGCCACGGCTTTTCAACGAGCTGATTGAAAACTCAGCAGCGAGGGGTACAGTAATTGTCAGCAATTGTAAGCGCTGATTGCAAACATGGTATTTCGATACGGACCCCGCATGTCAACTCAAAAACCGGCAATGACAATGCACATCCTTTGACTGTTTTTGCCACAAGACTCTACCAAGCAACTACCCTATGGTTTGGCCAGGCCGCACGATGCTTGCCACCAAGTCACAATTCAATTGCCGAATCTGAAACTCAAACATCGCATGCGCGTCCAATGAGTCTTGACCCACTCAGTCAGCGGTTTCCCTCAGCCGGGCTCATGCTGTCGCGCTCACGGTCAACAATACTTGTAAGGCTGGACAAGCAACCAAACAATGAACCTTTGTTAACACAAACCCTACATGAACATATTTCCACTTCGGTTGTTTCTGGCAAAACGTGTATGGTGTTTTTGGGACATACCGGCTTGCCCAATACCAAACAATTCAACAGCTGCGACGGATACACCAAACCACACGCATGTGCAATGAGAGTACTCAGCGGGTTTGCGGACGCCGTGGAGGATGTGGTACCGCTTCGGACTTATGTCTTTGGGCGCTTGGACGAGCAAACGGACGGACACGCCAGGCGGGCGGTTCAGGAGGTAGAAGGGTTGTGTTTTGTTTTTTTGATTTGGGGCATCAAACGAAAATTCACGGGTGTTGTTTGGACCCCCCCTGGCAAAAGAACGGTTTCCCCTTTGATATCCTTTTGAAACCGACCAAAAAGGTACTCTCAGAACAATTGTTGTGTTGTGTTATGTTCTTTTTCGAAAGACCCAAATTCTACCTTTGGATCTTGGAAGAAACCGTATGCTCGGTTGGTTTTAACCATCGTTCCTTCTCGTCTGAAGTAACCGTTGTCTCCTGTTTTTTGTTTTTCTCCGGAAAGAAAGATCCCTCGAAGAAGTTCATTTGTTAGTTCCTGCGAGTCGGAAGTATTCACTCCGTCGGCAACAGTAATCACACTGCGGGGACAACGTTTCTTTTGAATAATGAATTAAGAACCCCTGTTGCGGCAAGGGTTCAAAGGATGCCACCAAAGCAGTCTAACTTAAGAACGTTCTAGAACATCCTACATCATTCCAGAACATTCTAAGAACATGTTCGCACATTCTTAAGTTCTCATTTAAAGAAAACATTAACAAACACTTTAAGACATTTCTTAGTACAAAAACAGTTGGAAACAATAATCAGAAATAATGAGAAACGATTGAACACACATAAAACAAAAACATCAGGTAATAATTACAATGATAATTACCACAAACATGTTTAATACCACAAAACTGTAAATCTTCATTAGTAACTGGTTTGACTTCATTTTCATGACGCTAATTTTTCCGAATGCACGTGCCCAGACCGAATGATGGTCACTCTTGGACGTGGGTTGGGAATTGTGCAAGTTCTATGCAGATAGCTGTAAATTGTGGCTTCGGTGGGATCACTGGAAAGCCTGCAAATGTCCAACTTCGCTTATTCGAATCTCAGATTCGAATACGCGGTGCTGGCAGGCGCAGCATCTTCATGTGCTTAAAGCAGGGCTGGCGCGCAGGCAGTCTGTGTCTTCAAAGCAGGACCACGGTTTGATTCTGTCAGTGGCATTTCGGAATGCCACCAACGCTTTGATGCAGCTGTCCAGGCCGGGCTGCCTATGTATGTAGAAACAAGTCATTCTCATGAGCTGCGCCGATACCTTGATGGCAGCACTTCCTTTCCTGCTCGGGCCCCATTGGCATGGTAAAGTGTCCTGTTTGCAGAGTAGGTTTGTTTGGTAATTAGGTTTGAGGGTCGCGTGGAAGGACATCCCGAATGCAATTGCATTTGGCCCAAGGCGCACGAAAAGGCGCGTAGCCACGGAAACCGGGGGTTGGAAATTCCCTGAACCGCAGAGGGATCCCAATTTCTTGTTCAGGCACTGCCTCGGGCGCGCGCGTTTGGATGGCAAATTGCTTTAAGGCCCCCAGCCCAGGGTTGCCTTCGGTGTCCATTTTGTCACCCACACCAGGGGCTCCGATTACAGGCCCGCCGAAAAGCCCACATCAAATGAGCAGTCTTCACGATATTACAAAACCATTTTTTGGCGCTTAGCGCTCCAGTGGATGGGAACCCTTGTTGCAAGGTGGGAAAGCTGATCAACCTCCACCAGCAACCTGCGCAGGTTGCGTGCCTCACCACAAGGGACCCGTCTTCACCAGGACTGGTGCCTGTTCGAATCTCGGGTTCACGATTCGTTGAGTTCCACTTGCCTGTGTGTTTCGTGCGTTTTGTTTGTTGCCAGTTTTGCGGTCAGAGCTTGTTTTGTTTCTTTCTTTCCCGCCAGCCGAAAATTTAGCGGCTTGGCGCGTGGTCCAAATAGCTATGTGTCAAATCTAGCGGCACTCCCCTCCAATCAACTGCTGTTTTTTAATTAAAAAAACGGTCCACGTGAAGGGAAATCGTGTTTTGACTCCCCCTGAACCGACCAGGAGGAGTATTTGCATTTGCGACCCATGCACGGGCCGTTGGCCATTGCGAAACACCTCAGCTGTCAGCGTGTGCCACCTACATGAACTGCACGACCTTGGCGTGAATCTGGCCTGCAAGGCTGAATGGGTGCTGAAAAGCGCTGGCTGGTTGTTCTGAGGGCACGTACAAAACAAACCCGAAAAACAAGCCACATTTCCCGGTGATCAGTCCACACTTCCATTCGGATGGTGTTCAAGCTGGTCACAGCTTGTTCATGGATTAGGGATAAAAGCACCGGATTGCGCCTGGTTCGTATTCAGGGGGGTGCCACTTTGTGCATGAAGGTGAACCCGGAAGCCCACGAAGGTCGCTATGTGAGTCCTAACAAGTTGTGCTCGTGACTCGTTGGTTTGTTTTTCCAAGAAACAACAGCAAAAGGCAGAGTTAAATTGATGAACACGAGTCCGGATGTATTTTGGGTAGACGGAAGTGAATCTTGACTTGTTCGAGGCTACCTCGTTACAACCATCAAAAACAAGAATTTATGTTAGAACTTCCTGTAGCATAAGGGGCTACATACCCAGGGCCTAATTTACCCCAAATTCCCACACTCATTTCGCCCCTTTTGTCCTAGACGTTTGATTGAACGCCAGGTGTGGAGCTCAGGCTAGCTCTCGACCGAAAGGAATCCCAAGGCCGCTGTCCAGCAGTTAGCAGTTGAGATACGCGGCCGGAAGTTCTTGGCTCTGGAGGCTTTCGGGTTGGAGGGATCGCGCGTGAGATTCTGTACCAGTAGCTACCACAAAACAAGGAGAAGACGAGCAAATGGGAAGGTTCACTAGATGAGGACCAGAGTCAAACATGCTAGTTACGGGGGCGGGGGTGCAAGGCTGAGGTAGCAACTCTGACCCTTCCCAACATTTTGAGGGCAAAGGTTTGAACAATACTATGGAAGTGGACTTGAAGAGATTTGCAACAGGAGTAGTCCTCCAAAAGTCTCGTGTTCACTTTTAGAAATGTTGGAAAGAGGGCATTTCAGTGTCCAACTTGGCTTACACGAGAAGGGAAATCCGGCGAAGCTTTTGTGTGTGTGCGCCCGGTCCAGGGCCCCACCCATCCGTTCCGGTACCGGAGCTTAGCAACGGCTGTGTCCGAGCTGCGGTGCCCAGTGGAGAGACAACATGCGCAAGAAAGGTTTAGAGACAGAGAAACCTAGTGTACGAATCGTGTTCGTCTCAAGATTTTGGACAGACCCCCCACTGGGTTCGAACCCAGACCCTTGTGCTGACACCAAACGCAGAGGGTCGAACATGTCGAAAGGGGTTGCCTCCAGAAGAGAGAGCTCCAATTGGAAGATCACGTTAGTATTGGGTAATAAGGAGCGTTTTCGGGATCCGCACTACTCAATTTCATTCTGATGGGGGTTTTTGGGACCAATGGCGCTTCACGAGGCCTCATTTCTACCTCAATATTCCTGTTACATCATGCTCAAACTTGGGCAGTTTGGAATGCTGCTGAACAAAGAAGTGAATTTGGGACACATTAGAAAGAGCTTAAACAGTGCAAGCCCGATACGCTCGCGTGCCAAACGCTTTCTGCTCAAGAAAAGAGGTAGTTGATTCACGCTCGTAACCTGCGAAGCACAGCCTTTCTACACACGCGGCATGTCCAAGATTTGCGCGGCCTTGCTCCTCAGCTTTGGCGGTCTAGTGCTGTCAAAGAGGGCTGAGGGCGTGGATGGCGGCAAGTTGGACATGGGCAAAGATGACATGTTGAGCCTCGACGATGTTGCGCCAAGGATTCTCGCCTGACTTGACTTGTTTGGTGTATGAAGATACGCACTGCTCGCATCTAATAGGGCATCCTTTTTCTCCCACGCTTTCCAAATATGCGGCTAGGAGCATGGCAGAAGTTGGCGAGAGCCTTGAGGTCAACGCAAGCCGTGCTGAGGATGTAGAGTGTTTCTGCATCAACCCCTACATCTATGCCGACCTTGACGACGAGGACTACCGCAGCTTTGTTTTCAGTATTCTGCGTTCATTCTCGCTTAGTAAGTATCCACTTTCTGATGAAATCCTTTGTGAGTAACATGGGCATTTGAGTAGATGGACATGATTTTTTGCCCAGGCCCTGCCATGGAAGCAAGATGAAGTAAGGCGGAGGGTCGGCGTGGGGGCAATGCGTCGGAGATCATGGTGCACGCCACGGACCTCACGGCATTCGCTGCAACGAGATTTGCGAGGACAAGAGGAAGTTTGTGTACTTTGAAGGCAGCGCTCAGACCTTGTCTTTCTGCGGCAATGACAATGGAGGTTTCACCGGGCAGATAGAGTGCCAGTGCCTGGACGGACTGGAGACCTTTCAGAACCAGGAGAACAAGAAGATCGCGCAGAAGCGATATCGCAAGGGTAAGATTGACGATCCGAACACGCTTTGGATGCTCAAGGTCAAGCACACCTTCAACAGCCAGTACAACGCAAACGGAAATCTCAAGGACTGCTATAGTCAGTGCCCAGCTGTTTGTCGACAGCATGAGATGGTCATAGGTGGCTGCGCCATGCCGGTGCATGCCTGATACTGACACGATGCGAGTAGTCTCTGGCAACCGAGGACACATCTTTGCGATGCCCGTGTAAAAAAAGCCCGACAAGCTGGCCTCAGTCCGCCCTGGAACCCTTTAGGGTGAACTTGGATCTACCTCGAACATGTTGGAGAGGTTGTGTGCACCATCCTCAACACACACATGGAAACACAGTAGAACAGCCTGAGCGGTCCGCCCATCAATTGACAGTGCTTGAGCGCAAAGCGGCCGCAAGGCGCCTCGGCTAGCTGCCCCGCCCTCGTCGGGGCCAAAGTATGGAGGTTGAACAGCTTCCTGTAGTGTGAAATGTCATGAACCAGCAACACGTGCGCATTCCTGAGGACGAAACGCTTGAGACAGCCGCTGCCCAAGCAATCGTGATCGACACGTTTGGTTTGTTTTTTGGCAACCTGGACGTAAGCGTGTAATGCTGCGGCAACAGCGCGGGTGCCGATTCATATTGGGATCCCAGCTTTGCCCGCCGATGACTTGAGCTCACGACCATGTTTCTTTAGAAAGTATAGTTTCCAATGTGAAATTTTGGGAATCTACATGTATCTTCCAGCCTGTGAGTCGCGACCAACAACAGGTTTGCAAGCCTTCTTTGGCAGCCCGGTTAGCGAGAACGTCAAGTTCGGCGGGCGAAGCGCGTGCCGAGTCTGCCAATTGGCGAGCATGAGAACACGGAACGTTGTGTTGCAGAGTGAGGTGGGCAGACACGTGCAAACAGCCGGGTTGCAGTTGCCAGTGCCACACGCGTGAAAACTGTGAAGGGGTGAGAACCCTCAACGAAAACTCAGCAGCTAGGGCAATTGCAAGCGCTGTTTGAAGGCGTTGGATTTTTGATTCGGCACGTCAACTCAAAACACAGCAATGACAATGCAAATGCTTTGACTGTTTTTTTCTCGACAAGGCTGGCTCCCGAACCCGCCAAGCAACCACCCCATGGTTTGGCCGCATCTCACGATGCTGGCCGCAAGTCACGGTTCCCCAAAACAACGTTTCAATGTCAAACGGACGCCGAATCTGAGGCTCACACATCAAATGCGCATCCAAGGAGTCTTGACCCGCAAGAATCCAGCGGTTTCCCTTAGCTGGAGGGGATAATCGTGCGCCGCGCGTTCACGGCCAGCATCACGACAATGCATCTCTCGTGTTTGTGGGTATGGTTTCGGACAAGGTTAGACAAACAGCCAGGCCATGAACCCGTTGTAACGAAACCCTACATGAGCAGAGTTCAGAACGTTGGTGTTTTTGGGACACGCCTGTTTGCCCAAGATTAAAGCAAAGCGAGCGAAGTGCCTTTGAGACAGCGCTCGGTTTGCGGACGCCATGGAGGATTTGGCGCCGCTTCGGACTTATGTCTTTGGGCGGTTGGATGAGAAGAATCGGACCAACACTCCAGGCAGGCGGTTTTAGGGTTGTGGGGCGTCAAGCGAAAGTTCAGCGGGTAGGGTATGAATGGCGACCCCCCCCAGCAAAACAGAACGTTTTTTTCTTGTGATGCTTCCTTGCAACCACCCACTTGGCCATTTGAATCAGTATGTTTTCAACAAGAACAAAATGGAAACCAGCACAGCAACGTTCCTTTCGGACCCCTGTTCCGGCAGGGGTTTGAGCCGAAAGCCCCGAAAAATAAAAGATGGATGCCCCCGAACAATGATTGAAGAAGTTCGTTAAGGCTGCTCGTTGGAGATTCATTCGGAATCCGAGGTCCATGTTTGTTTTGAACGCGGGCGGTTGTTGCAGCGCTATGCATGTTGGCGGCAGGAAGAGAAACGCGATTGCAAGTGGAGGGAATGTGTCAGGGCTGTTGCCGCGGGCGCAGAACTTGGTTGTGCCAGACCCTGTGACGAAAACGAGCCATGGTCATGGAACCCAAAAAACGCGTCCAAACCTCTACTGCTATTGGGTTGGATCCTTAGACTTTAATGTTGGGATACCCCTCATGTTTCTTTTTAATCAACAAAAACCCCGGAAGCAAAAAGTTAAACTGGGGGATCTACAGCACCCAAGAAACTGGGTTCGTCTTGATGTTTAGCCATTTCGCTCCCGATTAATAACCTCCCCTGAGAGAAGACTCTGGGCAGTGCTACATTAAAGGCCCACAGCCCACAAGGTTTGGCCAAATCTTCGTCTCCCCCTTCCCGGTATTCATTTCGTCCCCCACCCGACTGCAGGTGCTCCAATCACAGTCCCGCCGAAAAGTTTGTTTTTTAGCGAAACTAGGGGATCCTTTGGACATGTTTTGTTGTTTTGTTATGGACATGGGATCTTTTGGTGGACATCATTCTTTGGATTGATGTCTAAACCGTGAAGCGGAGTCTTTCCTTTTATGTGCCCCTTGTTGCTGGGTAATGTCCTGAAGCGGATAAGAACCCTTGTCGCCAAGCGGGAAAGCTGATCACCTGTTGCCAGCAACCCATGCGCAGGTTGCATGCCTCGCTCACAGAGGAACCGTCTTCACCAGGACTGGCCGACTTTTCGAAGCTCGGGTTAGAGATTCGTTCAGCTCTTCTGATGTGCGTGTTGTTGTCGCATTTTGTGTTTTGGCATTTTTGGGGGGCCAAAAACATGTGTCAAGTCTAGCGGCAATCCCCTACTTACTAATTGGTTTCAACGCACACAAAACTGTCCTGAGGGGCAACCACCTCAATTGTGTTTCGACTCCCCCGTTTTGTGAAACCGACCAGGAGGAGGATGTGCACTTGCGATCCATGCACGGGCCGTTGGGCACTTCCAAGACTGCATCTGTCAGCTTGTGCCACCTGGATGAACTGCACGACCTTGGGGTGAACCTGGCCCGGCAAGGCTCGACGGACGCTAAAAATTGCTGGCTGGTGATTTGGGCGCGCGGTGTTCTGAGAGCAGCCTTTTTGCCTTGGTGCAAAGCAATTTCTGGTAGTGAGTCCCCCAATTTGTTCACATTCCCATTTGGAAGGGGTTCAAACCGGGCGCCGCTTGTCCATGGATTGGGGATAAACATCATCGAATTCCTCTTGGGCCGAGCTGGTGATAAAGGAGCTGAGGCTGGAATTCGTCCTTTTCCCTGCTCCTCACTTACCCCTCCTAATTGCCCCCGCTCCCCCAATGGTTCGTTACAAAGAGAGCAGACTCACAAGCATTGGCATGTTTGAACATCACTTGGACCGCTGCGTTCGTGGGAATATTTTTAGCTTGTAAGGTTAAGAGTCAGAATGCTCCTCAGTTTGAGACAAACCCAATTGATTTGCTGTTTAAGCTGGGTATCTCTTATTGCTTCTTGAATGTAATTCAACATAAAACGTCGCATTTGCAGTCATCTTCACTTGTGACGCATCGTGATTTGGTTGCCGGCTGAAGCTTTATCAGCCACATTTTGGATATTTGGTTGGTTGTCAAGAGGAAGCAAAGATCAACCCACTGTTTGTTGTGGCCCCGTTTGTCCTGTGATTGGATGGAGGAACGGACAGACGATGGGGTATCGGCTGTCCAGGTGTGCAGGCACCCCCTTCCCCCCCCTCCCACCCCCAATGCGGTTGGGAAGGGCCCCCTAAGAGGGGGTCCATGAAGGTAGCCTCCTCGAAGTTGATGAAGAGGACCCCCACAAGGACTTGCGCTGGATTGAAATACTTGGCCCTTGTGAGTTTCCCGGTCGTATTCCGGAGAGCCCAATCGGAGCCTGTTGCGCGCCACGCGCACGCAGCGGTGGGCTCGGGGGTGGGGGGGGGGTGGGTCTGCTGCAGGTCGCTTGGCCGAGGCGGAGAGCGCGCTGCACCAGGCCTGGCAGGGCCGAAGCGGGCGCCTGGGCGCCGACCACCCCATGACGCACAACTCCCTGCGGGAGTGCCGGGGGGCTCGGAGCACGAGTGGTTCAGCTCGGAGCCACACCGAAAAAGGCGTGTCTTGGTTTTGGACGCCCAAAGGAAGTCACTGATTTTTTTGGGACGCGCATATTTGATGAAGGTGTATATACTATATATATATATATATATATACATATTACGCAGGTCGGATGGACAAAATAGGAGACATCGCCTGAACATATGATGTTCTGTGTACACCCGATGTGGGCCAACGGAACTTGTGTTTTCCCTAACTCCCCTTCAGATGAAAAAAGAAGCCGCAAAATCATCATTGGACAACTCGTGGGTTCCATGTGAATTTGCCAGAGAGTACCTCATCAGCTTCCAAACAGAGCACATTGGTAGACGCAGTCCTGCAAAATGGTTAATATGGTTAAATGGAGTTAGGCAGCCATTTGAGAACACTGCGTTGCGAGCCGTCCAGATGGAGAAATCTGACAGGCGTGCGAAAGACTGGGCTTCTCTTAGCTGCGTGCCACGACCCGGATGACAGACTTTGCGCAAGTTGAACCCTTTCGGCCCAAGAAGGTCGAAATGTGAGTCCCGCAACTTGTGGTCATGGCTGGTTGTTTTCCTCAACACAAAACAGCTAAAGGCAAGGTTGACTGAATCAACATGAGTCCGGATGGGTTGCGTAGATGTTTAGCCTGCTGCAATTGAACCTCGAGTTCTGCGAGGCCACCACTTTCAGGCCATAGAAACCATCCACGGGAATGTCTGCTGGAAATTGGCCAAGACAGGCATCAAAAGCAGGAATGTCCGGTACAGTCTCCAGAAAAAAGGGGCCTACAGTCTGAGGGTTTTTTGTTTGCCACGGCTTCATTTCCCCCAACGCCCCAGACTCATTTCGCCCCTTGCCAGACCTCCCATCGAACGCTGGCTCCGATCCGCGCCAGGTGCGGAGCTGCGGCGTCGCCGGGGCGACGAGGGCACCTGCGAGACTCTGCTGCGGCAAAGCCGCTGCCACGGCCCGGAGCCTCGGAGCTTGGGGGTTGCGCGCCGGCCAATTGTAGAGGAGCCCCCTTTCACAAAACAGACCCCTTTTTGGGTTCGACCCGGGCCAAGCTTTCAGACCGAGCAAACCCGCCTCGAAATGATCACCCATCTTCGCATTGAAAGGTCCAAACCTCCAGTGGTGGCCTTTAGTTTTTCTTTCTGGAAGGAGTTTCCGAAAAAACTCGACCAAACCTGGGTGCCATTTTGTGTTCCATGGCCCAAAGAAAAGCACACAGTTGACATGCGATCCTTTGGCACCAATTTGAGTTTGGGCTGAAAGGTTGGTCGTGACCTGGAAGGGTCGATGAGTTGTTTGGTTTCCGAAGTGCACATGACTTCTTGTGGCCATTAATTATTCTGTCATGTTTTTCCTTTTTGCAGGTGGGGGAGGGGCTGAGGCAGCACTGTCAGGTTGGTGTAGAGTGAAGGAAAAAGGAAAACCATTTTTCAGTCCTCGATGTTGACACATACCCATGTTGTTTGATGTCCTTTCTGTCGTGTTGCCTCTTCGTGCCGGTTGTCCTGTTCTTGTTTTCTTTCTGCAGTGCTGGTTTTCCTGATGTTCTTTGGGTTGACACAGTTTGCCACATTTGCCAGTTGCACCTTTTCTTCATGTTGTTGTTTTGCCCTTTTTTTTTTGACTTCACCGTCCTTGATTGTTTCTTTGTTTGCCAAACCTGGTTGTCCTGCTATATGTATTTGATCTTCTGTCTCTTGAGCATCGACATACCAAGTTGTTTTTGTTGGCAGGATGCATCTCACCTCCCCAGTCTCTGTCCTTACGTTTCGGGAACACCATTTGAGCTTGCAAGAAGTTCAACTTTGGTTGCCAATTTATTCCCAAGTCGAGGTGAGGTTCAACTGGATGTTTTCAAGTTGCGGGTTTCCTTTTGGGTGTCATGAAAAGCCGGCGGGTTTCTTGAAGCACACCCGCATATTCGCACCTTCGCACACGGGTGTCCAGAACCGGCCGCGAGGCCTTCACCAACGCCACCCTGAGATGGGCAATGGTCTGCTGCCCACCACCCAGCACCACACCAAGGCGATGCCACAGGTGTCCTTGTTTGGTTGGTTTGCTTACTGTAGCAAATAGAGGGCCCTGGTTTTGATGGGGAAAAAAAAACATTTACCAGGGCCATCTATGTTTCATCAAAAGGCCAGCTATGTGGGCACAAGCGCAAGTTGGGATGGGCGCATAGATTTCAACAGAAACTTGAAGCTGAAGATGATTTTGATTTGTGGTGGTCACCCATTGTCAATGAAACCCATTTGTCAGCCAAATTGACCTGACGCAATGCCAATGGGCACAAGCGGTTGGAGCGGTTGGTTGCCTTGTGACCCTTTTCCAACTTTAAACCTCGTGTTTTTTTGTCTTTGTTGTGCAAGGCTGGTTTGTCAACATAAAAGGGTTTGATTTGACTGCCGTGGGATATTGCGCGCACATGGGTGTGTGTGTGTGTGTGTCTTGGAACTATTCGCCCACTCTCTAGTCGCATTCCAAAGCATCATGAAACCAAAAATACTTTCGGTTGTGGAGTATTCTCAATGGGTCTCCGATTTCAAAGCGGGCGCCTGCCTTTTTAGTCGAGCCGGTCTTCGGACACAAATGTACACATCCAAGAGGGGTTGTTGATTGCCTCTCGGTTTGTCTCAAGATGGGGGACCCGGAGGATGGATAGTGTTCCCTTTGTTTTTGCTTCAAACATTCCACACGTCCCAATTAATTGACAGACCCATGTGAAGGACACTTTCGTTTATCAGGGTTGAGAAGATAGTTGCTTGTTAGACCTCCTGAAATTGGGCCTCGTTTCGGAATGGTTTTGAGGCGACTCGGCGTCAAGCAAATCATTGGGCGGGGTGTATCCGCATTTTTGCCACGGCCGGGGGTTTGAGCCTTGGAAGCTTGTTGGGCAGACTTGAGAAACCGAATCCCTTCCTCCTCGTAGATGCACCCCCCCATATTCTTTGTGTATCCTAAAGGAAACCAAGAAGTCCTGGCTCCCGCGACAAGAATGGGGTACACTCATTTGCTCGTGGCAAACTCGTGGTTGTATATCCCATTGGAGGCGTGAGTTGCCCATGCGTTTCGGTGGTTTTGTGGACAAAGCAACTCCCTCGAAAGAATGGGGACAAATAACCATACCGTGGGTGGACGAAATCCTGCACCACTTCAAAACCATAGCAAACCTTTGTTCGTTGGTATTTGAAGGGGAAGCATCACCCAGGGTTTTTAGGTGGTGCAGGATTTCGTCCATCCACAGTATCAAAAAACTGTGTCCAAAAGCCCACCTGTTCACCTTTTCGGTTTTCCCCGGTTCCATCAGTTTCAGCCTCGGATGTCCAGTGGGCAAGTCTCTCGCCCACTCGCTCGCTCGCTTGGCACTCGCCTCGGGCTTCGGAGGTGACACCAAAGAACCCGCGGGCGCTGCAACACTCGGAGTTCCCGACCCGAAACCCGGGACCCTGCCGATTTGACGAGCAGACGCTGCGCAGGCGGGGGAGAAGATGTTTTTGTTAAAGAGGGGCTGGGCTGGTTGTTGTGTCTGTGTGCGTGTTTGTTTGCCGTTTGTGCGCAACAAGAATGCCGGTAGTTGACTCCTAGAGTCATAGCTTGTGGTTTCAATGTACCCCACGGCACTTGTCAGTTTTCAACCATGAAAGTATGTGGGTGCCACCATGTTCAGATAGCTTCGAAGGGTTTCCTTCAAGGCAAACCAAATCAATTTTGGGGGGTCCCCCCCATGACACATGCGAAGCCGCTTCTGGGATCTCTTGGGTCCAGACCCGTTGACTCGTTGGCTTTTCCTGGGTAGGGCCCAAAAGGTGACCACGATAAATTTCCGGGCCCTTTGGGCAAGAGACTTTAGGATTGAAGTTTAATCATTTTGGGCCCGAACTTGTAACGCCCTATTTGGGGGATTGGAGAGTCTAAGGCCAACCATGTTTACAAGCCTCTATTTGTTCGGCTGTGTCTAAATAGAATGGGGGACTGTGGTTTTGCTTTGGGTTCACTCAAGAAGCACTCAGGCTTTCAGGGATGAACAACGGAGCAGGCAATTCGTATCTTTGTTTTGGTTGTGGCAACAATTGAGACGCTCAGGGTCCCTACTTCCGACATGATGTCCATGTGGATGGACAAAATCGGGTCGCGCCATGTTGAACCCATGGTTGAAACCAGAACCTTTGGTAATTACAGCGGAAAGTGGTTATTTCACGGTTTCTTAGGTGGTGCATAATTTCGTCCACAACCAAATACAACCCATCAGGGTAACCTCGGTCCACCGGGCGGCTCACTTTCAGCGGACGGGCGCCTTCCCATTCGTGTGATCTCGAGAGCAATTTCTGCCTGCCTATTTTATTGCAAGCTCAGTCACCTGTTGGTAACACCTGCTCACATCTGCTTACCATGATGATGATGATGATGATGATGATGATGATGATGATGATGATGATGATGATGATGATGATGATGATGATGATGACGATGATGACGATGATGATGACGATGACGATGACGATGACGATGACGATGACGATGATGATGACGACGAAGACGACGACGACAATAATGGTGATGTCTATGATGGTCCTTACTTGGGATTCCTTATTTCAGCCGTTGGACGTACTTTAGAATTCGCAGGGTTTTGCCAGCAGCTGGCATGGGCTATGGCCTTGCTCAAGATCGGGCTAAGTTTGAAAACGTGTGTGGTGCACACTCGTGTCGGGCGACGGTTGAGATTTTATCCGTTGAGAAAGACATCAGCCTGGGCACATGTTTGATTTTCTCTCAAGGGAAACCACAAGCGCATGGACGGAATATTTGTTCCAGCCCCGGCCCCCATCTACAACAGCCCAGATGTCCTTTGCCCCGTTGGTGGTTTAAACATTACCTTTGGGGCCTGTAATAAGGTGAGTCTTTCTTGGCTGCGGTAGAGAACCCTGTCAAAGACATCCCTTCCCGAAACGACTTTTGCGTTGGCCAGGAGCTTCAGCATGTCGGAGATCCGGAAAAGCCCGCAGACGCCGCAAACGACCATCAAGCTGCTGCTCGGTGCAGTTCCCGAATCATAAGGCGGCCCATGGACGCCTTGTTTGCCCTTCAAAATGGGTGCAACTGAGCCCGTTGAGGGAAACAGAAGCTAGGCCTTTGGCCGAGAATTGTTTTTTTCCGATCTGTCGCGCCATCCCAAAGGGACTGGGCAGCGAACAAGCTGGGCGGAGCAAAAAGCTGTGACCAGGATTGACAAGTCTCCCAACAAACCTGGAAGGGCCCTTTGGTGGACATCTTTCAGATGAAGAGTCATGTCCACCCGACCAAATTTGATGTGGGGTTCCCTATTGAGATTCATAGCCACATGTTTGTATATATACACACATCCTTTCTGGAAGACTGCATTGCTTTTGGAGGGAGGACAGGATCCCCAACATTGGAATCAGAGAGGGGATCAGTTCTGGAATTCCATATGCCATTCTCCCCAGGGCAGAAAGGGTATGTCAATGAAAAAGACTGGGTTCCCACCCCGCTTAAGGTAGGGTTCGCCTGCGACCCTCAAAACTAAGATTGGCCAATGCTCTCTTCCATCAACCTCCCACCATCCAAGGCAAAGGTTGTTGTTTTGGCTTCGGCATCCCTCAAAAGCGATCCAAGCTCTATGCAGAGTCTTGTTTAGTCCCAAGCGCGGCACAGACCAGGACAAGTTTGAATGGTGAGATGTTTGCAGCCTGTCAATGGAGTTCTGAGTAGCAATTCAGTGGGCGGCCTCAACTCCAGTTTTGGGGGAAAGAACGGGGGGGGGGGGTCGAAATTGGGGTCGCATCAAAGATGTTGTTCCTTGTGGCTTCCCCTGAAACCACTCTGAAACGGGCACCCTCAAAACCACGCATCCAAAATGAGATGGGCGTGGTTGTTTGTTGCGCAGTGTCCTCAGATGGCAAAGTTCTACAGCAAGTTGAAGCGCGTCAGTTGAGGGTGATCAGTGATAATCATGTGAACGATATCTTCTGAAGCCCTTCAGGCTTTACTATGGGCTTGTCTCAACCCTCAACACAGACAGGCCCCTTGTTGGATGATTTGAAAGGGACGCCGAAACCGCAGGAACCCGGCAATTGGAATGCAGTAAAGGCCCCAAGTGAGTTACGTATTTTAAGATTTGGGTCGCTTGGATTGAACAAACCTGGAGCTCACTCGGCAGCTGTAGCTTGAATTGGTGCCTTGCCCTTTCTGGAAACGACGTATGACCTACCCCCTTGATGGGTTGCAAGTCGCGAACGTGCCACACAGAGTTGGTTTGCCATAACTGTCCAGCAGTGGAGCATTGACTCGCCGGCTTCACCATTTAGCTGGGCTTAAGATGGAGGTAGACTGCCAGAGACGAACGCAAGAAGATCAACACTTTTTCATTCAGCCGTCCTTGGGGGAATGACTTCTTAGCTCAGATGCCGGATTTGTCATAATTCCCCTTGCGTGCGCTGGCATCGATATTTTTGAAGCTTGGGCTTGTTCTATCCACCTCAACCAAGTGACGTTCATGCGAGGCTTGGCTTGCACAGTCCCCTTATGCATCGCAAATAAAAACCATGAAGAGTCCTTGGGTGAGGCTTCCCCAACAGCAGAGGGTGATGTTTTAGCACAGCTTCCAACGACCCACGGAAAGCAAGGCTTAAGGCGGGCTGTTCCGCAAGGGCCACGGGTGGTTTCCGGTTGGTTTCAGTTACGAAAACTTTTCACGGCTTGAGTGGGCGATTCGCAGAGGCTTCCCGGCCAGTGATCCCAGGGTTTGCACGTCTCAGCCCACGCTTGTGCGCCATGGCTTCTTGAGGTCACTCGGCGAAAAAGAACAGTGATCGGGATGGGCTGCAGGATTGTGCTTTGCCAGGATTTGCCCTTTGGCAAATGAGCGGCTTGGCAACGTGCGTTGCAACCTCACCGCGGGTTGCGACCTGACCCATGAAGGGCCCTTTGGGAGTCTTTTATTTTCTGGCAGATGACAAGTCACCCCAAGCGTGTGTGAGTGTGAGGGTCTCTCCTTTAAAACCACCTAAACGGAGATACCTGACATGCCCACATTGGTCTCCAAGAGCACAATTCTAAGGCAAAATCCAAGTTGAACGGTTGAAAGGTTTGGTCGAGGAATTGGCTGAATGCATGTAAAAAAAAATGGCGCAGCCAACATCAGGAGCCTCAATAATTAGAATGGGGTTGGGGCGCACTTTAAAGACAACTGATAGACAATAATGTGTGCAACTAGTTTTCCACTCACAGAGAGTCACGGTCGTTTTCACGCGCTTTTGGTAGGCCGCCCGGCTGCATGGCCAGCCGTCGAAAGGAAGGCCAGCTTCCGGAACAGCATGTACAGGGTGTACGAACCCAATCCACTTGCATCCGTCACAAAGGGACATGTGGGATTTTGTTGGAATGTGTCAAAACTAGGGGGCCTCCAAAATGGGTTCCCTTTTTGTTTCCCTTGAAACCGACCTCAAAAGGTGGTCGCAGAAAGGAAACGAACCCCTATGAGAGTCGTTCGCAATCCTGATTGTTTCATGGAATTCAGAATTGACGTTTACTTTGTGTGCTGTTTGCGCAGGGGTCGAATTACAGATTTTGTTTTATTCCTTGCAGCGCGGAAGCTTCGCGGAAGCTTTAATCTATGTATCCGTTTGGGCTAAAGCACGCTCTACTCGGATGTGGGGCATTTGCTTCAAAAGGCGCGAGAAGTATATACAAGGAGGAGGGTGTTCAGTCTCGGGCGGGCGGTTCGCAGCCGCGTGGGTCACGGAAGCGGAAGCCCGTGGCCGCGGAGACCGTTCCACGTCTTAGTACTGGCACCCGAACGCACGCAGAGTCACACGGTCTGCCACCACAGTGGCCTCGATGCCTGCCTCACACCCAAAGGTTAACAAGCAGGAGAAGACATTTAGAAGAACTATCATGTGTAGTATGTTTGAGAGTCTGTGTGTGTGAGATGCCACCTGCCCTTCTTGCGTGCGCGAGCGGACGAACAGATGCACAGACAGAGCTTCTCCGGAGCGGCAGAGCGGTTCCCAACCATTGTCTTCTTTGGAACGCAAAGAGGCGGGCCTCATGAGAAGTGTCCTCTACTTGGTTTTGGTGTTGGGTTCCATGTTTATTTGAATATATTTCGTTGACTCCGACGAGACCTTGTCCAACCCTTAGAATCCAGGGTCCTTTGGCGCAAACGGGCCGACATTGAGTGAAGCGACCAGACGAAGCGCCCAGATGCCATGCGTTGTGACTCTCATGCGTAGCCAACCGTTGGACACTACTTGGTTAAATGCTAAATGGAATTACTGCGTAAATAGAATTCCTGAAACCAAAAGCTGAAGGTATGGCGAGCACCGGAAGTTTTGGGGTCAAAAAGAAAAGAAAGGCTCTATGGTGTGCGTTTGCGCGGAGTCCCATGCTCAATTGCGATGGTTCAACACAGAGTCTTCTTCGGCAGGCAGTCTGGGCAACCATGCGTGGGGCTGAGGATGTGCGTTCAGAGTGAGACGTTGCAGAACGTGTTTAGCTTCAACAAGGGATGGAAGGGAACGGTGCAGATATGTGTCAAATTAGGGTGGCCCCCCAACCAAAAATGTTGGTTTCCATTTCGATCTGAAAGGGTGGCCTCAAAAAGCGCATATTCCCTTCCTTCTTCCGTCTTCCGACAACAAGTTTGTTGGCCACTGAGAAGCGTTTGGGTGGTTTCTAAAATCGTTTTTTGGCTAGATTCCTTTGCATTTCCCATCAACCCAACTGAAAAGGATGTACTGTCCAATAGTTGGACACGCCCAGATGCATGAAATCTTCAAGAGTCTGATTCAAGAGTGCTGTTCCATGCGACATCCGACCACATAAAGACTCAGGTGCTTCCAGGCCAAAATCAGCAAGCCCCTGTCAAATGTTGGAGTGCGAAAGCCACCCGTCAATCATCGTGCCGAAAACCCCAGGAAACAAACAATGTATCAATACTACATATATCATGCGGATTCCCTTTCTAACCCGCCGCCAAGTTTGCTGGTTTTGATTTGCAGCAATGTAGTGAGAGCCACGTGTGTCAGGTAGCTACCCCTGCACTACTGATGTAGCTTCGATGTCTTCGGGCTTGAGATGAAAAAGCTTGCTGGTGCGACAGGCAGGGAATGAGAAATGGAATGACCCCTACAAACCATCCAACTGGTGGTTTCCTTTAAGGGGACCCTTGGGTTCATTCCCACATTCCGTACCTATCGCAGCAAGAAAGTTGTCTCAGGAGTACCTTGGGCCCCTGCACCTTGTGAGACCGGATGTGGCCAAGCAACAAATTCTCATCCGAGGCACGTGGGCAATCAATGCCGGCATTGAGGCGCCGATGCCGTGCGTTTGCCAACGTTGTGTTTTTGTTTGTTGTTGTTTAAAAAAAAAGAGAAGAAAAACAACTCGCGTGACATCTTGATGAATTGGCCCCTGGAATTTTGACACCAATTGATTGATGGCTTGTTTTTCTCGCGTGACATCTTCAAATATTAGCCCCTTCTACCTGACACAAACTGATTCCCTGTTGGCTGGGTAAACTCATTTGCCCTCCATACATTTTGCGGCGCAGCCGTCCCAACAGGAATGGCTGAAAGAGGTTCGGCCATGGTCCAACGAGGTTTGTGCGGGTTAATGTAGATGGCACATTCACCTGGTGGCTAAGCGTCTCGGTTACGAAACCAAAAACGGGGCCGCGCGCCATCGACTTTCACCCAAGGGTAGGCAAAAGCTCTCCCTGCCTGGGAAAGAGGCATACCTTGTGGTATCCTATCCCTGTTGTTTCGTCAATGTTAGGAATCCCAACAAGGTCAAGCAGGTGTGTGGAGTGGGTGCTGCGGGCCCGTTCAAAAGCTTTCCAAACAAGCTGCTTTGGGCTAACGGCTAGCAATTTCCCAAGTTGGCTTGCTGTTAGATCAACTCCCAGGTTGAATGTCCACAGGTGGCACCCTTTGCTTTGCGGGGTCCATGCTGAAACACGAAACTAGCACCGAAATTATGATCTCAGGGAACCTCAAGACTTTGTGGAGGGGTCCGCCTTCTTCAGCCCTGTCCTGGACGTATTGCAGAGATCTCCATAGACCCCCCAAGGGCCCCACTGGGGAAATTGAACGCACGTCGCCAATTCTGGCAGACATGAAACCCAAAGGGTCCCTTGAGGAAACGACAGGCAGGTCTTAGGACCCATATTTGCTGATAGCAGGTAGTGAGTTTCTATTTGTGGGTTGAAAAGTCAGTTCACCCAGATTTCAGCCCACTTTTTGGAGTGAGCGTTTGGGCGGGTGTTATGACAACTTGAGTTTGGCCTACAAGGGCCAGCCCCCGCGTGGATGGTTCTCCCAGGCCGTGTCGCACGGAGTTCTCCTTCCGAGAGCGCGGGGTGGTGGCCCCGGCTGAGGGCCGCTAAGTACTCGCCAGAATAGGTGTCCATTTTGGTTGATTTTAAGATTAGAGGGCCCTGGTTTACCTGGCGGTTGAATCAACTACCAGCATCTATGCTAGCCAGGTATTCCTTGGAAGGTCAGCGTGCCCCCACCCGCTAGCAGTTTGTAAAGCAATGATTCATGGTTGCCAACCATCCCCGTTTTTTTTTGTTGTTGTTCAAATATATATATATATATATATATATAATTTTGTTAGGGTTGAGTGGTAGTCTCCGCTAAACTACTGAGGTCAATCTTTTAGCAGGCGATCTGAGAAGGCCACGTGCTTGACTCTGACCTTGTCCACGCCCAGAACAAATAACAAGGGATCAGCTCAAAATGGTTGTGATTCTATGAATGTTGATGTTTGGAAAATATCACAAACAATATGTGTTTGCTAGTTGGTTGTGTGGTCAGTCTCTGGGGCTCCAGCGTAGCAACGCTGCATAGTTTAGACTTGTCAACTTTGGAAGCTGTGCTTTGAAGTCCATCAAGTGGCCGAACTCGGGACATAGTTTGGTCGCGCCATGGGTGTTTTGTCCGCCTATTGGCTGCTGTTCCTTTGGGCTAGACGGTCTGGCTCCCGCAAATTGCCGCATGACCCGATTGAAACTGGCGGGGGCAGTTTTGGAGCCCTGGAGATCTTCAATCTGAGCATTCTTCGTTTCACCCAGCAAATGTCTCTTGGAGCCCAGGGACCTTCAGCTGGATGGCCAAAGACGAGAAAACTTCCAATGAGTGGAGGCCTTTCCTGCGTGCTTTGCTTCGGCGAGGTGCGGGGAAGGTACCAAGAAATCCCGGGCCTAGGTGCCATTGCTTTCAAATCCGCGAGATGTTCGTAAAATATGGCTGTGTCCTTTTCAAACTTTCAAAGGCCCGAACAATTTGTGGTATTCCTTTTGGTGTCCAATTGACACCGGCCAAAATCAGGGCTCCGTTCCCCCCCCAAAAAGAAAGCAACATGGACCCAGAACACCAGAAAACCAAAAGCCGAAAAGGAGGCCCAGGCTACCAAGCCCCAATCAATGGCCCAGGCTACCAAGCCCCCACGCCGGCACAGCACCGCGCTCAGCGGGAAAAACAAAAAGGGCGGGGTTCTACGCTTTTTTTCTGTGAAACTCGGTGGTTAGAACCCCCTTGGGGGGACAAAAAATATATATATGTGTTTTTTTGTTCATGTTTTTTTCTTCTCATGTTCCCCGTGTTTGCCGTTCTCGTACTTATGGGTCCTTCTTGTTCTTTCTCTTCTTCTTGTTCCTTGCTTCGCCTTTTCTGAGTCTTCTCGTCTGTTTGGCCCGCTTGGTTCCAAGGACTTCTTCTTAGCAAGGGTCGCGCGCCTTTTCGCTGTCGAGGAAAAGGGAGAAGCCATGACTGGTTTTGCCACGGGGGAGAGTCGCATCCAAGAAGAATAAGAAAGGACACTGGGTGCCAACCCAGTGACGTGTTTGCAGTTTCCGAAGCCAAAACAAATGGCATTGTGATTCTTCCAGACCCACTGCAACATTGGAGCAGACTTGTGGCCGGACTTGTTTTTCATTTCAGAATTGGAATCTGGCAGGGCTCTAAGGTGCCGGAAGGTCGCATTTGTGCTCTTTTTGGTTTTTCTCCATGGGATTATTGGGTTGGTCACTGCTACCTACCCCAAACATTGACAAGAAGAGGAACCAACCACAAGCTTGGCAGCTGCCGGGATGCCCCACATTGGCACGCCAGGAGACGGAGTTCGGGATTCCCGCTCTTTTGTGAAGAGGACCCCCTCTTCAGGTAACAAAGTAGTCATACAGAAACGAGTCTCATTTTGTCAATGAAAAGGACAGTTCCCTCAAGCCGTGCGGGCATATAAAGACGGTTTTGGAAAGAGTTTCCCTTCTCAACGAATAGCACTTGGCACCTGACTGAGAAGGGGATCCTTCCACGCCATTTTCCTCTTCAAGGCAACTTTTGACAGCTTCCATGTTGGTGGGAGAAGGACCTCATTGATAGCCTTCGTTCATGAAACTAGCCGGGCTTTGATGCTACATGTTCACATGTCCACCTCACCTTTAAGCTGATTTCGAGGATACAAATGCTGAAGCTCAGCAAATCAGCTAGAAAAGCAAATCCTGCAATCACCTGCTGCTGCACATTCCTTTATTTTTACAAGGATTTGAAACCAGCTTATGTTCGGATGAATCCGCGGAAACCGACCCTGGCGACTTCCTTCCAGCTGAGGCTCGGGGGCGGGACCCATGGGGCCCACCTTGACCTGGCCCAGCTACAAAGAGGAGCCCGCTTCGGTCGCCCGTTGGGTAGGGCAAGCCGGGGAAACGGACTCATTCAGGTTCCGGAGATTGAGAGAGCTGAAGTCTTCCCAAGCAAAAAGTTGGGGCTCACCTTTTCTGAGCTCAGTGAAGGATCTCTTTCGTTTCTGGATGTTTCCTTGATTGAAGCTCTGCGTTATGTTTTTGTTGGATATTTTGTCGACATAGTATTCAAGGTCTACTCAGGTGCTGATTGAAGTCGGTCGACACCCAAAGCGCTTGACAGCACTGCCGCAAAGTCAGCAGCCCTGTTGTTTCTGCGGAGCATCTAAGAATCTCACAGACACGAAGATGCTCTCAGTAGGAAGCGGTTGTGAGCTTGTTCCTTTCGAGATGGTTTCCTGAAGCTCTGGCAGGGTCGACCATGATGACACTTGCTTGGGCGAAACATGTGAACCCTTGATTCTGAGCACCACTGTGCGGCGCCCTTTGTGTACAACCCAATCGGGGGTCAACAAGCTCACACAAGCTCGCCTGGTCCAAGCGGATCGGCCAAACATAACCTTTTCTGTCTTCTAATTTGGAACCACTTTGAGCCAGGGTATGTGTCAGAATCGGGGACCCTACAAGAATGGTGGCTTTCCCTTTAAACCCAGCTGAAAAGGGTACACGCAAGACGGCACACACACACACACACACTCACCTGTAAGCATGCATTCACAGGCATATAGACCACCCGCCAACTGTTCCGAGGGCTTGTCTCAAACTAATGGACCGCCAAGAAAGACGCGTGGTTTCCTGTTGAATTTCCCTTGAACGCCACCAAACAATGTACTGCACCCATGACTCTGGGCGCAAGGAAACCACAAGAGGATAGGAATGATTTGAATGACTCTGGGCGCAAGGAAACCAAAAGGGACGCGTATTGCGTCGAATTTTCCAGACCCCGGGTGCAGCACCCAGCAACGACACGTCTCTGAGTGCTGGGCGTGTGGCTTCAGAACCCCTCCGCCTCTTCGACGCGGACGCCGTCTCCGGCGCCGCCGAGCCCCCGGAGTGAAGTGCGGAGTGGCGGGGATGAATCTGGATCTATTTTACCCTCTACTCCAAGAACCTTTGAAAATAAAGGTTTTCCCGCGAAGAACCCGGTTATTTTCGAGAACCTTTAAAATAAAAGGTTCTTGGAGTAGAGGGTACATTTTAATTTTGAGGTAGACATACTGTGGATGGTTGCGACATCCATTTAACGCACCACCTAAAAAACCCGGGGTGATGCTTCCCCCTGTAAATACCAACCAACCAAGTAGATGTTTGGGTTTGAGTCAAAATAAAGCCACCAGGAATCGGACCGCAGGTTTTAGTCCTTGGTTCCATTTACCAGGGCTTCATGTTGGTTACATATGTTTGACCCACATCCATTTTACATTTTAAGGTGGACATAGTAGCAGAAGCTAGCTTCCCGAGCTCTTGGACTTGAAACCTTTTTTGGGAAGACTTTTTCAGTGGGAAAAAAAGAGTTCAACTGTTTGTTGGCCCATCCACTCAGAAGGTGAGGAATAACAACGTAGATATTTTTTTTGTACCCCAGATGTGGGCCAAGAACAGGAGATCGGAGACAGAATCTGAGTCGCATCCTCGTTGTTGTTTTTTTGGACGCACCGGGTCACCCAAACTTGGGCCATAGTTTATCCTTAGGATTTGCCTTGGGGAGGGGGAGGGATGGAGAGAGACATGAGAGAGAAAGAAAGATACGAATGACCCAGAACTTTAGTGGTGCCCCTTGGTTGTTTGTTTTTGTGAGCCAAATTAAGCCACCATAAAAGGCTTACACAAGTTTTGCTCTTGAACATGTTCTTGCCTTCAAATGTAGCGAAGTCCGAATGGGGATGTCCAATTGTTTCCTCTTTTTTTCCGCTTGAAAAAGCTTTTGGAAGTCCCCATTCGATGGTACAATCTGAGGTAAGAACGGACCATGTTGTCATCATACGGTCGTAAAGGGGCCGCAACCCTCACCAAACGCCATTTCAGTGACGTCAATATTTACTGGCTCAGCTGGCTTCTCCATCCATTCGCCCATCCGCCTTCATGAGGTTATGTCAGGGAAACGTTGTTCATGCAAGTTTAGCCCCGCTAGTGACCTTAGCACATTAGCCTGGGTGACACCAACCAACAAAAAGCAATGGTCTTGGCAGAAAGTTTTCTGTGGCCAGCCGTTTATAGAATCGGACCCTTGTTCCTTTAAGGAACACCAACACCACAACATTCAAAGGATAAGGCTTTAAGCACGGTTGAAGAGTGGGTTACCCACCGAAACCTCAGCCCTACATGAGCCCTTTGAGGATTTTGGGTCTGAAGTTTCCCTGAAGGTTGTGCGATACAGTTATATATGTACACATATATATATATATGTAGAAATGGTGTATATATCTGTATATGTATATATGTATGTGTATATGTATATGTATATATATGTATATCATTTATTGGCACATGTGACCACTCGGAGCACGTCTTGGGACCCTGAAAAGGGATCAGGTGCCCGTTGCCCCCCCCTCCCTCACTGAGCTTTTTGGGTTGGGTTAGCAAAGAACCCCCAACTCCCGTTTTGGCGTAGCATCAGCCGCAGGGAAACTGAGAAGACTCAGTTGACCAACCAACCGACCGACCAAGTAACTAGTCAACCAATCAACCAACCAACCAACCAACCAACCAACCAAGCAACTAGTCAACCAACGAATCAGCCAACCAACCAACCAAGTAACTAGTCAACCAACCAATCAACCAACCAAATACCAGTTGTAGAGGCTCCCCTGCTCTTTTGTTTGGATGTCTATTGACAACCGGGTTTCTCCGAGGAGCCGCAGCCGTCGCAGCTGCAGCGCCCGGAGTGAGGAGCCGATGAGCCGATGAGAACGAAGCGGGGAGAACCGAATGCTTGTGGCTAGCGCACAAAATAGTGGTCAGGTTGGAGGTTTTGGTTCTGCAGAAACGCCGTTTTGAGAGGGTCTCCTCCAAAAATACGGTTGATAGGATACCGGGTCAAAAATCACAAGCGCCCTTTACGAGGACGGACACAACGGGTTCTGGGGCGGGATGAGGGATTGGCGGTTGCGCGAGGAGGAAGTCCCAGGCCTGGAGGCGCCATTCGCGCGTCGGGGCTCGGGTTCCTGTGGCCCCCCCCAAAACGCGGCATCCTCCTCACCCAACCATTTGTTGGGGGGGGTGGCAACCCTCATCTACTTTTCCTTCACGAACTGTTCATTTGAAACAAGCGACATTAACGATTGGATATGTGATTTGCCCTGACTTTATCAATTGTGGGGGTGGAGGCGACCGTAGGTTGCAACGTTTGCCCGGTGTGTTTAAACAGGTGTCTTCCAGTTGCTTAAGTTTTAGACCGGAGCAACCGGGCCGGGAAGCAGTCTCCCTATCACCACTGCACATATTCTTGGTTTTTTTCCAGGGGGCTTAAGCAAATGGAAGGCTTGTACTGCTGTATAAGTATAGTGAGTTCTCGTAACTAAGCCTTTGCGACTCCGAGACATCGACTGGAGCCACCTTGAGAGTTTGGTTGGTGGCATTGATGTGCTCCTTGGGATCATGCCCTCAATAGCGATGAACTGTTGGCCTCGCAATCACCTTGTCAACGTCAGTAACATTGCTTGTCAGCACAGCATTGGAAGGTGCAGCAACTCCTCTCGGTTGCTAACTTGCAACCGCGCAGAGCGTTGGCACCTTCAGTGCTTGTTTGATCACAGCGGCAGGCATTGCTGCTCACACAACTTCAAATCAAAGTTTGAGCCACTCGGGTGTCGACAATCAACTCGATGATTCAGGCGATTGATCGGGATTGATTGGTTTAGTCCATCCAATGCAGTTCTCTGGTCTGACTGTCTTCAAGTCAGTCATACCCCCCGCGCAGAGAGTATTTGGGTTCTAAATGACGCAGAATGGATGAAAAGTCCCCTATAAAGAAAACAAGGCGATGGATATGTTGTCCTGTACTTGTCACCCAGGCAAACCACTGGTTGTTTTGCTCAGTTTCTGCAAAGGAGTGGACCTACATGTTTCTCTCGTGGGCAAGGAAATCGAAGGCCAATTGCACCTCAGCCCCAGCCGTTCCCCGGGCTATCAAGTGTCAAAGTAGACCTACCACTGGGGGAAGTGACTTTGAACGGTAAGCTCATAGGGTTAGTGTAACATTTCATGATACCAGGTCGTCCAATGACCCAAAAAAGAACTCCCCCTGAGGTTTTGGTCTGGCAGGAATGGTGTTGCACTACTGTCTAGAAGAAACCAAGAGCGACAAGTACCAAAAGCAACGATTCCTCTTTGCGGCGCTCGATCGCGGTGATTAGCACTCCGGGCATGTTGGATGTGGCTGCATGTCCGGATTTCTGCAGACCCCTCCTTTTCTGGTGCTTCAAAAAGACACACAACTAGAAGTTGGATGTACCCTCCCACCAATTAACACGGAACCGGAGGGGGTCCTGGTTTGAACCATTCTCCTTCTAAAGCGACTCTCTGTCAATGTGTTAATTGGAGGGAGGGTATGTGTCTAAGACCACAGCAATGACCCTCTGGCTTAAAAAAAGAAGGGAAAAAACAACACGCAGCTCGAAGCTGGGAGGGTATCCAAACAGACCCATGACCCCCCGGTCAAGGCATCCCTCTCCGCGGGTTTCCGCCAGGAAGCCTTTGTGAAGCTCTGCGGACGCAGGGATTCCCGAGAGCCCAGCCCGCGGCTCAGTGCTCGTTTTCGGCTCGTGTCTCCATCAGACCTGCGGGGTGCTTCCTTTCTTGGTGGTAGGGTATCGTTTAAAAAAACAACCAAAGCAAGTTGGTGCCCCTTTTATTTGCTCGTGCCGGGCCGCCGGTGGTCATTTTCTTTTTTGTGGGGGGCAGAAGTCATCCATATCTCGAGTTGGGGACAGAGTGCTTGGCTGCGCTTGCGTCTTTAACCTTTAACTTCTGGGGAACACCAAAAAATGATATTTTCCGTGTGCCGAAGATTTGGGCGCAGCAGGCCAAGGAAATGTTCAGCTCGACTTTGAAATGTGTGTGTTTGTGTGTGTGTGTTGTTTTGCAGCGAAACTGACAGGAATCTACAATGGAAGATTTGCCCATGAGGCGACCATGATAACCAAATGTTTTGACTTTAGTAAGTTGAGTCGCATAGTCAAGCCATCGGATGCATGTTGGACAGTGGCGTTTTTGAGCTTGGGTGCGGACACGGGGTGCTGGTTGGCCCTTCTTTTTCCACCCCCAACCTGTGTGGCCAGAACTTGCGTTTTGGGACATGGGAAAAGCCAGTCAGTGGTGCTGCGTATTGGGCCGTTGCTCTTTGATGGGTCTGGTTGTCGGTTCCGGTCGCTGTTATGGGTTATTAAGAGTGGTCATTAACTGGGTCTCCTCCAACTCTATGTCCATCTATGTCCTATTTTAGCGTAAATATCGACAGAACCAGTTCACATCTTATTTGTGAGCTACATGTTTCAGAATAAAGGTGAAAAAGCAGAGCCAGTTGCCACAAAACCTTATTGTAAATGTCAAGAACGGAACCAGTTGCCACATTTTGGACCCCTTGTGGGCCCCAGATTCGTGGTGGTTATTTCGTTGCATCAAGGCATGGACAGCCGGCAGTTCGACAAGCTCTGCCGGGAGGCTGGGTACATGGACGGCAAGCCCGGGGCCGCAGACCCGAAGCGACCGGGGGCCTTGGCCGGCCGTTGAGCGACTGGTTCGAAGCAGTTGGCCTGGCCAAAAGCAAGAGGAAACCCAGAAGGAATGGGCAACTGCTTGATTTTGGCAACCTGTTTAACATCCACTCACTTCCTGAGTTCATGGACTTGAGTCACTTTTTGGGTTTGGGCCTTTTTAGTGGCATACAAAATGTGTGGTTACTTCTTGGGCCATCCACTCGATCGGAAGTGCAGCTGGCTGTTGCGTTTGCCCAAAGACTCGATATTGATGGGCTCAAAAAGAATCGCACATCTTTTCGGCATGACAGGACTCAGTTCTGAGCAAGAAGTAAAAAAAGGGAAACTCTGGCAAGTTTGTCCAGTTTGTTCCCAATAGCCTGGAGAACTACCTTTGGAATACTACTAGCTCAACCATGCATTTGCACAATTTGTGTACACCCTGCAACTCCTTGCATTTGGCTTGGCCTGTACTTGGGCGACTCGCTTTCAGCTGCTGAGTAATACGGTTGTTAGGAGTGACCTTGGCGTTGGCTCCATGAGACTGCACTTCCCACAACAGAAGCTTCAGCTTCCGAAATCGAGCTTCATAGAGGAAACGCGAGTCCAGGGACCGGACTGGGAAGAGCGGAGAAGCAATTTCTGACCATGTCCTTATCTAAAGAGCATACGAGCAAATAATTTGGAGGGAAACCCCAGCGCCAGCTAGGCATGTTACCAAGATGGAGTAATGTTGATCTATGAACCCCTTTGAACTCAGTAACTCTGTGAAGACGTCGCTTTGTTTGTGGGATCATCTATATAACTCCCGGTCCCTTCCGAGGTTTACCACGGCCGATGCGGATCTGCTTTTCACTTCCGTGACGTGCAGCCCTCGGGAACGGGCAATCCAGGTGTGCCTTTGCAGGCCAAGATTCGAGGAACTCCACAAACTTGCTGGTGCTCAGCAGGGAATGAGGGAATGACCCCTGTAAATCAGCTGAGCACCTGCGAGAAAAATAAGGTTGGTTCCTTTTGGAACTTGTGGCGAGTGGCTGAAGAATCCCCATGGCAAACCCCCCAGCTAAGAGTCCGTTGTTGAATACCTTTAATTGCTCGTGTATCCCAACTTGAGCTTTGACAAAGCCTCAGGCTTTCAACTTGCCCTTCTTGCAAGCCTTGCCAACCCCAAAGCCTTCCACCATGCCCAAAGCATCTGTGGGTTATTCGTGGACCGGCAAGCCCAACGGAGATTTGAAGTTGGCACCGGCAAAATGCATCCTGTCCGAGTGGGGTGAAACGAGCTCGTGAAAAAGGGTGCTCGGGTTTGTCCATGTTGTTCCGGCCTGTGAGTCAATAGTGAGTTGCCCAAATGGTAATTTGGTTGCCAAGCAATGAAAGTATGGCGAACATTTGCCAATAGGATTGGCAAAATCCAACTTGAGGCCATTTGAGAGAGACAGCGGCATAAATGACATACATCACAGATGGAACCCTCACAATGGTTGGGTTCCTTGTGATGAGAGAAAGAGGCAGAAAAAAGGAGAAGAGCAAGACACAACTCATTAGTTTGCTTCTTGCTTTACACCCGTTTTGATTTTGCCGTCTCACCGCTCGCGATAGGCCAAAACGATTGCAACCGTTAAAGTCAATGTTTGGTAGTCGCCTCAGGGAGAAAACCCAAGCCCCTCCCCCCTTCCCCCTCCCCCGCCGGGGAAAGGCTCCGAGAAGGGGGCCACAAAGGTTTGTCTGTACTGTACTGTTGTCGAGCACAGATGCTGGACTTCAAAAGGAGCCTTTTGACTGTCTCACGAAGAGCCAAGCAAGACGCAACAAAAGCCTTTCTCCCAGCTGCAAGTGGAGTTTAGTTTTGGCAGGATAGTTTTGGCCACATTTGGGACCAGTTGAGACATCCCTTTCATTGACAAAATATGACGACCAAGGAAAATATTCAATCTTAGGTTCAGGAGTTGCCAAGGAAACCATAGGAAACCCATAGGGAACCAGAGGGAAACTACAGGGAAACTATAGGGAAGCTTGCTTCACGCCATTCGCTCTCAGTCTCTCAGGGGCCGGGGCTTGCGACGCCTCCACGCCGCTCATTTCGAAGCGGCGTTGAGGCAGGCCCCAGCGGGTGGGTGGGTGGGCGGGTGGTGTGTGCGTACTGCGCCCGGCCTTTGTGTGGTTGCCTGAAGGGGAAGTGTTTCGCAACACGGATGTGTTTGGTGGCTGGTTTAAGGCAGATCCGTTGCTTGACTTGGGGGGTACGAAAGCATCTAGTCTTCTTTGTAGTGGCTTCCTAGTAGAGAGCAATAATTTTGGGCTGGCCAAACCTGGATGTTGAACAGTCTAGTATGGGCAACTGCACTCAGCAGCTGCGTAGAGTCTTGGAATGGTTAGTTCAACAGTTCAGCCTGTCCATGCGTGGGTTTGTAATTTGTAGTAAAACAAAAGCGTGCTTGCGTGCACGTGAGCGGCCTTTGCTTTAGCTTGCATCCCACAGCGATGAAGTTGTGACGATCCTCCCAGGTCCCAACATAATGCTGACAACTGCCGTTGGCATGGTTGATATTTGAAATGGCGTTCGCCTTTTAGTTGCCCGGCAAAGCAATGTCCAAAGCATGTGTCACAACCTGTTGGCAGTACGTTTGAATGGACTATGGAGAGAAAGAACGAAAAAGCAAAGAAGGAAGGAAAGAAAGGAAGGAAGGAAGGAAGGAAGGAAGAAAGGAAATAAGCAAACAAGTACAGAAGGAAAGCACCACAATGAAAACACAAAGAAAGGAACAAGAAGAAGGAGACGAGTAAAGCATAAACAGATACAGTAGTAAAGAAGAACACGGAAATAACGTAAGCTGGAGAGAGAGAGAGAGAGAGAGAGAGCGAGAGCGAGAGCGAGAGCGAGAGGGCGAGGCGAGACGAGGGAGAGCGAGAGAGAGTACATGGACAGAAGAGAGAGAGAGAGAGAGAGAGAGAGAGAGAGAGAGAAGATATAGAACAGATAGAAGAGAGGGAAGAGAGAACGGAGAGAACAGACAGAGACAAACACAAGGACAGACAGACAGACAGAAGCACAGAAGCACGGGGTTTGGTCTCAGGTTACTTGCAGATCGCAAGCGCCTGCCCCTGGGCCGAGTTTTCACCAAGGCCGGGCTGGGTGGTTACCAGGGTCACTGGGTTGGCTTTGGCAATCCTGGCAAAGGGGTACCTTCCTTCCATTCTTTCCAGGGATCCGAATCTTTCTAGAAAACCACCAAAAACCTTGCAGAAATGGCGATCGGTTTTTGAAAAGAACGATGGCTGAAAAGAATGGGGAATTAACCCCTAGAATCCTGGCAAAGGCCTGGAGGGGGTGACCCCTAAATGAGATCCATGGAATGCAGAGACCAATGCCCCACCGGCCCGTGCACCCTCCCTGCCCATTGGAGGGCATCAACGGAGCCCCCTTTTGTTTAGCGGATTGAAAAGGACACCCTGCAAGAATACCAACCATTTGTTGCTGTTGGTCTTCCATCCATGCTCATAAAGCACAAAACTCCTGAAGGTAAAACCAGCTCACCCATATGAAGGTAATTGACTAGATGTTGTCTTAAGTATGGCTCGATAGTTATAGTGACTGATTTGCCCAGAATAAATAGGATGCAAGGTGCAATGACCGCTTGTGCAGGTGGTGGGCGGTTTCATTTGGCCTTTGATGGTTGAATGGAATTTGGAGGGATTTTGACCCCCCACTTAAGGTAGTGTACACCCAGGATTCATAGACCTTTGGCTGGGTCACAGTTGAGAGGGAACGCTTCACGATCTTCACTTTTGGGGTAAACACCCCCCACTGATCCGCAACTGTTGATAAATATGGAATCGACACTGCTGGAGGTGAAGAGGCTAGCAGCAGAGTCGGAGAATCGGCCAGGGCCTCACAAATCCGATTCCGATCCATACCGGCCGACGGCATTGAAGAGCCTTGAAGTGTTTCTTGGCGCCTGTTTTCTTGGCCCTTAGCTTTCAGGTTTTTAGGGTTTGGTCGGGGTGTCCATTTAACCCACTAAGTTAGACTTTTAGTTGGTACCCTTAAAAAATGCTTTAGAGGGAAGCCAAGCCGAAGCCCAGTTGGAGGCTTGCATGATTAATCTCCGCAGCAGCGTGTCTCCCAAGGCACACCCCAGTGTGTGGGCAAACCATTTGGTTCGTTTTGAGCCAGGCTGTGTGGATATTGGTGGCACGAACACTTTTTTTGAGAAGGGCTTGTGTAACAAGCCTAGTGACTAGGTAGGAACTAAGGGAACAGCGCCTTTGGAAAAAGGATCTTTACACTCCTGTTTTCAAGGGGCTCAAGAAGTGGTGCTGGTTTGCAGTTGCACCTATCAAATGCATGGCGATTTGTTGGGGGCATTTATCCGAGAAGGCTCGGCCCATGACCGTTTCAAAATGGAAGGGGCCAACGACCCACTTCAAGGAGTTTGACCCTCGTCCGTTTGATGTTGTTTAATGAGATACAGAAAGAAGCCTACTACCTACCGATAGATGTATATATGTATATATGTGTATGTAACAGGGGCACCCTCAGGGGTGCGTGGTTGAGCAACAAAATAACTCCGCAGGGGGGATTTCTCCGAATTTGTGAAGCAATCAGTTGAACATGACTGCCTCTGAAGATGGGTTTTCCGAAAACAGCACAGAGTACAGGCGGTCGCGGCAATACGGGAATGCGTCGAACCGCTTGGGGCCCGAAAGGATTGCTTTTGTGTGGGCTCAAAGAAAACCACATGCGACCGCCCCGAACATGGTGATCGAATATCCATTCAAAAGAACCATTGAGTACAGTCTGCAAGGAACAGGTTCCTCAAACAATGTGTTGTACTTGTACGTCGGGGTGCGAACAAGAAGAGCAACGCAAGATTGAGCGAATGGGCCTCTAGTATACGCCTTTTGGTCCTTGCAAATCTTCCCATTCCCTGGGTTTGGCCACAGCAAACACAAGAACTCGTTGGTTTGTAGGTGAATGTGGAGTGGCTCAGTGATTTCCACCCCTGGCTTGCGGCTGGTTTGCGGACGGCCTTTGGCGCACCGGAGGCTCGAGACCTTACCTCCTCCGATTCGAGGCGAAAGGGCAACTCACAGACTGCGCTTTGGGTTCAGGATGGAAGGGGTTGGCTGGGGTTGGTTGGGGTTGGTTGGGGTTGGTTGGGGTTGGTTGGGGTTGGTTGGGGTTGGTTGGGGTTGGTTGGGGCTGGTTGGGGTTGGTTGGGGTTGGTTGGGGTTGGTTGGGGTTGGTTGGGGTTGGTTGGGGTTGGTTGGGGTTGGTTGGGGTTGGTTGGGGTTGGTTGTGGTTGGTTGGGGTTGGTTGGGGTTGGTTGGGGTTGGTTGGGGTTGGTTGGGGTTGGTTGGGGTTGGTTGGGGTTGGTTGGGGTTGGTTGGGGTTGGTTGGGGCTGGTTGGGGCTGGTTGGGGCTGGTTGGGGCTGGTTGGGGCTGGTTGGGGCTGGTTGGGGCTGGTTGGGGCTGGTTGGGGCTGGTTGGGGTTGGTTGGGGTTGGTTGGGGTTGGTTGGGGTTGGTTGGGGTTGGTTGGGGTTGGTTGGGGTTGGTTGGGGTTGGTTGGGGTTGGTTGTGGTTGGTTGGGGTTGGTTGGGGTTGGTTGGGGTTGGTTGGGGTTGGTTGGGGTTGGTTGGGGTTGGTTGGGGTTGGTTGGGGTTGGTTGGGGTTGGTTGGGGTTGGTTGGGGTTGGTTGGGGTTGGTGCAAAAAAAGGGATCCTTGATTTTGAGACAAGTGCTTGTTGGCGTGCGTTTTTCGAGCCTTGGTTGAAAGGGACGACACCAGGAGGTCTTCCCAAAAAAGGGGGTGCAGAGCCGCAAAACAGATGCTCTTCTAGCCCCTATTGCCAGGTGAATTCGCAAACTGTGTCCTTTTTGGCAGTTTTGTTTCACTTCGAGGGCCGAATTGGAAAGTTCTGCTTCGAAGGAAAGAAGTTGCGAATGATTGTAGCTCTTGATGATCTATTCGCCGGAGACAGGGTGCGGCCTGGGGGTAACAGAAGCAAAGGGGCCCAAAGATGAAAGGCCTTACAAAGCTCCCCCTGGGTTCCAGTTGTGGGCCAAAAGCCGCACTTCCAAGACTTTAAGCTAAGAAACCTGTTTGGAGGGGGAAGCGGCAACCATTCCTGCTCATGAGTCGGGTGTTTCCCCCCACCCTAAGGCGTAGACTGAAAAAACCCTGCGGTGTTAATGTGAACACATGAGCAATGCCCCACTCAAAGTATGTGCCATGGATCTGGGCAAATTGTGGCGACCTCAACCTCACAGGGTTTAGCCGAAACACCGGGAACACCGACACCATTGGGACACCACCAACTCCAATCAACAGGGCACCACCAGATCATCACAGGAACATCACTCAGACATCATGGGAACAACACCAGGACACCGCCTGGACACTAGCGAAACACCGCTCAAAAAGACCACTAAGACACAACTGGGGGCGGGAGATTCCGCTTTCCCACGTTGCTTTTGGGTTGCATCTGAATCCGAGTGCAAGGGTCCTCAAGCATGATCATCCTTCATTTCCAGGTCCCTTTGGTGACAAGGGAAAATGTTCACTGCAGGAATTCGGCCTAGCTTTCCGTCGGCAGGTCTTGTAAGGGTTTACCGATATATACTTCCCAGGATCGAAGGGCAAAACGCCAATGTGTGTCCTTCGCAAGGCTGGGTTGAAAATGGATTTCTTTGGCTGCTCAGTTTGCTTGCTTTTCATTTGCCAGTCTCAGTCTGGTTTCAGAGACCCAGGCAACCACTTGCAACAATTTCCTTGTCCGCCCAGAAGTTAGTGCATCGCGCACCGAAACCACATGATGCCCGGTTGGTTCCCTCTGAAAGGTGTGGTTTTCAACATCAATTTGGTTGCCAGTTGAAAATGAATTTCCAATTTGCGGGTTGGAAACATGGAGAGCCTCAGAGGCTGCTTTTGGGGTGATACTGTGGGTGGTTGCGAAATCCATTTCGCACCACTTTGAAACCATAGCAAACCCTGGTTGGTAATTTACAGGGGAAGCAAATCACCCCAGAGTTTTCTTTTGTGGTGCCTCAGAGGATTTCGCATCCATCCACAGTACTTGGGGCAAAGGAAACATTCAGAGAGCCGTTCCTTTGCGGCTCAGGGAAGTCTGAGCAGCTTGGCTGTGCGAGGGGAGTGGAGGGGACCCGTGCCGTGGGGCATGGCTGTGGTGGTCAAATTGTTTTGGGATCCCATTTTGGTTGGTAGGTGAATTCACCACCCATTTTAGAACCGGGATTTTGGTGGGGATTAGGATGTTCACTGGGGGTACGGGCTTTTGACCCATGGCCATGTAGGAAGGGGGATTCATGTCCAACCACTTTTGAGGGAGTTCCCTGAAATGTACTGCTCAAATCAGCTTTTTCGCATACAGCATTTTCGCAGGCTCTTTCTACCTCCTTTTGAAGGGGACGGGGACTGAATTTTGCTAGCCTTTCACGTGTTGTGGCATAACGAGAGATCCCGCGTTGCAAGAAGACCAGCACGATCAACGTTTGCTCACAGCCACCCTTCGTGTTGAATGATCCGGCACAGTGCCCCATAAGCAAACCGAGAACACTGGCCATGGGCACTAGGCAACGAGGGAGCCTACAGTGCAATGGAACGCTGGTATAGCCAAGTAGACCAGAGCAGGTACGAGGCAAGATTGCAGGGTTTTGGGCCGAACAATTCCATGGCGTAGTGATGCCATTTGCCGGTGTATGTACTGCAACTAAGGAAGACACCTTTCAAACAACAAAAAGGAAATGGCTGGTTACCTGCTATACTGGTATGCACGTGGCTGTCAAAAATGGGCCCGAAAATGGGGAGGGGGGTGGGCTACTGACATGAAAAAGAGGGTCCAAGCAACGGCTTTTTGTACCCAGTGCTCACGCATGTGCCAAGACGACCTTCCGAACGGGTCAATTCTTTGTGTTCACACATGAGTTTCAAGACCCAAGCAAGGCAAACGTGGGAAACCTCACTCTTGGGTCCCTAAGGTAGCATGCTCCTAAGTTCTTGAACTTTAAACCTTTTTGGGAAGGCCATTTTGATGATAAATAGAAAGTTCAGACTTGGTTGGCCAATTGAGTTAGACTTTCAACTTGATGAGTGATTTGTGATATGTCCGACTACCTTCCTTCCCACTATCACTAACATGGCACATGTGGGAATGCTGGGCCTCTCAAAGGGACCCCCTGTCATCGAGCGGGAGACGAAAAAGTGTTGCTCAAAATGATGGATCTCTTTAGGTGTTAAAAAAAACAACATATATTCAAAAAAAATATCTCCTGGTGGTTTCTCTTTACAACCAATTTTCAAGGGGGCACGCCAGTTTGAGAACCCCGCAGATACGTTCGCACAGGGTCGCCACTCTCTCGCTCCCAGGCTCGGCCGGCCCCCAAGGAGTCTTTCCGAGCCGGGCCGGGCGTGGATGCTCAGTGCGACAGGAGTCAAGGAAGATGTGGATTTGAAATATTACCTGTTGGCTTTCAATTTCAGGTTGTAAGCAGAGATGTCCCCAAGGGCGTGGCTGAAATCCCCATGTTATCCCCTTTGGTACCCTTTTCAGCTTAGCTTCGGGGACCCCGTATATTTCTCGTTGTGAATAAACGCGCAGTTATGGAGACGGGAGGGCCAACATCAGGTTGTTTGTCTCGCATGGGGATGCAGCAACTGACACATGTCGATCTGCAGAACCGTCAGACGCTCCTGTCAAGGCTCTTGGAACCTGTCCTGCAGATGGTGTCCCCATACCTATATAACCAGGCTTTTCCTTCGCAGGATTTGTTGAGAAGCTCAGTCGGGAAATAAACACTTTAGAAACCGATTTGGCAGCGAGCCAAACTGCTTGCCAAGCACTACCAAGTCTGTGTTTGCGTTCTTTTCTCCCAAGTGTTACTGGCCAGGGGTGATTTCCAAGTCTTGTGCATGGGCCCTGTGTGACTCGCCTCCGAAAGGCAAGAGAGTGTGTTTCCAAATGCCCACAAATCCGCCACCGGAAGAGCCAAAGGCGCAACACCCCGCCAAACCAACAGTTTGCAGCGTCCCAAGCATCGTTGCAGCCACAAGCAAACCTGCCAAAGCCGCCACAGCAACATGCCGCTATCCGATTTCGCCATGGCTTCCCATGTGATGTTGTCAACATTGGGGGGGCCTGTTTGAGATCCAGAGGTTCTAAGTCAACCAGTCAACCTCCCCAAGGTTTCAATTCTCGAAGCTTCCGCGCGACCGAAGTGCGCGCCCTTCGGCACCGAGTCGAAGCCGAGGGCTGGTTTTATCCGTTGGACAACGGCTGGGTCAAGCGCCAGGGTGCGGGGCCCATCAACGGCCGTGGGGCGGGCGGAAGCAAAGGAGAAACTTGGCAAACATCGGGATTTAGGACCCCAAGAAGTCGAGTTCGGTGTTGCTTTCCGGGCACGAAGGTAAAAAGGGCAACCAACGCATAGCCTTTGGGGATATGGGCAATTTAGAACGAGTTCAACCATTCGGAGATGAAACGAGCTCGATGGCGAAGCTCCACTGACTATCTGCAACGTTCCATTTGTTAACTTTGTAAGTTGTGCAGATCAACAGAATGGCAGGTCGTGGAGAAAGCCCTCGTTTCTCTACTTTGTGCTATCCTTGGTTTGCAGGAGACGCCCTTTTGCATATTCAAAACCAGACCTTTGTTGTTGCCGGCTTAACATAAGCCAATTGCAAAGCACGTTGCGCCGCTTTGCCTTTGCGAGCGTGTCTCGGTCAAACCGTTCTTGCACCTTTGAGCCTCTGTTTGGCGAAATGTAGATTTTCCCACTGGCCAAGTCGTTTTGGATCTACCAGGCATCGCCATGAGAAGTTCTCCCCTTTGTGTTGCGTCCGCTTTCGGTGCAGTTTCTCGCAGTCAAACGCACAGGGTGGAAACCATTTTGGCTTGTTTGAGGCAAATGGACGGTCCCGAAAACGTTGAATCCCTGTCTCCGTCCCTGAGAAGGGAGGCAACCGGTAACCCGCATGGGTCTCATCTCCGAAGCGAAATGTGTTGCATAAAACATGGCGTGATTTAGGGACTATGGATTTTAACAGGGAAGCACCTCAAAAGTGTGAGCTGCCTTTCGCGACACGCCATGCTTGAATTCGCTCATGGGCACGTTGGCTCGTGGTTGCCCGACTTTGGTCTTCTTGGGCTTGTCTCTTTTTCTCGGTCTCTTTCTTCCAGGTCCCAGGTGAGTGACGATGAGTTTGGGCCAAAAAGAGAAAGGAGTCAGATACCAGAATGATGTTTCTGTTTGGGACATTCGAAGTGTGCCTTGCCCGCATGAGGGGCAGAAATGCGGTGAGGACATAGTCCATATGGACCTTTTGTTGTCTTTGTTTCGCGCGGCAACTGATTCACTGTTTGATCTGGTTTTAGAACCTTCAATGCGGACATAACTCGCAGATGGCCAATGAGTGTCGTTTTGCATCCGATCCAATCGCTCCAATCCCGGCGGTTTTACAGGCTCCAGCGAGGACAGCGCCGAAGCTGAGCACGACTCTCAAAGGGGACCGGCGGCTGCAGGTTGTTTGGCCTCGCATTTTCGGCTTTGACTTTTTCCAAACCGACAATTCAAAAGCATGTTCTGTTTTGTGCAGACCCTCTTTCACACCCGGTTCTGTGACCCTTGTTCAAAGGGTGAAAATGAAATCGGGCACTGTTGTTCTAAATTGGAACCTGTTCTTTTTGAACAACCCTCAAATTGTGTGGTTGGCACACTGGGGGGGAATCGAATCATGCGATAGCTCCATGAAGTTGGCATATTGCAAGGCTTTCCTTGGGCACCCGTGAGGTGGTTAATGCTAGCCACTTTGCCCCCCCTGAATTTAGCAATCACGCCATCAACATGTAATATATGTAATGTATACATCATATGCTGACCTATAACCATATAGTGTGAATTGCACCATATACTTTGTATATATGCTTACATATTTGCCGATAAGCATCAGCTTTTGGTCACCGACTCGAAGTAAGTCTCGTCAGGCAGGTGCCATTCCCGAGTGTGAACTTTGGACAACTTGCCCATCCTCGGCGAGGGTGATAGGGGCGAACTATGTAAAATTTGTTGATCATGACATAGTTTGGTGCGACAGTACCCCGCAATGAGGCCCAAATCTAATGAAGCGCCGTGGCAAAGCTCATATTTGGAGTGAGCTGGCAGTGCGACACGATATCGTGCCTTCGGATGTCATGTTTGGGTTTCGTGTTTTCCAAAACCCGAGTGTGAGAATGTTCAACGGAAAACAAGGGTGCCCTTTTTGGGGTTGGTTTAAAGGGAAACCCAAGGAAAACCCACCAATTTGGGGTGGTCCAAATCCCTATGTTTGACACATACCCAATTGGTTGCCTGTCATGTCCATTGCGCTTCTGCTCGGATCGAGGCTTTTGATGGACAGCTTCGTCAGCTTTTGTTGGGTGCGCCTGTCGGAGTCGCTCCCGATTTCGCCGGCTCAAAGTTTGCCCTTGTGCCAAAATGGGAGAAAACCCCCCCAAACTGGTGGTGGTCCTTTTAGTTTCCCTTTGAACCACTTCAAACAATGGTATTTCCAACAAACACACTCACTTGGCAAATAAGATCATGCGGACCTGAGGACAGCTTTGCAGTTGGAGGTGTGGCTTAGACATTGGAAGCCCAACACCTCCCGTTTGTGGACTCTTCGGTTCCAATCAATTCACCAAGGAAGGGTTTCCGGCCATCAGAGGCATTTGTTGCATTGGCCGCAGGGCAAGCCGGACATGAGCAACCGCGACTTCCTGCGATTGTGCCGCTTGGCTCCAACAGGCGGAGCTACATGGTGTGTCTCCCACCTAATTGGGCAGGCCTTTCAAGGATACAATGTACCCACGCACGAGAGGCATTATCCTCCACCTCCCCCCCCCCGAAAAAGTTCTAAGAACCGCTTCTAAGAACTAAGGTTCGAATTCAGAAGCTTCTATGATTGGGGGAACACTTCTTATCTTGTGGATTCTTGTTGGTTTTCCTTGCCCTTGACGAGGCCGTGATTGCGGACTGCTGAGCAGTAGGCTGGGGGAGGGGGCACGAATCTGAAGCCACTGCAGAGACCCGAGGTCTATGAGAAACGCCGCGGTTTGGCAAAGATCTCTTCAAGTGTTGTTTTCCCACCTTTCGTGTTACAGGCTGCGGTTTGTCAGGAAAGTTCTTAGGTAGATGTCAAGCTCGAGCTGGGCGGGTGAGGTTTGCTAGGATGCCCCCCATGTGCGGACTTTTTGTGGCCTCAGGATTCCCTCAATTTCCCTCTTTTGGACCTTCAAAAGTGGCAGTTTTACTGGAAACTGCGCCCAGAATCGCAACTGTTAAGGGGGAAATCCAGCAACCCCCTGTTACACCTGTTCTATGTCGGCTTTTTTCTTTCAATATTTTGCCCCAACTGAAGGGAGGCCTGTTAGTCTCTGCTCAAAGCCGCCACTTGGGGCGATCTCCGATCTCCAGAAAGTGCTCCATCCGCAGTCCAACTCATCATTCCCCCAAGCTTGGCCACGTCTATGCAATGGAAAGTTACCTTTAGGTCGCTACGTAGACATTGGCAAACAAGGCTAGCCAAAAGGCTCTTGTAGCTGACACTTTCTTGCCAAGCCAGTTGAATTGTTGTTTTCCAATTTCGGTCCATGTTGGTCGAAGAAGCAACAGGTTGACCTTTGATGTCTAGCTATGGTCTTCCCAAGTGTTTCGATCTTATCCCCGCTGGAGCTGTTTGTAGGTCCAATGCGCTATGGTGACAGCACTTGTGGCCTGATCGGGGTAAGTTTCCAAATATATAAAGAAGCGATCCTTACTGTATCCCCAAAAAACAATTCCCAGGCCCAGAATTGTGGGGGCCCATTTTAGCCAGCCTGTTTTCAGGGTGGCCACAAAAAACACACGCAGGCAGACCCATGGCCATGTTGGGCCCCTGGTTTCTCAGATAGGAATGTTGACACATCGGGGTATACCCTTTCGATCATGCAAGTTCATAGGAGGCGTACCCCAAAAACCAACCCAAACAAGACTGCACGCAGAAACAAACACGCACGGACAGACGCAGACACACACACACACACAGACACAGACACAGACACAGACACAGACACAGACACAGACACAGACACAGACACAGACCCAGACCCAGACGCAGACCCAGACCCAGACGCAGACGCAGACGCAGACGCAGACGCAGACGCAGACGCAGACGCAGACGCAGACGCAGGCACAGGCACAGGCACAGGCACAGGCACTGGCACAGGCACATACACAGACACAGACACAGACACAGACACAGACACAGACACAGACACAGACGCAGACAGACACACAGACACAGACACATACACAGACACAGACACATACACAGACACAGACACAGACAAATACACATACACATACACATACACACACACAGAGACACAGAGACAAGGAGACACACATAGCCGCAGGCACATGTATCGAGAAAAAGTCGATTCCAATGTTGGGATCCGAAGCAATCCGCGTACGCGACGTTGGGAAGTCCAGGTTCTCTGCGTTGGACGCAGACCTGCTGTATGCGAAGGCAGCTCTCCCGGGTCCCGGTCCTTTTGGTTTCCCTTTGAATGCCATGAAAAGGGGTGTTTGCATAGGTGTCCTGTTTGGTTGTTTTGCTAGAAAAATACATGGCCCTGCTTTGCCTAGTGGTTTAATCATCTGCCAGGGCCATCTATTTCCCCTAAAAGGACACCTATGGGTGTGTGTGTGTGATCAATACGCGAACGGCTTGGCGGGTTTGAGGAACATGTGACAATTTGAAGCAATGAGACAAACCAAAAGCAGATAGCTTAAACTGTGGGGCTTTTCCCAGGTTTGGAGGGGTTGTTCCCATGCAGCTTGCCTTCGTGAGTAAAAGGGGAAGAATGTATGGAGGGGTGCCTTGGATTCTCCGAAAGCCGTGCCGTCCCATTTGCTCAAGAGAGACGTGACTCCCCCAGAAAGGTTCTCAGAGCTTGGATCAGAAGGTGCCTTGAACGCCTTGTTTTAGCCGGGCGGCGTTTTTTGTTGTTTGCTGTTGTCTCCGTGCTTTGGGATCAATATGAAGGGGGTCCCAGGCGTCTCTCAGTACATTGGGAAGGTGCCACGGAGGGGCAGAGCCGAAGCAAAACTCTAACAGCCTAAAATCAATCACCGTCCCTTTTCGGGGTCTCAGATGCACGTCAGGTTCCTTCAAGATGACGGGTTGTCTATGGTCCATGCAATAGAAATGGGGACTTTAATAGATTTCCCGCAAACACCAGGGACTTGCTCATTTTCCCTATTTGTGGTTGTTTTTCAAAACGGGAACCCGGAACGGCTCGGTTTTTTGCCTGCGAAACCAAACATCAGCCAGGTGCTTCCCAAGGGCCAGCGCCGGCTTACGTTCCAGGACTTTGAGGCGGGAGAAAGCGACAGACCATGGGCGACTGATTTTGTTTGAATTCCCCGCGCAAGGCGGTGATTTCCAAATTGGTTTCCCTTTGGTTTTCACGTATCCCAAATGTGTGTGTGTGTGTGTGTCGTTTTCTTGACGCTCAAAGCGACCCAGGGAGGTTTCGAGTCTCCCTGATGAAGCAATGCCTTGCCCCACTAGACCACTGAGTCAAGTGTATTGCTAGAAAATACGGACCGCAAAGCCGATTGAATGAGTTGTTTATTGATGTGGTGTCCACTGTCCACCAAACCAGGATGTCCTGTAGAATCTCCATTTTGGCTGGTTTCTTGAACACTGGGATTGAGGGAGGGGTTTGAGGGTCCCCGATAAGCTTAGGTTGAACAGGAAACCGAAGGAAGAGCACACATCCGAGTTCCCTAGCTTGACACCCCCTTGGTGTTGAGCGTATTGTTCACCGTTTTATGTCTAGCTCACCGATTCGGGGGAAAAAAATTACACCAGCAGAGACCCCAAACAGTTGAGGGCTGACGGGCGAGCACAAACATGCCAACAGCTTGTGGCTTTCTGCGCTTCAACACGGATGAATCAAAATGATGCAGTCGTGAACCTGGCGCGCGTTGCGTTGCTGCACGTGTGTTGCTGGCGTGCTTCGCGCTTCAGCACCGCGCCAGAACTGAGGTTGGGCAAGCGCGCGCGATGGCGGGCGAGCGCGCGCGCGTGAACGCAAGTGTGGCCGCGCAAGCACGCAGTCACATGGGCAGTTCAAACACACATGTCCAATTCAGACACACATGTGTGTACACGTGGAACACACATACGTATACGACTGAAACAGTATACATTCACCTGCGGCACACGCATAAATGTGTTGAGCTGGAAAACAAACATGTGCTTCTTGGAAAGCACACACACATGTGCAAACGTGGAACGCACATATGTGTTCACTTACGACACGCTAATGCGTTCACGTGGAACACACATGTGTGTTCACTTGGAACACAATGAAACGCGTGTCCAATTCAGACACACATGTGTGTACACGTGGAACACACATGCGTTCACCTGGAACACAAAGACGCGCAATTAAAGCACACATGTGTGTACGCGTGGGACACACATATGTATACCACTGGAACACAAACATGTGTCCACCTGGAACACCGCGTGTGCGATTAAAGCACACATGTGTGTACATGTGGAACACACATATGCGCACACGTGAGCAAACATAAATGCTCACCTAAATCGCACACACATGCGCGCACCTCGAAAACAATCATGCGTTTTCTGGAGCGCATACATGTGCACACCTGGAGAGCAAATATGTCGTCAGATGCCAAAAAAAGTTCACCTAGCACATACTAATGTGTTCACGTGAAACACACATCTGTTCACCTGGAACACAAACACGTGTCCAATTGGAACACACATGTGCGTACACGTGGAACACACATATGTGCACACGTGAACACGCATATGTGCACACGTGAACACTCACATATATGTGCACCCGGAACACACACCCGTGTGCTCATCTGATAACAACCATGTGTTCTCCTGGAACACAAACACGTGTCCAATTGGAACACGCATGTGTGTACACGTGAACACACATATGTGTACACGTGGGAGACGCAAATGCGCACACGTGAACACACACACATGTGCACACGTGGAACACACACATGTGTACTGCACATGTGAACACACACATTTATGCGCGCGCGGAAAACACAGACACACACGAGTGTTCATCTGATAACAAACACGTGGTCTCCTGGAACACAACCGTGTGTCTAATTGGAACACAACCGTGTGTACACGTGAACACACATATGTGTACACGTGAACACACACATATTTATATATATATATATGCGCACCCGGAACACACACACACACGTGCGTTCATCTGAAAACAAACATGTATTCACCTGAAACACAAACACGTGTCCAATTGGAACAAACATGTGTGGACACATGAACTCACAAATGTGTACATGTGGAACACACATATGTGTGCAAATGAACACACATACATGCGCACGCGGAGCAGACACACACACACACACGCGTTCATCTGATAACAAACATGTGTCCTCCTGGAACACAAACACGTGTCCAGTTGGAACGCACATGTGTGCACGCGCGAACACACAATGTGTGCCGTGAACACACATACAAAAAAGTGCACGCGGAGCAGACACACACGCACGTGTTCATCTGATAACAAACATGTGTTCTCCTGGAACACAACCGTGTGTCTAATTGGAACACAGACGTGTGTACACGTGAACACACATATGTGTACACGTGAACACACACATATATACGCGCACCCGGAACACACACACACGAGTGTTCATCTGAAAACAAACATGTGTTCACCTGGAACACAAACACGTGTTGTACACGTGAACACTGTGTACACGTGGGAGACGCAAATGCGCACACGTGAACACACACATGTGCACACGTGCAACACACACATGTGTACTGCACATGTGAACACACACATTTATGCGCGCGCGGAAAACACAGACACACACGAGTGTTCATCTGATAACAAACACGTGTTCTCCTGGAACACAACCGTGTGTCTAATTGGAACACAGACGTGTGTACACGTGAACACACATGTGTACACGTGAACACAGCACACGTGGAACACACACATGTGTACTGCACATGTGAACACACACATTTATGCGCGCGCGGAAAACACACGACATCTGACACGAGTGTTCATCTGATAACAAACACGTGTTCTCCTGGAACACAAATGTGGAACACAGACGTGTGTACACGTGAACACACATATGTGTACACGTGAACACACACACATATATATGCGCACCCGGAACACACACACACGTGCGTTCATCTGAAAACAAACATGTATTCACCTGAAACACAAACACGTGTCCAATTGGAACACACATGTGTGGACACGTGAACACACAAATGTGTGCACGTGGAACACACATATGTGTGCAAATGAACACACACACATGCGCATGCGGAGCAGACACACACACACGTGTTCATCTGATAACAAACATGTGTCCTCCTGGAACACAAACACGTGTCCAGTTGGAACGCACATGTGCGCACGCGTGAACACACAATGTGTGCACGTGAACACACATACAAAAAAAGTGCACGCGGAGCAGACACACACGCACGTGTTCATCTGATAACAAACATGTGTTCTCCTGGAACACATACACGTGTCTGATAAGAACACACATGTGTGTACACGTGAACACACATATGTGTACACGTGCAACACGCATATGTGCGCACGTGAACGCACATATGTGTACATGTGGAACACACATATGTGCACACGCGAACACACACACACACACATATATATATATATATATTTATATGCGCGCCCGGAACACGCACACACACACATGCGTACACCTGGAACACATATGTGTGTATGTCTGGAAAGCACATTTCTGTTCACCTGCAACACACATATGTGTTCACCTGGAACCCATATATGCGCTCACTTGGAACAGGCATTTGTGTTCACGTGCGACACTGGTGCAGACCTGGATCACACAAGCATGTTTAACCAGAACAAACTTCTGTGTTGACTTGTAACACACATATGTGTACACATGGAACACACGTGTGTGCACATGTGGAGAAACATGTGCAACACAAATGTGCAACACACATGCGTTCACCTGGACAACAAAAATGTGTTCACATGGAATTTACATTTCCTGCACGCCTGGGCGACACATAAATCAAGTTCCCGAAGCCGGCTGTGAGGCGCTATTCCATGGGGCTCTGCCTTGAACAACGCTTGTGTTTTATATGCGTGTTCCAAGTAGGAAAATAGTGTTCGTGTACGATCAATCTAGCTTTTTTGCAACACATTGCTAGCGCGCGAGCCTGCTGCTGCTGCTGCTGCTACTACTGCTAGTACTATCAGTATCGGATGCGTCTCCAGCAGTTACAGGCTTCAGCTTAGCAAAAGCTTTCCGGCGCATTGCGCTTCTTTCTCGCTTAGCTGCACAGTGTCTTTCGTATCGATTGCTAAAGTGCTTTGATCGTATTGTGGCAACTCTTCGTATCGATTCAGTAAAGCATTTGCTTTCGCAGGGAAATACGCAACCCAATTCTTCCGTATGCTCGGTACAAGGCATCCCTGCCGTCTTGCCTCAGCCGTTGTTTCTCCCCTTTGTCCAGCAAATCGCACTCCATGATAATTGCATGCGAGGAGAGCGGAAGCAAATTTGGATTGAAGCGTAACTGGGAACCGGTCACAGCTGACCACTGCGCTAGCGCCTTGCTAGCGCGCGGCTAGCGCGGGTTCGCCGTATTTTTTGGAGTCACGGCGACCATCTGTGTGGATTTGACAAATTAAGGCCACGTAAGATGAAGGTAAACGTGCGGGCTGGCTTCAAGTACTAAGTAAGAACTGCAACATTACACCCTTGAAAGCCACGCAAAGCCCATCGCGGCAACCCACGCGCCAACTCTTGGAAACCAAGATCACCGAAGACCCTAGCGCAAACCAAGCGCCATCCTAGCGCCTCCAGTGGGGAGCGGGCAATCCATTGGTATTTGCAGGACTCCGCTTTGTGTGAATGAAAAACTGCACAAAGTGACTGCGACGGTGGCCTCTGTAGACTAAACCCCCTTACTAGAAATTTTGACCGGATCGCATATGTGTTTTATCAGAACAATCGCATGCTTTCACCTGGAACACAAACATGTGCTGACGTGGAACACACTCATGTGGTCACATGCAAAAAGTGCGTGTTCACTTGGAACGCGCCGATGTGGTCAGCTGGAACACACCAAGAACACACAATCATTTACTTGAAGCACTCGTACGTGCATCCGCAGCATGCTGCCTGTGGCTTGATCAAGCGCACGCGCGCGCTCAAACACACGTTTCTGAGCCTCAAACACACATGCGTGCCCGCGGAATACACCGCGAATGACCAGGGAGCCGTGCCAGGCATCCAGGCTGGGGGACAACAAGAAGGAGACAAAGGGAGACAAATGAACCCGTCCGCCCGGAGAGCCGTGCCAGACATCCAAGCTGGGAGACAAACGAATCCGTCCACCCAGAGAGCCGTGACAGGCATCCAGGCTGGGAGACAACCGGGGCCAAATAAAGGGAGACAAAGGGAGACAAATGAATCTGTCAGGCAAATGAAGGGAGAGGAACCCGTCCGCCGGGAGAGCCGGGACAATCCCAGGTGCCAAGAGCACCACTGGGTATCTCGGCGTAGGTTCGTTGAACATCATCAAAGAATCGATAGACGATTTAACTCCAGCGTGATTCACGTTTGTTTCACCGGGGGGTTAACAGAGCCTTCTCGTAGCTGAAGCCGTGCACCGCAGCGCACCGCTCTCGTCAGCTCGGGACTCCAAATGCGAGCAAGGACAGAGAGAGGCCGCAACTGATAACGAGGCACTGAACGAACAGACAGGGTGTAGCCAACGATAGACAAGGAAGACGACCCACCACGAGCCCAAGCAAAATCGAAGTCCAGATGAAGGGCAGACAGAGGACCCTGTCCCCAACATCCACAAGACAAGGAATGACCGAAGCCAGGGCCGAAGCCGAAGGCAAACCAGACCCCGCCAAAAGGACAGAACCGCGGGAAGTGAAGGAAACCGCGGAGCGTGAGTGCCACACATCCAGGCTGGGAGACAACGGGAGACAAATGAATCCGTCCACCCAGAGGGGCATCCAGGCTGGGAGACAACGGGAGACAAACAAAGGGAGACAAAGGGAGACAAATGAATCCGTCCACCCAGAGAGGCATCCAGGCTGGGAGACAACGGGAGACAAATAAAGGGAGACAAAGGGAGACAAATCAATCCGTCCACCCACAGAGATGGGAGACAAATGAAGGGGAACCAAGGGAGACAAGTGAATCCGTCCGCCTGGAGAGCCGTGACAGACATCCAGGCTGGGAGACAAGGGGAGCCAAATGAAGGGAGACAAAGGGAGACAAGTGAATCTGAATCTGTCCGCCTGGAGAGCCGTGCCAGACATCCAGGCTGGGAGACAACGGGAGACAAATGAAGGGAAACAAAGCCCAGAGAGCCGTGCCAGACAAATGAAGGGAGACAAAGGGAGACAAATGAACCCGTCCACCCAGAGAGCCGTGCCAGGCATCCAGGCTGGGAGGCAACGGGAGACAAATGAAGGGAGACAAAGGGTGACAAATGAACCCGTCCACCCAGAGAGCCGTGCCAGGCATCCAGGCTGGGAGACAACGGGAGACAAATGAAGGGAGACAAAGGGAGACAAATGAACCCCTCCACCCCAGAGAGCCGTGACAGGCGTCCAGGCTGGGAGACAACCGGGGCCAAATAAAGGGAGACAAAGGGAGACAAATGAATCCGTCAGGCAAATGGAGGGAGAGGGAGACAAATGAACCCGTCCGCCGGGAGAGCCGGGACAACCCCAGGTGCCAAGAGCACCACTGGGTATCTCAGCGTAAGGTTCGTTGAACATCCTCGAAGAATCGATAGAGGATTTAACTCCAGCGTGATTCACGTTTGTTTCACCGGGGGGTTAACAGAGCCTTCTCGTAGCTGAAGCCGCGCACCGCAGCGCACCGCTATCGTCAGCTCGGGACCGCAACTGATAACGAGGCACTGAACGAACAGACAGGGTGTAGCCAACGATAGACAAGGAAGACGACCCACCACGAGCCCAAGCGAAATCGAAGTCCAGATGAAGGGCAGACAGAGGAGGACCCTGTCCCCAACATCCACAAGACAAGGAATGACCGAAGCCAGGGCCAAAGCCGAAGGCAAACCAGACCCCGCCAAAAGGACAGAACCGCGGGAAGTGAAGGAAACCGCGGAGCGTGAGTGCCACACATCCAGGCTGGGAGACAACGGGAGACAAATGAATCCGTCCACCCAGAGAGCCGTGCCAGGCATCCAGGCTGGGAGACAACGGGAGACAAATAAAGGGAGACAAAGGGAAACAAATGAATCCGTCCACCCACAGAGATGGGAGACAAATGAAGGGGAACCAAGGGAGACAAGTGAATCCGTCCGCCTGGAGAGCCGTGACAGACATCCAGGCTGGGAGACAACAGGAGCCAAATGAAGGGAGACAAAGGGAGAAAAGTGAATCTGTCCACCAAAAAACAGTGCCAGGCATCCAGGCTGGGAGACAACGGGAGACAAATGAAGGGAAACAAAGGGGTGCCAGACATCCTGGGAGACAAAGGTAGACAAATGAACCCGTCCACCCAGAGCCGTGCCAGGCATCCAGGCTGGCAGACAACGGGAGAAATCAAGGGAGACAAAGGGAGACAAATGAACCCGTCCATATAGAGAGCCGTGCCAGGCATCCAGGCTGGGAGAGAACGGGAGACAAATGAAGGGGACAAAGGGAGACACATGAACCCGTCCACCCAGAGAGCCGTGCCAGATCCAGGCTGGGAGACAACGGGCGACAAATGAAGGGAGACAAAGGGAGACAAGTGAATCTGTCCACCCAGGCATCCAGGCTGGGAGACAACGGGAGACAAATGAAGGGAGACAAAGGGAGACAAATGAACCCGAGCCGCGCCAGGCATCCAGGCTGGGAGACAAATGAAGGGAGACAAAGGGAGACAAATGAACCCGTCCACCCAGAGAGCCGTGCCAGGCATCCAGGCTGGGAGACAACGGGAGACAAATGACAAAGGGAGACAAATGAACCCGTCCACCCAGACTGGATCATCCAGGCTGGGAGACAACGGGAGACAAATGAAGGGAGACAAAGGGAGACAAGTGAACCCAGGGAGACAAACGAACGCGTCCACCCAGAGAGCCGTGCCAGGCATCCAGGCGGGGAGACAACGGGAGACAAATGAAGGGAGACACAGGGAGACAAATGAACCCGTCCACCCAGAGAGCTGTGCCAGGCATCCAGGCTAGGGCTTGGCAACAGGCGAGCCACCTTAAATGAATTTAGAACCCCTCACAGTAAACTGTTTGGGGAAAAACGAGCTTACCACTGCTTCGCTTGCAAATCCAGAGCTTATGTCGCATTTGACTTGTCAAACACGTTGCAGATGACGCTGTAAAGGTTCACCAAATACGGGCCGTAACAAAAGATGTTTTTTGCATGGGGGGAAGAGAATTAATGTGGGTGTGCATTTGAATTGGGGACCCTCTGGTGGACATCATTTGACTCGACATTACTTAGGTGGCGATGTATGTCCGCCAACTATTGGAAAGGAATTCCTGGCATTCATAGAAATGTGGGCAAACATCTGCAGCAGTTGGTACTGTAGGTGGTTAATCCCAGTTGTCATAGGGGTTCATCCTGTTGCAGCAATGTTCAACACTGTGCCAGTTTCTCCCCTTCGATCCAATTCAGTTGCCGGCTGATCGAAAATTACCCCCAAGTTGCATTGAAGGTACACCTGGGATTGTTTCAAAGGGAAAAGAAACCAATTTCAAGATTTGAGAGAACTGCCCATGAGCTGCAGGCTTCCCTGGATGAGATGGCTGAGCGGAAGAAGGTGCCAACGAGTCAGACTCTCATCGAGCCCAAAACAATCCGGCAAAGGGAACGGCTCGACGGACGGAAGCTGGGTTGTGGGAATTGCCCACTGTGATACCAAAGGCCCGGCAAACGACAAACACATAGGGAAGGGTCCCGGGCATCACGGAGGGAACCAACCTCGTTCTCACAGCTCTGGAAATGATTCGGAATTCTGGAAACCTGGCAGGGTCTGACTGGGTTTGTCGTCTATTCCAGCATAGCGTTGATCCAAAACCAGGGCCCAGGCGCGACATCGCGACCTGGCGACCGGACCCCGAAGGGTCCTTTGAGGATTCCTCGTTGCTTTGGAATCGATTGTAGTTTCACAGTGGGAGCACGAAACCGTGTGGCATTCTTTCGGTTCAACACAAGCCCAAAAAATTACCAATTCGGACTGCTGCCACATATCTGTGACTCTCCCTCCCTTTGGCTCGCAGGGTCCAGACCAGAATGCCATTGCCAGGCTTCACCGTTTTACCATTAACCTCAGTTGCCCCGAGCCGATCTTTTAACCCGAGCACGAAGCTCAGCTTGGAGAGATCTTATAGCCGGACATGGGACATCCACCCTGCCAGGGTCTTGAATGTTGACTGCTTCCTGAGTCTTCTGACCATGTTGCCCAGGGGATTCAATCTATTCAGAAGCCAACTTGAATCAAGCCCTGCATCCAAACTCTGAGGGTTGCGGTTCTTCGTTCCCCTTAGGCTAGTTATTTATCTCCCGTATTTTTATAGGGTTTCATCCATGCCAAGTTGTGTAGGGTTTTAGACATTTGTATGTTTCACAGTTCTTTCTTTTGCATCCAGACATTTGGCCAGGTACCCGCAGTTGGTGAAGCCACCAATCCAAGCCTTTGTCGCCTTTGCAATAGCGCGCAGCCTTTGTTCGACGCGGCGATTTATTTCGGGGGGGGGGGGGGAAGGAGAGGGAACCAAAAACCAATATCAAACAAGTAAGTCCAGGCCACCAATTAGAAACGAGCTGAGTTGGCCGGAGGGACACGGGTGGACGTTTCTGCCTGAGGCTCGGTACGGCGCAGCATCGCTTTCGCCCACGGGCCTTTCGCAGCTTCGGCGGCACCGGAGAGAAGGGATCGAGTTCATTTGGAGAATTCTTCATGCGGGTCTGGTTTTTTTTTGGAGGGTACCCGTGGTTTGTGGTTTTTTGAAGGGAAGCCGAAAGGGAAACCGCCATTGTTTTTTGGGGGTGGGGGGAATGCCTTGAAAGAAGAGACACACATGCACACATGCCCCCCTGTTAATTATCAAGGGAAACCTATCACTTTCGGTTTCAGCGTTTTTTTTTTTTGTTTTTTTTTTTTTTCCATGACACTTAAAACAAATTGAGGTTTCACGCTCATTGCCAGACTTTCCAACCAGCGGGTTTTTTTCGGCATGAGCAAATGGGGGACTTCCGCACATGAGATCGATTCAGATTCACACAATTTCCCCCAACCCCATAGAATTGTTGGGGAATGGTCTAGGCCCTGCGTGTTTTGAAGTCTTGGGCAGCCCGTTTCATCCTCTTGCATGGCGCACGGTGGACAGTACATCAGCCCAGTTGATGCCAACCGGGAGCCAAATGGCCAAACCACAACAAGAGGAAACCCAGAAGGGAGGAACAACTGTTTGATTTTGGCAGATCTGTTTAACATCCACTCACTTCCTGAGTTCATGAACTTGAGACTTTTTGGTTTGGACCACTTTAGTGGCATACAAACAGTTCGGTTACTTTTTGTGGGCCCTCCACTCGATCGGAAGTGAGTCCAAGATGGCATGTTCGACCACTCGTGGCCCAAGGTGCAAGCCACAGAGGCTGACCAGATCCGCTTGCACGATGACATCAGTTGCTACACAGGCAAGGGGCCAGGAACGATCGACAGGGCGCATGTCCGGAAGGGTGTCAATGGGACAAAGACCCTGCTTGGGTTTTAGGGAAGCTGCAAGGAAATCAAGTCTTAGGAGTCAACACTGCTGTGTTCTTGGGCAAAACAACTTGCAGAGTGCTCATGTCGAAGTTGTTTTTTCATTTGTTTAACGGATCTGTGCACTCTCAGCTGAAGGCGCTGTAGCGACGGCATCGGGTTTGGGATGGTTTAGGTGTCACGCTAATCTCGTGGATCGCAGATGTTGTTTGTTGAAACCATAAAGCAAGACCAAACTCAAAGGCTTCAGCGATTTCCAGCTGGTTCGGGGATGTACGCTGGTTCCCAGTTTGCGGTTGGCTTCGACTTTCAGAGAAAAATATGTTGGGTGGCGAGCCCAAGAGTAAACTGGGGCGTTCCCATGGCGCATGTTAAGCCCATCTCCAGCAACACGCAGCGTAGGCTGTCCTTTGACCTTCAAACCTTATGCTGGAACACCATTAACTAGCATCTGCGTCAAGGGGGATGACGTGGCGCGGAGCCACTCACCAAACTGCTATTAGGAACTCAGGGAGTAACTCACTCCCTGAGTTCCTAGACTTCAAGCTTTATGGGAAGGCCATTCAAGTGGCAAGCAACGAGTTTCGACTTGTTTTGGCCCATCGACTCAGGAAGTGAGTTGACCAAACTTCCAATGAGTATTGACCGTGGCTTACGTGGTCGCAAATGAGAGTGTTCAACCACTTGCCAGCGATAACGCATTTGCACAAGGAGCAATAGCCACGCAGAGTCAAAGTGGCGTGGCCCCTTCACCGACAAGATGCATATTGCATCGTACCCCCGAGAGGTAATTCACCCTGCGACCCTAGTTGTTCCGTAGCTCGGCCCCTTTTTTTAGATCCAAGAAAGGGCCAGTCAGTTTTGCTGATTGCTGGATCCACTCAAATGGAATGAAACGACGGAAAAGGGTTGTGTGTGTTTTATCCTTCAGGGTCACCGGGCAGCTGGGGCCACCGACTTCCGCGGCCCTAGCGCGAAACATTCCGAGCGAGGCACCCACGTCCACGGCGGCCCTGAGCCGGGATCCCGGGCTCGATCCCGGGCTCGCAAGCGTTCGCTGGAGCCACCATCAGACCGCCGCCCAAAACCCATGCACGTGGTGTATCCGAATAGGAAGTGTGTGTGTGTGTGTTTAAAGACGGCGGTGTCCGTCCTTCCTTTGTTTGTGCTGGTATTTGGCATAGCTGTAACAAACCTCTGGCTTGAGTAGCAACAGGCGTGCGTCCAATCCGAAAGTTGGAGTTTAGGGCCCCCATTTGGTTTAGAAGCAGAGTTGGGAGGGCAAAGAACCGAGGAAACTGTATTCACCAAAAGCTTGTGAGACCCGAATTTATGTCGAGGCTTCCAAGCAACCCAGCTGTGACCGGCTGTGTGTCATGGGTCGGTTGTGATCTAAAGCGGTGCCTTTGGGTGTGCACCGGGCCTGCATGAAGCTGTTCAGCTGGCTGGGCTGTGAGCTGGTTCAACCTTGGTTCCGTGGCAACGCGGAGAGTGGAAGCCGTTTTTGAAAGAGCCACAAGTGAGAAGCAGCTCCCAGGCAGGACTTCGGCCGTAGACACCTTTAATGCCCCTTCAATACTAGGTGTTGATGGTGACTCGTGTTGCTTCCTCCGTTGGATTCCGAATTTCTCCAAATCCGTAAGCTTCATTCGGAGGGAGGGTTCCCAAACCTCTTGGCGACTGATTCGGTCGAATGGACCCCTTTGGAACCTCCAGATGCTTGATGGGCCATCCTGCAAAGTGCCCATCCACAAACGTTTTATGGTCAATTTTCGGGGGACATGCTTTGCGGACCCGCGCATTTTCCCGTAACATATTTGGGTATGTCTTTGTTTTAGTCAAAGACCTCCCACAATGATGGTTTTCCTTTTGGTTTCTCTTTAGGACCGCAAAAAAGGCGGTGCCATCACAAAAAGACAGCCTCAGTTGGGTAATGCTGACCCCATATTAATCAAGTCTAGGGGATGTTTTCGGGTGTAGTCAAGAATCATCACTTCTGGGGAACACCACCCTAAATAGACTGGGGTTGATGAATGTCAAGATCATGTGTCGATTTCGGAGCCCCAAACCGCTTGGCTTCGGAACCAAGCCGCGCGAGTCGAGGTCTGGGGCGCTCGGGGTGGGCACCGTGCAGCGCATGTGGCCGGGGAGCCGAGTCCAGACGAGTCAGCTGCGGCTTACCTGGTTTCGGTTTAGTGATGGTTTGGTGTGGGTTTGGGGCCGATTTTGGCTGGGTTTCTGATAGGTTTAGGCTGGTTTTATGCTGGTAGTTCAAGTTTTGTCGTACTTGTTTGAAAGATTGGCCAAGACACGCAGGAGTTCTGACCATTTGATCTTGTTTGGAATAAGCAGATGATGGAATTCCAATGCATGTTGGTTTCGGGTGTGGTATGGCCTCAGTCAGGTTTGCTTGGGGGAACGGCCCCTTTGTCAAAACATGGCTTACCTTATGCCTGCACCCACTTGTTGGTTTAGTCACCTCGGTACCGACAGAAAGGGTGTTGTGTCATCTACTCAAATGCGAGGAGGGGTGGAACCTTTTCAAGTAGCTGATTGGGGCAGGACCAACCACGACCACGGTCAACGTGTGGTCAGGTGCCACTTGGGTCTTAAATTCTAAACCTAGCTGGTTCCTTGGTTCCTTTTTGCGGCCGACACTGAGGTGACCCTGAGACAAACCCATCTCCCTGAATTCTCTCAGCCACGCAGTCACGCAGCGACCCAAGGTGACAAGCGTGCCGAGCAGAGACCATCTGCTTTGAGCCGCTGCCTCGGGTTTGAAAGTAGATATGGCGCCATTCCCTTGTCGGTACGGAAAAATCCCCAGCCAAAATGGCGAAGTCCAGTTCCGGGAAACTCAAAAGTGGCGGGTGGACATGAATCCCAACCTAAATGATGTCCCAGCCGAAGGGTACCTGGCGAGCCAAAAAAAACACGCCATGGAGGAATCGTGTCAGACTTTCACCCAGGACTTGGCTTCGTGGCGTTTGGCTGCTCGCGGCGAGCGTGGCAGCCAATTGTTTAAGGCACGGCGAGCGCCTTTGTGCTGGCCGGAAGCTTAAGGTGAAGTCCCCAAGTTTCTTTTCCTCGCAGTGTTACTTAAACCAAGCCCTCTTTTAGGGTACCCTCAAGAAAAAGGGGTCGCCCGTGTGAGTCCAGGTGGTACATTTCTTCATGGCAGCGCCCAAAACCGCCCCATCGTTGATCCCTAATGGCGATCCCGTAGCCCTAACCCTTGAGATGGGGCGGCTGTAGGGTCCCCGAAAATGAGTCGCTTGGGGTACGGTTTCTCAGTAGCCGTAGGATGGTCGATATAAGTGATCGTGGGCTTGTGATTGTTTGGCATTCTTGGAGCAAAAGAGCGAACCACACAAATTCATCCAAGTGACCTAGAGTTGGCGCAAAGTCGCAACGCGCAACCCGACATCCGGGCCTAGTAGGCCCCGCTTGCAGAGCCAAGCGACGGCTGCCGCTAGACTTTGAGCCAATGAGCCAATGGGTGGGAGTTCTAAGCTTTAACGGCTTGCCATCAACAAGTGAGCAGCGATCCCCACTGCTTCTGCCACGTGGCTTTGTGCATAGTAAGGCCCACATGAACGTTGGCAATCACTTCCCTGATAACAAAGGTCTCCCCTAGTAGCAAAGATAGTTGTTCAAAACCCTAGTGGGCTCAATAAATTCAAATGGGCCAACTCTAAACCAATACTTAACTAGCAACTTCTCTCACCGACCTCTTCCAGTCGTACCACTGTTTACCGATCGAACAGCAGGTTGCGATTTCCATTCAGGTTGCGGTGTCCATTTGAATCCCTTATGTATCCAAGAGCAGTCGTTTGTGAATTGTTTGGGCCCGGGAGGGCAGGGGGGAGTACTGTCCAAACACAAACCAATAGTTGCTTACAACCAGAACTGGACCCGCCCGGAAGTGAACACAGCGGGAGATAGCCTGCAACCAGGGACCCCTAATAACATGTGTTGCTCTGCTCAGGGTTATTTTGCACTTCTTTTGTTCGGGCAACCGGAATGGAACCAAACTTAGCATAACATCTATTGCGCTCATCTAGCGCTGCAGCCGTCAGCCCACTGCCACCATGTGGCCAATCTGCACACAAGCTGCAGGCGGAAGCAGGCGCATCCAGTTGCCTGAATAATGTTGCTTTCCTTTGAGAGTGCAGGAGTTGCTGCACCCACAATCTCAAGGCGTTTCATTGAATGCTCAGTCGCCCAAATCTGCTGGTTCGCCATGTTTTTGTTTTGCCCTTCTTGCATCAGGCATACCAAACACCTTCTGCTCGCAGGGCCTTTGGAGTGAGACTGCTCCCCGCCAAAGGTGGCGTGAAGCGAAGTGACTCCAGCCTTCCGGCGAGATCCAAACAGACTGTGAGGGATGGAGTGGTGAACGCTCCAGGGGCAACTTCCCCATTCTTTTTCCAAAATTCGTCCTTACAAGCCACTACATCTACCACGGACAGCCCCAGTTTTTGAAAAGAATGATCGAAAGAATGGGGAATTCCCCCCAGAAAACCTCCAAACAAGCCTCCTTCAAGTCCCTTGATGTGCTGACGTCACCTCAAAAGAACAAGGCATGGATGCTTCTTGATGTAGCCTTTTACCGCTTAACCTGTTTGCAAATGATGGGTATGTGTCAACATAGCGAGACCCATAAAATGGTGATTTCCCGTTGGCTTTTGCCTAAACCAGCCTGAACAGCGTACCAAAGACACCCAATTGTCGTGTTTCCAGACCAAGAGGCGTGCCGCCAACATGCAGGTCGATAGCGTCCCTCAGAGAACGGATAGTTGAATGCGCAAAGGAGTATGGGTATGGGTTGCTACCCGAAGCATTGAAAGAGGCTCAGCTTTGATGCTTTGTGATGTTCCTGGCGGAGGCTTGAATACAGTTTGTGCGTGTGTGTGTGTGTGTGTTCTGCAGAGCATTCATGCGCGGCTGTTGCTTCGTGATCTTCAAGATTGGATGTTGTGCAGCGCGACCTTCTGACTTTGAGGAAGTTAGCACCACGTTGGAGGCAATCAGCAAAGCATGCGTGCTGGTGGTTTCACTATTGTAGATAGGGGTGGATCACTGAGCGATTGCAAGACTGGCGATTTTGCCGAAAGAGCTTCGTCTGCACTTTTGCAAGGGCAAATATGTGTCAAACTATTGATTTGGAAGAATAGCGATTACCCTTTTGGTTTCCCTTTACAGCCAACTTGAAAAGGGCACTGGGTCTCCCAAAAAGGGCAGCAAACAAAGAATAGAATGGTTCAATGGGCATGCTACATGAAGCCAGCTTGAAGGGACTGGTGGTGCTGGAAATGAAAGATCGACATTTTTGGGGTCAGCTCGCCAATTGCCGGTAGGTTTTCAAGTTTCAGGGCCTCAGGCTTGCCTCTGCAAGCAGAGTCTGCTGAGCACCTTTCCACTTTGCTTCGGCTTTCCATCCAGTGTTTGAAGGGCATGAGCAGTTTCAAGGCAGCATGCGCAGGCCAAAGTTGTTGGTTGATATGCCTCTTCAGTTGATTACCTCGTTAGCAAGGTAGGCTACGGGCTCCTGTGGTGCATTTCTCCCTGCATGCCAGTCTTCTACAACCTCCAGTTTGTCAATTCACTTGAAACTGGCAACTATCAGTATGGTTGAGTTACACATGTTGGATTTAGAGCATGTCGCATTAGCTTTCTCGCCAATTCGGCTTTATGTCAAAAGGCGGAGGGCATGCAAGCCCTCATTCATATCATGCCGTCGAGTCGCATGCAAATTTGGTTGCTTTTTTTTTATTGTAGACAGACTGGTACTTGTTGTGTTCCCCTGCTGTGGGGCAAGAAACATGAGTACTTCCCACCCCTGCTTGTCAAGCTGTTCTGGAGAGCATTTGGTGCTCAAAACTGGGAGCCTCGTTTCTTACAATTTACCACTGTGCACGGGATGCTTGAAATCTGTGTGTGTGTGTGTGGTGTGTGTGTTTCCTAAACCTTTTAGCGCTCCAGGCGGCAATCAGAAAGCCAACCCTTTTTGGTTGGCTACAAACGCAACTAAATGAGGATCAGGTCAAAAATATCCGAGATCCAGTCTATGTTCACTTTGGGCTTGGAGGGGGCTCGCAAAATGTCAACCACCAAAAGCAAGGACTCTATCTTCCCTCCGTCGCCCTCTCTCTCGCTCTCTCTCCCTACATGTGGCATTCATCGCTGCCTTGCTCAGTAGCTGTTTCCATCATGGCTTTGATCACATCGGGCCAAAGCACACAGTCTTGTTGAACATGTCAACGACAAGCTCCAAAATGGAACATGCTCCAGATCTGACATGATACAAAAGTGTTCCAGTTCCCGCCCGGTTCCAAGCAAAGCAGGGTCCACCCATATCCGGGCCATTTCTCAGTTGTTTTCATCTACCCAACATCTGGTGCGAGCTCAGAAGGAATGCCGAGTCCGGCACTCGGTTTCGGATGTCGCTGGGACGACGCCAGGCGGGGGCGTTGTGCGGGCGTGTAGGGCGGCTGTCACTGCGAGGTCACAGATGCGGGGGCACAAGGCTCACCAGTCTGAAGGTCCTGATTTCAGGTGTTGAACGTATTGACTTAAAGATAGCTAGCCACAAGATGCTATACAGTAAACTTGCCAAAGACTTATCAGAAGGAAGGGTGTTGGATGGAAGGCCTGCTGACGACAGAAACCGTCCCTCCTGCCATTGCAGGGCGGCCGCCTACCCAAAGGGAAGGTGCCCGTTAGAACTTCCAGCAGTCTACGGTCAATTTGGGAGGGTCAATTTGGGAGGGACGTGGCGTCAGCCGAACTGTGCGCCAAGCAGACGTGCGTCAGAGACCATATGACCGTCTCGATAGGATCCATTGGATTGGGTTTGTCTCTGCCCCAAAATTCAGTTTCGCTTAGTTTGCAATCAAAGCTACCCCCAACAGCACCATGAGAAGCAAAACCACATAAAGCCACACACACACACACTTGGATCGAAAAGTTGCTTCCGAACCTTCCCTGGGGCGTTGCTGTTGCCATTTGTGTGCTTTCAGGTCAGCTGGAAAGATGACGCTGGCTACACTGCTTCTAACCATTTTCCAGTGCCCACCGATTTCCGCAAGCGCAATTCACAGATATGGGTCAAAATGTTAACCACCGGGGGATGCAGGTTTTAGTCCTTGGTTCCATGTGCCAGGGTCCTAATTGTTTGACCAAGAAGCCACGAACCCCACCCCCACCCCCACCCCCACCCCACCCCACCCCAGCCAAGCTTCCCAAGTGAACCTCGCTCGACTTTCTTTGAGGCCCCGTGGCGGGCAGAGCTGCAGAGATTTTTGGCGGAATGGGAGGCCGAACCGAAGCGGTACTGGCTGAATCGTTCAAGAGAAGCCCAAAGGAAACCCAAGGGAAAGTCGGGGCAGAAGGTGTACTGGTTCTCCCATGGATGGAGAGACAGTCCTATTCGAGCTTGGCGCGTGTAGCCGTCAGTGTGGCAGAGGAAGTGTGGTTTCAACCAGTTCTCAGTTGGTCATGGCCCCAACAAGTTGACCATGTTAGCTTGCAGGACCCTTGCAGGTGAGTCTCTTTATTTGCAGGCGTGGGTGCCACCAGGCAGGAGGAAAAGGTCCCTTCCATGTCGCACATTTTCCTGGAGGTTTAAGCATTTGGCTACACAGGGAATCAGTGTCCCCACGTTTCCCCAGTTGGGGCTAAAACACCTCCGTGTTGCTGAAATGATAACCGAGCGAACTTTGCCCATCTAAAAGCGAGGGCCATTGTTCCTCTGTGTGTCAAAGGTGCCCACGTCGAGCCTTTTCATGGCCACGCTTGGGATTCGTTTCGACGTCAAAAGGGGCTAAGTGGGCCACGCCTGCGAGACCTGTCCATGCTGAAAGGCAGCCAGTAAGACGCCACGCACGCACCAGACCATGATAGCTTGAGTTCACAGCGACAGTGAAAGCTCGTGGTCACAAACGAAGCCAGCGTTGGAAAACGAGATCAATGACTTCAGGGCACCCAGTTGGAGAACAAAGGTGGAAACGCCCGACCAGTCGATCACAAGATACTGGTCGTTCGCCAAAACGGCCGGCCAAAACTTCACTCCGGGTGCTCCACTCGCGCGCGCGTCGCAGGCCCGCGGCCTTCCCGGCATGGCCTTCTGCACTCACGTGGTGACTGCCATGGGCCGCGCAAAGGAGGCCGACCAGGCGATTGAACCGAGACAGACCCAGCACATGGCTCTGGGTGGTCAAAACCCATGGGATCCCATTTTGGTTGGTAGGTGAATTCACCACCCATTTTGGAACCGGGATTTTAGTGGGGATTGGGTTCATTGGGGGTACGGGATTTTGACCCATGGCCATATCATGTTTTTTGAGGGTGAAACCCCTTTGAAATCGGTACCAAAAAAGTTGGTGGTCTTTGGAACCACAGGCACTCAAGATTGTTTTGCTAGTAAGAGGCTCCTTGGCGCCAATGTCAGTTGTGACCTGCAAAGGGTCCAAGTAGTTTTTGTTCCCGCCCATTTGCTGGTTTTCCCCGGAAAAGAAACCACAAGGGAGGCTGTCCAAAGGCTGTCCCGCATACCGAGAGCCAGCAAGTTGACGGGCGTATTTCCATGTGTGCACTCAACCTTGTTTGGCTGGGATTGCCCAACAGAAACCAGGGCTGCTCTATTTTGCTTGTAGATTGATTGATTGGCTGGCTAGTTGGTGGGCTGGGCCGAGTGTTGGTGGCATGTCCTTTTCAAGTCCCTAGTTTCTACGCTGCTTTCCTCCCTCCCTCACTCCCTCGCCTCACTCCCTCACTCAATCCCTCGCTCTGTTTTTTTTTTTTGTGGCGACATGAGGGTTGCTGCGGCTTCGTTGCCCCATGTTTTCGCTCTGAAGGCTTCCAGCCTAGGCAACATCTGTTCTAGTTTGACTCTTGGCTCCCAGCTGAGGCCTTCGCCTTCGGCACCTTCCTGCGGCGCAGAGGGCTGGACCTGGACACCTTCTTCTGCAACAACTGGCTTCAGGCAGGGGCGCAGGGACCCAACGAATCAGCTGAATCAGCTCGGACTTCAGAAGCGTTGTCCTTTTTCAGGTCCTTAAAGTGCTTCTGAAAGGGCCCCTTTCCAATGAAAGGAAAAATCCTTTTTTCAGGTGCTTAAGGATGCTGAAGGTGCCCAAACTGATGTCTTTCTGGCAGAGTCTCAACTGCAGGCCGCTTCCGCTTCCGGCGGACGCTGGGAAGCGCCACTGGGAGTTCTGCTGGAGATGCGCCCCGGACCGCAGTGAACTGCACTGGCCAAGAACCTGACGCGTTGAAAAGCAGTTGGCGCATTTTTTTGTGGGCAAGGAGGCGACAAAGCCGAGAACGGGGAATTGCGCCACATGACAGCGGCGAAATGACGGTTGTCACATGGCCAAAGAAGGAGAAGAAAAGGATCCTTTCCAGTCTTGCTTCAGGGCTTGGATCATTCTAGGCAGATTGCGCAAGGCGGCGAAGTTCTTAGCTGGGCACAGTAACTCCGGCTACATGGACCCCCAAAAGGAAGCCTCATGTGCCAAATCTCTACCCTTCCCATTGAGTGATGGTAAAAGGTGTCCCTGGGCCCTCACCAAATGGCTGGCAGAGGATGCTCAAGCCCTGCCATGGTTATGAGTTTGATTCAATAGGTAACCAACTCCGAAGTGGTGGGCATGATCCCCACCGAACTCTCATGTCCACTAAAGGGTCGCGAATTGAAATTCATGACCATATCTTGAGGTCCTCGCACGAGCGACCCTAAGGATGCACGTGGGCCCTCCGCCAGACGTGGCCAGCTTCGGCCTGGCAGTCTCCGCGTGCGCAAAGGCCACCCAGTGGCGCAGGGCGCTGGCCCTCTGCGAGATGCTGCCGAGCGCCTTGTTTGGTTTGGGTTCGTCGGGTAGGTGTAGCTCATAAAACCGGTACCAAAATGGGTTGAAGCATGGACCAAAACCTGCGTAACCCCTCCTGTTTAATTTTGAGCCACACCCAGGTGCATTCTTTGGATTGGTGGGGTGTTCCTTTTTGGAATTCCGTGTGAAACCAACGTAAAAGCTCAGTTGGCCAAAAGTGATTCGACCTTTTGGCCCTGTTTCTCTTTGTTGCTCCATGTTGATGGCCCCAAAGGTCAACCATTTGTTGTTTTGGTCCCAAAAAGGTGATCACCTTTATTTCCGGGGTCCCTAAGGGGCAACTGAGAGCAGGTACCCTCACCACACACCGCCGCTTTGGGGGCTTCCGGCAGGCGCCGGGCTGCGGCCCAACGTTGTAATCTGCGGGGCGGCCGTGGCCGCTTGCGAGCAGCAGCTCGGATGCCCTTTGGTTTTGTTTGGAGAGGGTCCCTTAGTTCCACTGCCAACACAAGAATAAAGGGGGGGCCCTGTTTTCCCATGGCCAGTGTGGGCTTCTGTTCAGGCTTCAACTCAATGAAGCCTTCGAACAGGCCTATTTTTAGAGCCGCCACGATTAGAATGCGCTGTTCAGACCAGATAATTGCAGAGGTGTTTGTCTCCGAATGAGGAAGCCTCCAAACGCACAGTCTTATGGTTGTCCCTTCAACTCATGCCCCCAAACGCAAAGTATCAGGGGCTCGATCTAACCACTACTGACATGTTTCTCCCATGGTTATTGAAGCACCGCCCCCATGCAAATGTTCTAGCCTTGTACCCCAACAAGAGACACCCGCCCACACGGTACAGGAGAACGATGGTGTTTGCTCCGTGACGTGAGGCGCGTTCTCGACAGGTTGCCCGTCAAAAGGCCCCCCGAAACGCCCTGCTGCCCCCCCGGCCCCGCCCGAGGCAATGGGAGCGAGCGGTCCACTTGCTGCAGGCCATGCAAGGCGTGTGCGCATTTTGTTTTGCTGACCAGCTGACAGGGTGTGACTGTGTGAGTGTGTGTGTGTGTGTTTTGTTTTGAGCAACCTGGAAATCCCATCCCTGGGGTTCCTGTGGCTATGTTTTACGTGGTCGATAGGTTCGCCGCTGCATATCATGGTCGAGGGGGATTGATCATTTTTTCCCGCCAGGTGCAGCATTTCTGGCTTTTTGCCCATGTCTTTGCAGGATCTTGAAACTTAATTAAGGTGATTGCAGGACCACGGGTGCTTTGCAACACTAGCCCTTGGAATTTTATAATTGGGTTATCATCTAAATCGATTATGGAACAGTCGAATTGGATCAACTCTAGCCCTTCCCAGGGCGTCCATTAACTTTGCAGACTATAGGGGTGAGGGTGTGTGGAGAGGGCGAGGGTGCATATTTATACGCAGGCGATGGGCTTCACTGGCTCCTTTTGGGAATCTGAGATGGACCCAGTGGGGAATAGTGGGGATGCGCATGTGGAACATCACATGTTTTGAAAGGAAGCAGTATATTAATATATATATATATATATGCAACACACGCCCCATAAATTCCATCCATCCAGGAATACGCATACTTAGACCTGCCGAAGGTACAGTTCTTTTGCCGACTAATTGGTTTTTGAGCTCATTGTTTCTCTGATTCAGAGAAATGACGCTGATTCAAAGCAAAAAACGCCGATTGGGAAATCATAGCTGCTCAGCCCAGGCGTATTTGCGTTGCACATTCACGGCTCTTGGGCTGTGTGCTCTCTCAATGTCTAGACTCTGCAGCGCACACCTACCGTGTAACACAATATTGTTTGCCATACTTGGGCCACGCTAGGCGCCCAATGTTCGACAAAGCTGACTCGAGGCGCTTGAGCATCGACCGCACAATTAGTTAAATGCACGCCTGGAATGCAAACCCTGCAGCTGCAGGGGGCCATAGACGCAGTGGCAGTTCACCATATCATGCAAACAGGGCACCATATCAAAGGCAGCAATAAAACATTATGCAACATACATCCAGCGCAAAACTATAAAATGCTGCAGTTGGGGCTTAGTTCAAGCCGTGAGCCCTGCCTTGCACTATCACTCATGATGTAAAGTCCATTGCACAAGCTCCATGTCCAAAGATGCCTTGCAGCTCGTGGGCGGCATCGTTCTTTGCTGCATGGCTTTACTTGGATTCCCAAAATCAGAAATCTTGCCTTATCAGATAAGGCCCGTCCTCAAAAGCGGGCACCAACGTCCTCAAATATGGGTCCGGAGCAGATCGCTGACTGGCCGGCAAAGATCGCCGACTGGCTGGAAACGATCGGCAACTGGCCGGTAACAATTGCCGAATCGTTTTTTGCTCTTTCCGTTGCTTTTGCTTGGGTGCCCGCCTGTAAATTTTCAGAATATGCAAGCGAGCTTTGCAGCCCTCGATTTCTGCGTTTTCTGAAGGTGGCATGCAGTGCTTCGGGCTCAGACTCTGCTGTGAAGTCTAATTGGAAGCGTGCCTTGAGATCCAATATGCCTGCGACCAACAAGTTGTTGATCAAAAATCCATCAAAACCCTGGGCTTTATAAGCAGCCAACGACATTTACTGCAAAGAAGGTCGGTACAGGATGTTCAACAGGCAAAAGCGAAAATGGTGTCTTACTTGAAGATTAGTGAAGCAGCGCATGGTTTTTGTCAGGCAAGTTGAAATCCCAGCAGTGCCAGCAGCCAATTGTGCTTGCCTGGCCGATTGAACCCTGTCCGATGCTTGTCGTGCATGCTGCGTAGCGCTCTCTTGAAGCTGAGAGTATCTCCTTATTGGGGAGTGTGTTGCGCAAAAGATTTGTGGCACGAGGCAACATGGATTGCAAACATGTACTGTGGCACTTGGCGCTCTTTTGCGGAACAAGTGGCTGCCTGACGAGCTATAAGTCCAACGCAAATTCAGGAAAAGTGCCCACAAAGCAGCGGTGCCAAAAGCCAAAGTTCGATGACACGTTGGCAAGCAATCAAAATGCCGCCCGCCCTGGAACTCTGTCGATGCACAAAATGAAACAGCCAAAATTTGACCCCCCCGCCGCAATCTCCAAGGTGTACGAAAAGGGCAAAGGCTTGTTGACAGTATGGAGAGGGCGAGGGTGCAAATGTATGTTGACTGGTTTTGTGCAGCTGGTTTCGCAACCAGTATTGGATGCTGGTGCCAAAATAGATCAACCAATCGCCTGTTCTTGGGCCAAGTAGCGTGAATATGAAACCGGCGTGCCGAACAGGTGCTAAAAGTGCTAGCTGATCGATGGGTTCATGAGCAAACAATAATTTGGATTGTGCTTTCCAGCTAGCAGTACTAGGTGGCTAGACAATGTAGCGAGAACAGGGCCTTTCGCAAAGCAAGCGCCAAGCTCAAGAGCCTTTCCATATCAACTTTGCTTTGCCAAACGCGTTTGACTTGAAGTTTGACATGGTGTGCGTACAGTCCCTCAAAATGACTTCAAACAGGCTGGTGTGGGAAATGTAAGGGAGGAAGGGGGAGGGGGGAGGCGGAGGGGGTAATGTGATACTTTTTTCGGCGGGGGCATTGTCCGTGAAATCACGCCATTTGTCCGTGAAATCGCGCCCATTGTCCGTGAACTTACGCCCATTGTCCGTGAAATCCGCCCATTGTCCGTGAAATCACGGAATCTACAAAAACACATTTTTCAGCGTTGAACTATGTGAGTGCCCCCCCCCACGGCGCCACCTACAAATGGGAAAAGGAGGCAGGTGTATGACCTTGGGCCGGTGAGAATCGTCAGGCGACTGACGCCTTTGAGGCTTGCACGCAGCTTCATGATACCCGGAGATTTCGGGGTGGGGGGGGGTCAATGTGTGGCTGTTTCACTAAAGACATGTGTTTTTTGTGAATCGACTGAGTTTGAGGGCGAGCAACGTGTCATCAAACTGTGTGGCTTTTGGCACCGCTGCTTTCAATGCGTTCTTTGTGGGGACTTTTCCTGAATTTGCGTTGGACTTAAAACTCGCGTCAGGCAGCCACTTGTTCCGCAAAAGAGCGCCATACATGTTTGCAATCCATGCTGCCTCGTGCCACAAATCTTTTGCGCACCACACTCCCCTAATAAGGAGATACTCTCAGCTTCAACAGAGCGCTACGCAGCATGCACAACAAGCATCGGACAGGGCTCGATCGGCCAGGCAAGCACAATTGGCTGCGGCATTGCTGGGATTTCAACTTGCCTGACAAAACCCATGCGATGCTTCACTAATCTTCAAGTAAGAAGCCATTTTCGCTTTTGCCTGTTGAACATCCTTTGTGAACCGACCTTCTTTGCAATAAATGTCGTTGGCTGCTTATAAAACCCAGGGTTTTGATGGGTTTTTGATCAACAACTTGTCGGTCGCGAAATATTGAATCTCAAGGCCCGCTTCCAAGTAGACTTCACAGCAAAGTCTGAGCCCGAAGCACTGCGTGCCACCTTAGGAAACGCAGAAATCGAGGGCTGCAAAGCTCGCTTGCATATTCTGAAAATTTACAGGCGGGCACCCAAGCAAAAGCAACGGAAAGAGCAAAACATGATTCGGCAATTGTTACCGGCCAGTTGCCGATCGTTTCCAGCCAGTCGGCGATCTTTGCCGGCCAGTCAGCGATCTGCTCCGGACCCATATTTGAGGACGTCGGTGCCCGCTTTTGAGGACGGGCCTTATCTGATAAGGCAAGATTTCTGATTTGGGAATCCAAGTAAAGCCATGCAGCAAAGAACGATGCCGCCCACGAGCTGCAAGGCAACATATGCCCAAGTAAAGGCTTCTTTGGACATGGAGCTTGTGCAATGGACTTTACATCATGAGTGATAGTGCAAGGCCGGGCTCTCGGCTTGAACTGGGCCCCAACTGCAGCATTTTATAGTTTTTCGCTGCATGTACAAGAAGGGGTATGGGTTCCGAGGCGAATATTCCTAGTGGCGCTGCATGCATGCACTCTGCATAATGTTTTGCTGCTGCTTTTGCCATGTTGCTGTGTATGCAGTGGATTCTGCTGCTTCTATGGCCCCCTGCAGCTGCAGGTGAATTCCAGGCGTGCATTTAAAAGCGTTTCGAGTCAGCTTTATCAAACATGGCCCCCCTAGCGTGGCCCAAGTATGGCAAACAATATTGTGTTACACGGTAGGTGTGCGCAGTGCAGAGTCTAGACATTGAGCGAGCACACAGGCCAAGAGCCGTGAATGTGCAATGCAAACGCGCCTGGGCTGAGCAGCTATGATTTTCCAATCGGCGTTTTTTGCTTGAATCGGTAGTATTTGCTTGAATTGGCAAAATTCTCTGAATTTGCGAAAAAATGAGCTCAAACACCAATCGGCAAAAAAGTGTAGCTTCAGCAGGTCCAGGTATGTGGTTTCTGCGAGACTGCCTGCAGGCCCGCGGGCTCTCATAACAACGCTATGAACGTGCATACTCCGGAGGTCGCCTTTGCACCTGAAACCGGCCAAGAAAATTGTGAGGCAGGGCCACATTACAAAACATGAGGTTCAAAACGGTATGGAGCAGAGTAGATGTTGAACAGTGGCCACCATCCTGCACAGGACCTTTGCTTTCAAGCGAGATCAGGGCATCACAAAGTGAGGGTTTGCCAGGGTGCGCTAGGCACCCAACTGCATCAAAACTGAAAAGTGCGAGGGTGTAAGAAAAGTTTAAACCCATATAATGGAGATATCGGATAATTTGGGTGCTAAACAGGGCTAAGAGTGACTTCATGACGGCCCTTTCTTGCGCGCTCTTTAGTTTCAAGCGAGACCATCCCAAACCATCCGCTTGACCCCAAAAATGACCAAAGTCCTGACCATGGAAAAATCGCGGCGATGCTAAGAAAAAAAGGCGACGGTGTATAGAGGTCGATCGAGAATAACGGAGGCAAATAAACACATGGCCTTAGATCAACATCTAAGTTCGTAAGGACCCTTTGCGCTTGCGTCTTGGTGACCACCATGGATCTAACCATCATTGCGCAACAAAACCTAAAAAGGCCCGAAAACGATGAATGTCCTGCTAAAAGTAGCCGGTGCAAAAATATGTGCGTAGACGACAAAAAAGAGACAAATATGTGAGGAGAGGACGACTGTGTATAACGGAGACGAGGGAAGCCCAGGGCATGTCCATTAGAGTAGTACTTCGAGGGTGGCATGTTGCAAGGATGGTTTTTGGATTGGTATGTGTGCAATCAAAGTGGTTGTCATGTGGTTGAACATGTTTTGGACCATGCATCGCACTGGTTGGCCAATTCAAAGTGAGCAGCTCTAAAAAAAACCGTTACATGCCAAGCAAGAGTTGTGTCATAACAAGGCCCCGCGTAAGCAAAAGCCTGCACGGCGTAAGCGGGCGTAAGCACTTTTTGGGGAAACATGTTGCGTAAGCACCTGCGTAAGCTCTTCTTCGTGATTGCTTGGTAAGCTTTGTAAGCATGCTCGGAAGAGTTGTCCCACATGTGCTTATGCGTTTTTTGGTGGCTTGTGCTGTTGCAACCTAGCCGAGCTTGGCAACTTGCCCGGAGGACTTTGCCTGCAGGAAGACGTGCAAGACCGCATGTGCGCACCATTAGGGAAAAAATAACAACGCCAAGCTGCTGAAGCTCGCGAGCGCAGCTCTTCGTCATCTCTTCCCCACAGTCATCCACATCATCTTCAACAGTTCTGGCGGCTGTACGGGAAAAGAAGCCCGCGTAAGCAATTCTTGAGGGGAAACGCTCAAAACTCCGACGCGTAAGCGATGCGTAAGCTTTACATGCTGTCTGACTGCCGCGTAAGCTAAAACATGGGTCGCGTAAGGAAAGCGCAAGCTTGCGCGTAAGCAACTTGATACGACATAGGGATTCGTGGGAGGTTTATAGAGTCGCTCAAGTGATCTTCTTCTTGCTGGGGATGGATAAGGAGGACATATAGGGAATCCTGTCGGCTGCATCCTTCAGGAGCTGGGGCTGAGAGTTGGCTGTCGCAACTGTAGCTCAAGCATCACACGGTAGAGGCGGTTGATCTTCCAGGTGCCTGAAACGGATGTGGCCATGCGTCAACATCCCGTACCCCCAATGAAAACCTAAACCACTAAAAAATCCGGGTTCTAAAATGGGTGGTGAATTCACCATTCAATCCCAACCAAAATGGGATCCCCTTTATCGGTTTTGACCACCGCCATGTGGCAACCAACATTTCCTACCGCTCGGAAAGTTCGGAGGCGCAGAGGTTGTGCCCAACGTGGTGTGCTTCAGCGCCGCCATCAGCGCCTGCCAAAAAGGCGCGAGCCACGGAAAGGGGCGCTGGAGCCACGGTAGGAGTGGTTCACGTTTGGGCCAGTGGATCCGTACCGGTGTTTTTGGAAAGCCGGATTTCTCCGTTGACGGTACCGGTGCATTCAAGAGAAACACCGGAGTTTTTGGAAAGCCGCTTTGAGAGTTGCACGTCTTGGCTCTTCCAGGCTACCTTTCGGCTTTTGGAGTCTGGACAAATGATACCAGACTCGTCGAGGTCGCCGATGATGAAGATCCTTTACCGGGATCGGCTTAAGAACCCCGTAGTGTTTGGTGTGCCTGTGGTGTCCCAGTGGTCTCGCGGCGGTGCCTCGGTTGCTGGCGCTGTTTTGTTGGTGAGGTCGCTTGGGCATTCCTTATGTCCAGCTGGTGAATTCGTAGTTTGTGCGGATTTTGTGATTCTTTAGTTCCTGAAGCCCAGTTCTGGTTACACCCTGGCTGTTGGAAGCGGCTTGCCGGGCTCGAGGCAAGGCCTGGCCAAGCGGACTGGCCTTGTTGGCGGAGATGCGGCAGGAGTGATCCCCAGCCCCGTGACTGCAATCTTGCGTGGAAAGTGACACAAGCAGACAGACGGACAGAGAGAGAGACAGAGACAGAGAGACAGAGAGCGACAGTCAAGGCATGGACAGGCCAACTTGCAAACGAGCAAACGCGCAAGCATACCAACGCGCAAACGCATGGACAGGCAAACACGCAAACGCACAGACACACAAACGCTGCCAGGGAGGGAGAGAGAGAGAGAGAGAGAGAGTGAGAGACACAAACAAGCACAGAAGCACACAAACACGCAAACACGCAGACGCGGACACACACACACACACACACACACACACACACACACACACACACACACACACACACACACACACACACACACACACACACACACACACACACACACACACACACACACACACACACACACACACACACACACACACACACACACACACACACACACACACACACACACACACACACACACACACACACACACACACACACACACACACACACACACACACACACACACACACGCACACACGCACACACGCACACACGCACACACGCACACACGCACACACGCACACACGCACACACTCACACACGCACACACGCACACACGCACACACGCACACACGCACACACGCACACACGCACACACGCACACACGCACACACGCACACACGCACACACGCACACACGCACACGCACACACGCACACACGCACACACGCACACACGCACACACGCACACACGCACACACGCACACACGCACACACGCACACACGCACACACGCACACACGCACACGCACACGCACACGCACACGCACACGCACACGCACACGCACACGCACACGCACACGCACACGCACACGCACACGCACGCACGCACGCACGCACGCACGCAAGCAAACAAACAGGCATCGATCGCCCGTACAACCCCTGAAGGGCTTAAAGCTGGAATCAACCAAGCAAAAAGGCTTCCTGCCCAAAAAGGCGGATTGCTCAATATGAAGTGGATTCTAGTGTAGGTTTGAGGGTCCAGGTTGAGAGACTGGTGGTTACAGGGCCCCTGTTCTCCAGGAGTTACTGGCGCCGGATCTCATCGCCTACAGCTCCGGCATCTCCAGCTGCTCGGTTCATGGGCCTCGCTGGGAGATGGATTTTTGGGTCCAAAGAGGCGGGGAGTTGGTCAAGGGCTTGGCTCCCCGTGTTTTTGTTTTTTTCTCTCAACCGTTTTTGGGCCAAGATCAACACAGATGGGTGTTTTTTCACCTATCTGTTTTTCCCGGGCCAAGCTAAACCGGCGCTTCCTTGGGGCCTGAACCCACCACTCCCAGCCTCCCTTCGGGTCCTCAAAGCTGGGATCGAAGTACCGTGGGTGGTGGCGGAATCCATTAACCGCGCCACTTGGAGACCAAGGGAAACCATGGGGTTGGTTGGTATTTGCAGGGGAGTCGAGTCATTCCAGGGTTTCTTGGGTGGCGCGAAATGGAGTTCGCAACCATCCACAGTAGTGCATGTTGATTCGGTTCGCATACCTCACTCGAGTTCCTGGACCGAAAACTGTTTGGGAAGACAAACATTCTGGTGGTATATAAAAAGAATCAGAATTTGTCTGGCCAATCCACTCGGGAAATAAGATACTATGGACTCGAGAAATGATTTTCGGTTGGGGGCACCAGCTGAAGTAGTAAAGATGGTGGGAGGCTGACAATCAAGGTATACGGCTACACGCCGGCGACTCGATGAGTTTTGAGGGCCTTCATTCTGAACCCCCTTGAGATTTTATTTTGCCCAGAAATCCCTTGCATGCTTAGTACTGTCCCGAGCACATGATTCACTTTGTGATAAACTGGCCGCGGCCGTGGGAAACTTGGGAGGGAGAGGTGCCGTGTTTGACTTGGGCGGCACTTGCCGTCACGGAAAAGGCTAAGCTAGTCCGATTTTTTGTGACGGCCATGGCCCGGTCTTGTGAACGTTCCTTTGGGTTTCCCTTTAAACCGATGAGGAGGAACTGGCAACAACGCCCCGGGCAGAAATTGGACTGCGGGAGTTTCCCTTCAAGAATCAAACACCGGCCAGTGGAGGTCAGGCTAAACTGCTCGCTTCTTAACAGTGGCCATCGTGGAAAGTTGATTCGAGAAACTCCAATTTCTGTGGATGCCCAAACATGTTCTTGTGAGAATGGATCATGTTTGGATGGGACTAACCTTGCCAGAATCGTGAATCGACGCGTCATTTTTTCGTTCATGTTGCACAGGACTCCCTTTCAGCGAGGTCAATTAGCACTCTTGGGTTGCCATTGTGGGGTGAGTTTCCTCTTGGTGGTTTGTTTTGCTCAAGCCCCAGCTTCAACTCGTTTTGGTCACTCGCACTTCTAGGCTTTCCTTAAAGGCGAGTCCTCGCGTCTATTGTTTTCGTTTGCTGCCTCCCAATTCAAGTACCCTTCACAAGTTTTATCTTCTTTCTGCTTTGGTCCGCCCCAGTTGCAAAATCTTCCACATGTAGATCCACACAAGTTGTTCTTTCTTGTTGGGTAGCTTCGGACTTGCAAGCTTTCCTGCTCCGGAGTGGATTGTCCTGGCCGGCCCAAAAAAGCAGATTCTTCCACGCAATCTTTCTCCAGGGCAGTCGTTTGGTGGCAGCACCCGCAGATTCTCGGCTGGTCCAGCCACTAAGTGGAACCACAAAGGTGTCCAATTCTTTTTCTTTTGCCGCAGACTGGGCTTTCGAGCCCTGTGAGCGACCAAATGCTTGGGGTTTGCGCCCCTCTCGATGTCTGAGCGTTGGATTCCCTACACACCGAGTCATCGATATTGTGGGAGCCATTGGACCAGGCATATTTACAATCCCTGGAGCTAAGGAGCCCAACTATTCCCATAGCCGAGGCATCCGAAAGCTTCGATTTTGAGAATATTGTGTTGGTGTTCCCTTGACTTCCATTTGCCTAAGAATGTGTTGTTTTTCCCCTTGTTGGTTTCAAAGAGAATCTATCACTGCTAGACGTGTTGTTTGTTTTACCCAGGCGGCAAGAAAGAAAATGGAAGCTCAGGGGTTCAGGACTCCTGGGTTCCCACTTCCCTCATTCCTGGCTTCACCGAGGCTTGGCGTCGTGCACCCAGTGGCAGCGGGCGCTGCATCTGTTGCGGGAGATGGAGGCCGCCGGGCTGCGGCCCAACGCCCACTGCCCGGCACCCCAAATCGGCCCAGAAACCGAGTGAGGTGGAGAGTCGGTCGGTCAGTCAGTCTGTCAGATAGTTTAGTTTAGTTTATTGGTCAGTGAAGTGACGGCGATTTAGCTAGATGGCGGGTTGATACGACATTGACTCCAGAACACTCCAAATGCTCTGCCTACGTGTGCAGCCAAGTGATAGGTGAACCACAAAGACGCCCAAGAATGAGGATATCCAGGATCTGGGGTTGTTTGTCAAACGTGGTGGATTTCTCGACACGGCTTGTGAATCATGCGAGTTTCCTGGAGCCCCCTGTAAAATTCGAGGCCTTCTTCGAGTGGCATGTTGGTTTCCTTGGTAAAGTGATTCGTCGGATCATGTTTGACGCATTGCCAAGCTCAGAGCTCTTTTCGGGCTCTGCAGCCGTCACCTCTGTACACGAGTTAGTTCTCATCTCTTGACCATTGGTTGCACGGGTCCTCATGTATTTTCCGGCTTGGCAGAATCCAGCATTGCAGTATCATGGCCAGTTAAAGGAGTTGCTCTTGTCATGACCCCTGAGGTCGTTCCAAGTGGTTGACGTTGTCTATGTTGCGCGTGTTTCTCTATATCAGGGTACTTGATTGGACAGTGTCAGGAAAATGTGTGATTTGACTGACGGACTGACCGACTTGTGCGTGTCCAGCAGCTGTGTGACTGTTGGCTATGTGATGTTTCGCTTGGCCTTCGGCATTCGACGACCCAATTGTTTGGGCGGGCTGTCCTCACTCAACCAACAAGAGGGGAGAGAGACCGGGGTCCCAACACCTTAGCCTGCTTTTTGGGGGCGGAGCGAATGAGTAGGGGTTATCCATTTAACCACAACACCAAAAACAAACTTGCAACTGCGAGGTGTGACCATCACCATCCCATTGTGGCACCCGCTTCTCATCACGGAAAACCAGGACCCCCTCGCATTTCAACGTGAGAACCGGAAAGCTGAGGCTACAACGCTGCTGCAGATGCACTGGCCAAGCCTCAAACTTGGGCCAGCACCTCAAGGGTCCGGGGGAGGGTTTCAGGTGAAGCCTTTGCGCGGATGGAAGCTACGCCGATATTTGCCTGCTATTGGCGGTTTTGGTTAGGGCTAACAGAGGGAGGGTTTAAACTGGCTGGTACCATTGTTGGCGGGTTCACTTTGAATTGTGTTCAAAAAGTCACCGAGTGACGGGAAGGAAATCCTGGCTGAAATCCAAAGAGGGATCATACGGACTCGAAAACTTGAACAATGCAGGATTTTGTTGATACCACAAAGAGCTCGGAAGACTGCGGACCCCTCTAAACATGAGCTTCGGACTCGTACAGTGGATGCTGAATCCAAGAAATCCCCGCTGAGTACAGGTTTTCCTGTTCAAAAGATGCCACCTGCAACTTGTCTCCCCTGACAATTCCTTATGTCCAGTTTGGAAATTGCAGTAATTCGGCCAGATTGGTGTCTTATCCTGCGTTTGATTGATTTGCCATCTCGAGGGATTCCTCTTGGTCATGGCTCTAGCTTGTTTGAGGGGAGTTACACTGCGCTGTATAAACCTTACCAAAACAGAACCAAAAGCAATGGGCTGGCAAAGCACATTTGTAGCAAGCCATGTCCCTTTCGGAAGGTTAGTCAAAATGGAACGATTCCCAGCAGGGGCCTCAACGTCGCGATTGTTGCCAGGCGGGTTTGCCTTTAAACCCAAGAGTTTGTCTTTTGGGTTTCCTTTTCTAAGCCAACCTCAAACGGGAAGCCTCAAAAAATAGAGTATCCCAAGGTGTGTAAGCCGGTCTGGGTTCCATTTTCCTCGGCGACTCGGCAAATGGAATTGGGGACTAAACCACTCCCCCCACTTCCCCCTTCCTCCCCTGGCATTCACATGTTGAACATAATGCTGTGGGGATGTTGAACCCCGGAGGTCCGAATTGTTCAGCCGAGGGGGGGGTTGCGGGGATGTGGATTTGAGAGTTGTTTGGACAACCAGGGTTCCTCAGGGCACCATGACCCACACGAAGCCACAAAGCTTCGTTTCATGGCTCAGAGGATCCTTACTCGCAGACCATGGCTGCAAGAACCGCAGGTTTTCCCACGGGTTTCCGAGCGGGTCTTCAAAGGCTTGAAGCCAGGTTTTAGGACCTGAAGCCCTTGAGACCAAGGGCATGAATCCTTCAAGCGTCATTAGCAGGGCTGCAGGTCCAAATCCCCGATTTCCAAAAGGCCTTGGGTTGGAAACCCCCCCCCCCCCACTCCTGGCACCCTTCCCTCCCCCCCCATGGCCCCCCCCCACCCCATGGCCCCCCACCCATGGCCCCACCCCACCGAGAATCCCTCGACAGGCCAAGGCGCTGCAGCTGCTGGAGGCCATGGCCCACAGCAGCTGCCCGCCAGGCCGGGAGGCCTTCACCAGCGCCCTCCGCGCCCTGCGAACCAGGCCCCAAGAATCAGAAGAGACTGGGGGAGGGGAAGGGGGGAGGGGAAGGTGGGGGGCTGCGGATGGGTGGTTTTGTGGTGTTTAACGTATTGTGTGTGTGTGTGTGTGTTTGTGCTGTTTAAAAGAAAAAGTGCACTTGTGTAGTTGCCTGAGATGTTAATTAAGTATGTGTTTGGGTGTTGTTAATTTAACTGTATTTGTAGTTGATGGATGTGTGTTTTGTTTGTTTAATTTGTTTCAGCAGGTTGTTTGTCTAGTCATATGAATCAATTGGTTTACTTAGTGTTACATCTTCATTAAATTGCCTTGATTAGTTGCTCGGTTATGTATTTGCTGATTTATTTGTGTGGTTTGTTTATTGTGGTATGCATTGCGTTCATCATTTTGATTATTGCATTGGGTTCAGTCATTTAGTTTTTGAATATTAGTGTTATTAATGTTGGTATTAATTGATTTGCTTATTCATTTAGTTGATTATTTAAGCCTGTGTTCATTCAGTGTGTGTGTGTGTGCGTGTTTGGGTATGTGTGTGTGTATTGATATTTTAGTTTTTACTCGTTTAGTGTGTTTGACTAAGTTGACTGATTTATGTACGTATCTGAAGATAGTTTGCCGTGTATTTATCCATTTGTTTATGTTTGTTTGTTTTATGGCGTTGCGTTGTTTATTGATGTATTGGTTTATTCATGTGGTAGCTTTGCCTTTATTAGTTTCTGTAGATATATATATATATATGTTTAGATTGTTTTGATTTATGTATTGATGTATGTAGTTAAATGTGTGTTCATGTGTTAATTTATGTAGTATGCATGTATGTAATATATTGATTCAACGTAACGTAGCGTACTGCAATGCAATGCAATGGAATGAAATGGAATGTAATGCAATGCAATGTAATGTAATGTATACATATGTATTTTGATGTTGTTGTTGTTTGCCCTTTCATTTAGTTTGTTTGACAACAAGTTGTTTGTATTTTTTGTGGTGTTTTATGTTTGCAAAAACGTGTCTGTGATATCAATATGTCGGTTGTGTATATGTCATTCATTGCTTAACTTCTTATATTCAGGTTTTATTGAGTAAATCTATTGGTTTATTTACGAGCTTAGTTGTTTATTTACCAATATATTTACTGTTTGATTATGTTTAACTCTTATTAAGTTATAAGTACACAGCCAGCATATGTATAGATGTGATACACAAATACGTATTTTATATATGTTTATGGATCTGAATATGTTGCTTTGTGCCCAAGTGGACCCCAAGCTGCCCTTGTACCCGGCGCGATAGACTTGACACCGCGCACTTTCCTTGCAGGCACTACCTATTTACGATGCGAACTCACCTGAAAGGGGGGGTAAAACGAGCGAAAGCCATGATAAAGGTCCTTTACTTGGGATCCGATTCTTCATTCAGCTTCTAGAAGTGTAGTAAAATGTGCAGATGGTGTTGCGCCTGGAAAAGGATTGTATGGATGATGCACAGTGTACTTCTCGATAAATTATGTGCGCAATCCACCCACTCCGATGTCTTTTCAGTGCCTTGCTGCTTGAGATTCGGCACGGGCGTGGGGGCACGGTCACAAAATGTCAGCCAGAAAACCAGTGGACTCGCTAATTCGTTCTTGTTGTTTGGGGGTACTCACGAATTTTGACGTCACTCCTATGGTTTCTCCGTTTTGAAGGCTGAATTTCATGAGGCACATACATTTCATTTCGCTGGGGGCGCCTGGTTGCCCCAGCCACGAACCTCGGGCGGCTATGTGACAGCCTCCCCCCTTTTCCGGGGCGTCTTAAGGGTTCCATAGCCCCCCCCTTCCCCCCGCAAAGCCCCAAAAGGTGGAGGTCTCTGACCATGATTGTGTGGGCATGCCCAGGTGGCAAGTGAGTCTTGCGCTTTGGGCGGAGATGAGGCGGAGCTGTGAGGCGGGCAACTTCCCCGCGATTCCATGGAACCCACCAGAAGGTTCCACAGTGGGGAAGGGCAAGCCCCTGTTGTGTTTTTTTTTGTCTTGGAGGATTAGATTCCTTATTAGAGGGAATCTGGATCTGTTGTGTCATGGGAGGAAGGAGAGGATTGAAAATAGATCGGCAACCAACTCGCAGGAGAAAAGGTCATGACCCTGACCCCCTTAAGAGAGAGGCTGATCTTGCTTTCCAAAAGGGGTTGTTGGAAGTACACGTTTGTTGCCCGATCAATGGGTGCCCGATCAATGGGGAATGGTCATCCACTCTTCAGTATGAGTTCAGATAAAGGTTGTAAACTATTGCGATTGTAATTTGCAATCAGGATTCACATACTCGTAGAGTTTGCAGTCATGGCACATGCAAAAGACAAGGTGTTTCTTATTGGCCTAGGTGCTGTGGTTCTGAAGGGATGGCAGCTGCTTGGTTGCTTGGATGGCTGGATAATTGGGTTGGTCGGCATATCACCAGCCCCATGTGGGCTTTCATCTATCGCAGCGGGCATGCTCGAGCACCATGGTGCACAATCCCTTCCCTCTGATAGGAAGTATGGCCCCCGAATGATGAGTTATAAATGGGTACGTGTCAAAAAGGTGGATATGACTTCCCCCTAATACTATCAATAGAATTGGCTTCCCAAAATCCAAAACAAGAAAGGCCGGTTCTAAGATAATAGTTACCAAACTAGCGATTTCTGCTGACCCCAAGTAATTGCTTATTAGGGAGCCCAGCCTCTTTGGGGACAGAAGAGGACCGAAGAGGAAGGAACGGGGGGACCGCGAGAAAACAGTTGTGTTTTCCGTGATGTTGTTTACATTATAGGGAGAGTCGGGGGGACAATTTCATGATTGGGGGAACAGACTTCCCCCGAGAAATGCGTCCTTTTGGTTCCCTTTAAGCTTTCACCCGACCTGAAAATGAGCATCATCAAAAAAGCACATCCTAGTACTCACTGGAAAGCAATTAGGGTCCTGAGGTGTCGCTGGGTGCTTCACTTCGGTCCTTGTCCAACGTGGGGTTCAGTATTTGGAGGGGGTATACTTTGACGCTACGCGCAGCCAGCCTCGCTGGTGACAATTTGGATCGTTGTGGAATTGTTCAACTATTGCATTATATATATAAATATAATATACATATTTAAGCGCTTCGCGACACAGCCGGCCACCGGGCAAATGCACGTGGGGCGCTGGCCCTGTACCTGAAGGTAGGCCCTGCGGGGCTGAAGGCCCCGGTGGCCGGACTTGCGTTGCTGACAGACCACCGGCCGCGCCCACGTGTAAAAACGCAAACGTGTGCACTCAGAAGCCTCACTGCTAAGGGGGTTTCCGACATGTTCATACATTTTTCAGGGCAAAACGGATGTGACCACCACAAAAGGGGGGACACCCAAAGACCCATTTTTCACGTTTTCGGCAAGATTGGCCCAACCTAGGGGACAACATCCCCCGCATCACCAGCATCATCTGCATCAGTGCCCGCCATGGATGCGGATGATGCAGGCAATGCCGGGGATGTTGTCCACCATGGGCACCCCCCAAAAAACGCTCGTTTTTGACTCCGCGGGGAGTCGGTCCAAAAACGACCCCTTTTCGCCCAAAACACACCCGAACATCCTTTCCCCCCTGGCAGCGAGGTCACAGCGCAAAAGTATAGCGCATGGTCGGCGCATGGTCGGCGGTGGTCGGCGGCACAGGGCGGCCGGCCCTGTACCTGAAGGTAGGCCCTCCGGGCCTAGGCCTTCGGCCGTATCACGGACCACGGGGTCTGAAGCCCCCCGGTGGCCGGATCGCTCCAGATTCGGACTCGCCGCGGGGCTTGCAGCACTATCTCTTGAAACCAAAAAACAGAGCAAGGCAACGCGAGTCCATGCAATTAAGTGCTTACGGATAGGTCCCTGCGCAAGGTGTCTGGGGACCTATCGATTCGAGCAGTGTGAAACTCAGCGCTGCGATTTCCACGCGTAGAAACGAGACTGTCTGGGATTCTACGGTCCCATGTAAGGTTTATCACGAATATGTAGTCCGAACCAAGTGGCTACTGGCCAAGAGTTTCACACTGCTCGAATTGATAGGTCCCCAGACACCTTGCGCAGGGACCTATCCGTAAGCATTTAATTGCATGGACTCGCGTTGCCTTGCTCTGTTTTTTGGTTTCAAGAGATAGTGCTGCAAGCCCCGCCCGCACACGTGCACACTGTATGTTAAGATCTTAAGATGTCAAGACTTCAAAATTTCAAGATTAAGAGTTTAAGGAATTTAAAATATAGCCCGGATTGAAGGAATTTTATTATATATTTTTTCTTGTTTATGAATTTAAGATTTTCAGATTGCAATAGTTCGAGATTTAAAGAATTTAAGTTTTTGAAGCTTTTTAAGATTCTGAGATTTTAAGATTGTAAGACTTTAGGAATTTCATATTTTTAAGAGTTTAAGATCGCAAGATTCTAAGACATAAGGGTTTCAAGATTTCAAGATTCGAAGACTGTAGGATGTTTTTTATATTTTCAGATTTTAAGATTCTAAGTTCGAAGATTTTAAGATCTCGAGATTCTAAGATTGATTCTTAGATTTTAATTTAAGATTTTAAGAATCTAAGACTTTAGGATTTTGAGATTTCAATCCAGGCCATTTTCCATCCATTTTCCATCCACTTTAAGATTTTAAGATTTTCAGGTTGCACGTTTTCGGCAAAGTTGGCCCGACTTAGGGGACAACATCCCCAGCATCCCCCGCATCACCGGCATCATCCGCATCAATGCCCGCCAAGGATGCGGATGATGCAGGTGATGCCGGGGATGTTGTCCACTATGGGCACCCCCCAAAAAACACTCGTTTTTTGACTCCTCGAGGAGATGCTCAAAAAGCCGCCAAAACTCGCCTGAACAAATCCGTAAATCCTTCGCCCCTTATAAGGGCGGGCCCAGCGCAAAAGTATAGCGCAAGGTCGGCGCATGGTCGGCAGTGGTCCGCGGCACAGGGCGGCCGGCCCTATACCTGAAGGTAGGCCCTGCGGGCCTAGGCCTTCGGCCGTATCACGGACCACGGGGTCTGAAGCCCCCCGGTGGCCGGATTTACACGCTGACGCGACACAGCCGGCCACCGGGCACCTTGCCCTGCCCGTTCTGTCACTTCCCTTTCTGTAAGTCCGATTAGTAGATGTTAAGATGTTAAAATTCTAAAAACTTTGACATTCTAAGGGTCTCAGATTTGAAGACTTTCGGAATTTAAGGTTTCAATGGTTTAAGAATTAAGGTTTTAAGATTCAAAGATTTAAGGTTTTTGAAGGTTATAACAGCCAGGCCATTGCCCAGCCATTTTCCATCCAGTATCAGATTTCGAAGGCTTTAAGATTTCATTTTTGTGAGATTTTCAGATTTGGCGACTTTCGTAATTGAAGATTTTAAGATCTTAAGATGTCAAGACTTCAAAATTTCAAGATTAAGAGTTTAATGAATTTAATATATAGCCCGGATTGAAGGAATTTTATTATATTTTACTTGTTTATGAATTTAAGATTTTCAGATTGCAATAGTTCGATATTGAAATAATTTAAGTTTTTGAAACTTTTAAGATTCTGAGATTTTAAGATTTTGAGAATTTAGGAATTTCATATTTTAAGATTTGAACATCTGAAGATTCAAAGACATGAGGGTTTTAAGAAGTCAAGATTCGACGACTTTAGGATGTTTATATTTTCAGGTTGTAAGATTCTAACTTCTAAGGTTGTAATCTTAAGATCTTAAGGTTTCAAGATTTCAAAAATTCAAGATTAAGAGTTTAAGGAATTTAAAATATAGCCCGGATTGAAGGAAGGTAATATTTTAATAATTTAAGATTTTCAGATTTCAATTGTTCGAGGTTTAAATAATTTAAGTTTTAAAGCTTTTTAAGATTCCGAGATTTTAAGAGTGTAAGACTTTAGGAATTTCATATTTTAAGAGTTTAAGATCTCAAGATTCTAAGACATAAGGTTTTTAAGATTTCAAGATTCGAAGACTTTAGGATGTTTTTATATTTTCAGATTTTAAGATTCTAAGTTCTAAGATTTTAAGATCTTGAGATTCTAAGATTGATTGTTAGATTTTAATTTAAGATTTTAAGAATCTAAGACTTTAGGATTTTGAGATTTCAATCCAGGCCATGTTTCATCCACTTTAAGATTTTAAGGGGGCAACATCCCCAGCATCACCCGCATCGCCAGCATGCATAACATCATCTGCATCATCCGGGATGATGCTGGCAATGCTGGGGGTGTTGTCCAGTATTAGGCACCCCCTAAAAATACTCGTTTTTGGGCGCTGCGGGGAGATGCTACAAAAATCGCCTAAACCAATCCGCGAATCCTTCGCCCCTCATAAGGAAGGCCCAGCCTAAAACGTATGTACATGGTCCGCTCATGGTCGGCGGCATGGGGCGCGCGGCCTTATACCTGAAGGTAAGCCCTACCGGGCTTTGGCCTGCGGCCCGATCACGTCCGGTGGCCGGATTTAAGGGCTGCCGCCCAGTGCCGCCGACCCCTCCGCTGGGGGGCCAGCCCAGGTTTTTTTTGTTCTGTCAGCGGCTTTTGGCTGGTTCAGGCTTGCTGGCTTGCTTGCTCGCTTGCTTGCTTGTTTGCTTGTTTTCAGCGCTTTTCCAGGCCGCACTCGTTTGCCCACAGCGAGCACCAACCAAAAGGAGTGCGCCGGCAGCAGAAAGGAAGAAAAGAGGCCGAACGGGCGGGCCGTGACAAAGCTTCAGCGCTGAAAACTGTGCCCTGCAGGTGCTGGAGCGCTTTTCCAGGCCGCACTCGTTTGCCCACAGCGAGCGCCAACCAAAGGAGTGCGCCGGCAGCCGATAGGAAGAAAAAAGGCCGAGCGGGTGGGTCTTCAGCGCGAAAAGCTGTGCCGAGCAGGTAGTTGAGCACGCTCGGCCTCCTCAGCTCAGGGGCAGTTGGTGTAGTGGCATCACACCCGCTCAGCACGCGAGAGGGGCCGGGTTCAATCCCCGGCCTGTGCATGCCCATGTGCGCCTGGGTTGGTCTTTCTCGCTTAGGGTTTGCTGTGCGTCTTGTCAAGGGCGGCTGCTGCGCCGCGGCCGGGTGCCGAACGTCACTTTTGAATCCTATATATAGAAATAGTATTAGTTAGAAATAGTATTAGTAGAAAGTATAGAAAGTATAGAAAGTAGAAGGCTATCGATCCCCAGGGCGCAAACCAGCAAGAACAGCTTCGCGTCCAGCGGCCTCTTTTCTTCCTATCTGCTGCCGGCGCGCTCCTTTGGTTGGTGCTCGCTGTGGGCAAACGAGTGCGGCCTGGAAAAGCGCTCAAGCACCTGCAGGGCACAGTTTTCAGCGCTGAAGCTCTGTCACGGCCCGCTCGACCGGCCTTTTTGCTTCCTTTCTGCTGCCGGCGCACTCCTTTGGTTGGTTCTCGCTGCGGGCAAACGAGTGCGGGCCCGCCCGTTCGGCCTCTTTTCTTCCTTTCTGCTGCCGGCGCACTCCTTTGGTTTCTTTCCTTTTCTTTTCTGCTGCCGGCGCACTCCTTTGGTTGGTGAAACGAGTGCGGCCTGGAAAAGCGCGGGAAGCGACGCTTTTGTGGCTGGCCGCTCCCTCTGGACCGATAGCCTTGCTGCATATTGGACTCAAACGTGACGTTAGGCACCCGGCCGCGGCGGAGCAGGCTGCGAACGGGCTGGCCGTGACAGAGCTTCAGCGCTGAAAGCTGTGCCCAGCAGGTAGTTGAGCACTCTCGGCCTGCTCAGCTCAGGGGCAGTTGGTGTAGTGGCATCACACCCGCTCAGCATGCGAGAGGGGCCGGGTTCAATCCCCGGCCTGTCCATGCCCATGTGCGCCTGCGTCTGGCACCGTTTGCCTATCCCTGGCACGAACCAAAGGAGTGCGCCAGCAGCCTGCTCAATATGCAGCAAGGCTATCGGTCCAGGGGGAGCGGCCAGCCACAAAAGCTTCGCTTCCCGCGCTGGTCCAGGCCGCACTCGTTTGTCCACAGCGAGCACCAACCAAAAGGAGTGCGCCGGCAGCAGAAAGGAAGAAAAGAGGCCGAACGGGCAAGCCCGCACTTGTTTGCCCACAGCGAGCACCAACCAAAAGGAGTGCGCCGGCAGCAGAAAGGAAGAAAAGAGGCCGAACGGGCTGGCCGTGACAGAGCTTCAGCGCGGAAAGCTGTGCCCAGCAGGTACTTGAGCACTCTCGGCCTCGGCTCAGGACCAGTTGGTGTAGTGGCATCACACCCGCTCAGCATGCGAGAGGGGCCGGGTTCAATCCCCAGCCTGTCCATGCCCATGTGCGCCTGCGTTGGTCTTTCTCGCTTTGGGTTTGCTGTGCGTCTTGCCAAGGGCGGCTGCTGCGCCGCGGCCGGGTGCCGAACGTCACTTTTGAATCCTATATAGAAATAGTAGAAAGTATAGAAAGTATAGAAAGTAGAAAGCTATCGGTCCCCAGGGCGCAAACCTGGTGCTCGCTGTGGACAAACGAGTGCGGCCTGGAAAAGCGCGGGAAGCGAAGCTTTTGTGGCTGGCCGCTCCCTCTGGACCGATAGCCTTGCTGCATATTGGACTCAAACGCGACGTTAGGCACCCGGCCGCGGCGGAGCAGGCTGCGAACGGGCTGGCCGTGACAGAGCTTCAGCGCTGAAAGCTGTGCGCAGCAGGTAGTTGAGCACTCTCGGCCTGCTCAGCTCAGGGGCAGTTGGTGTAGTGGCATCACACCCGCTCAGCATGCGAGAGGGGCCGGGTTCAATCCCCGGCCTGTCCATGCCCATGTGCGCCTGCGTCTGTCACAGTTTGCCTCTCCCTGGTCTTTCATCCCTTTGGGTTTGCTGTGCGTCTTGCCAAGACCGGCTGGTGCGCCGCGGCCGGGTGCCGAACGTCACTTTTGAATCCTATATAGAAAGTAGAAAGCTATCGGTCCCCAGGGCGCGACCAGCAAGAACAGCTTTGCGTCCAGCGCGCTTGGAGGCCGCACTCGCTTCGCCGCAGCGAGCACGAACCAAAGGAGTGCGCCGGCTGCCTGCTCCGCCGCGGCCGGGTGCCTAACGTCGCGTTTGAGTCCAATATGCAGCAAGGCTATCGGTCCAGAGGGAGCGGCCAGCCACAAAAGCTTCGCTTCCCGCGCTTTTCCAGGCCGCACTCGTTTGTCTACAGCGAGCGCCAACCAAAGGAGTGCGCCGGCAGCAGAAAGGAAAAGGAAAGAAAAGAAACGAAGAAGAACAAGAAAAAAGTGAAAGAAAGAAGGCTGGTAAGGTACAGGGCTGAACGGGCGAGGGCGAAAGGGAAGGGAGAAGGCTGCCACAGTCACGCTCCAACGCTAAACGAACACTCCCCCAGCGCCTTCCCCTTGCAGGCAGGGGGGTCGGCGGATTTTATTCACAGTACATAACTACTCACGCACTGACACACTGACACGCGCACGCTAACTTGACTTGCCTTAACTTAGCTTAACTTACGCAATGTCTTGCATACTTGCTTACCAACTTAATTATTTCTTGCCGATCTCTTCCTTTACGTTGCCGTGCCAAAAGGTAGTCTTGGAAAGGCGCCTAAACAACGGCAGATGCGCAAGCCACGGCCCAGCACCACTCGCAGATTCGGAAACACACGACACAAGAAAAACAATCCGCGCGCTGGGTGGGTCATGTTTCTGACGGGCGAGTTGGCCGTAGAGCGGTTTTTTGGGTTGGGTGAAGTGTGGGTTTTGGGTTGATTTGTAGGCTAGAGGTCATGTTGGAAACCCTTTAAAATCACACGCCACGGCCAAGAACTCCCAAATAAGCCAAGACCAAAGCGGTCATTTGCGCGAGCTTGCCCTGCTTAACAGGGAAACGCGGCGCCACCAGCGAGAAAACGCAGGGAGGGTGCCAAACCGCAGTCTTGCAACGTGTGAGAAAGACTTTCGATCCACGGCTAAGCGGGTGCCAAAGCTGTATCCCATGCCCAAACGCTAGCACGCACCACGTTGGAAGCGAAGAACCTGCGTGGCGCCAAACAGCGTCGAAATCCACAAACCACACCCAGGCGGCAGCAGCACGGCGCCCAAAAAAATCCCTCGCAAGCTGGAGCCAAGGGTTCAACGCTTCGAGCAGCGCATCTCAAGAGGCACAGGCACAGCACAGCCCGCCCAGGCAGGGGGTCGGCGGTTATGTAGCAATGTTTTGTTTTTTCTGGTTTCAAAAAGAAGACGAGAAATCTAGCATATGGGGTTCCTAGCCCTATTTAATGAGTTTTGCTCGTGCGAGCCCTGGCTTGGCATTTCTGTGTTGCCTTCGTTGGCGCTCAGCACAGGCGGATGTGGTGGCGGCAGGGGCGCTGCTGGCGTCTGTGGCATCCCTGGTGGCGACAGCGCCGTTGGAGAAGTTGCTGCAGGTTCTGCAGGAGATGACGTCGGAGATCTTGAGGCGCACGGGTGATATATATGCATATATATATATATATATGTATACAGGGTTCCGTGTTTTGACTACCCCAAGGTCGACTTAAACCCAGGGGTGGTTGATTTCCGCAAAAGGGACGCCCCTGGGTTTAAGTCGACCTTGGGGTAGTCAAAAAACGGAACCCTGTGTATATATATATATATATTTAGGTGGGCGCCAGGATCTGAAACAACAGATTGCTTTCTGGATATCACTTTTCCTGATCCACAAAATGAAACAGGATCTGACAAGGTACTTTCTGCGTACCTCTGTGGGCATGGCCAACCAGCTGACGAAGCGAGTTGGAGGGGATTCCATTTCAAAGCACCCAAAAGAAGGTGCCACACAGGGATTTAAAAGCCAAATTGACATGGAACTCAGGGGCTCAAAGGAGTATCAAGCCTTGTTTTTCTTTTCGGTTCCGTGGGGAGAGTCGTCCACCTTCTGTGCGTCCACCTTCTTGGTCCTTCTTTGGGGTGTTTGGGAAGTTTGTGCCATGGCTCCCCAGCCCGAGAGATAGTAGGAATTCCATGAGCAAGAGGTGAGGAGGCGAGCAAGAGGTGGCAAGCACCATGCGAGGAGCAAGCAGTAGGTGTTGCGCAGCATAGAGCAAGCAAGAAACAGGTGAGAGGCAGGCAACAAGCAAGCAACAAGCAAGCAACAAGCACCAATCAGAAGTAGGCCAGTAGGCAGCCGTCACTGTGGGAAATTTGGGTTTGGCTCCAAGTGAAGGAGCTACGGTTGCGCAGGTTTGAGGCTTTGTTTTTACATGTACCAAAGTACCATTTTTTGAGACGACGAGAGAGAGTGAATAACGTAGTTTGCCCAGTTGTGTCTTAGGGGACGCCCCAAAACTTCTTGGTCAGTGCCTACGGGGACGGCAACCCAAACGCTGGTTGTAAGCTGCACTCGCCCTCCTTTGGAGATAGGGTTGATCCCCCCAGTTGCTTCGCGTTCGTCAACAAGTACCAGGGCCTTGTCCCGTAGTGTTCAAAAGACGGATCAAAGGAATAAACTGCTGGGAGTGTGGTTTGATTTCGAATCCGGAGGTAAAACGAGCCATGAAGGTTCCTTAGTTACTAGAGTTCCCTGAATCATATGTTGCGCAAAGTTGCCTCAATTACCGCCCCTCTGGGTTCACATGTGGTGAGCTTCCTTGAGTCAAGAGGCGGCCCCAGGTAGGTCCCAGGAGGCAAGGTTACTGCAATAATAGGGTCCTGCTGGTGCATATCACTTGAGTACCCTTACCGTGGCTACACATTCACGTGCCCGATGTTCACTGGGAGGGTCGTGGTTTGGAGGGTCCGTTTTTGTTGCGTGGCCCTTCGGCAGGTTTGACTTTCAACCCCTCCCCAAGTATTTTTGGGAATCTTGTTGGTTAAAAGGGAGGGGTATTTATTTTAGGTTTTTTTGTTCTTTGTTTTTTTTTCCGCTTTTGGCTTCTTGGCTTCTCGGCTTCTCGGCTTCTCGGCCTCTGGTTTCGGCTTTTCGCTGGTTTGTGCGGCTTTTGGCGGCTTTGGCTTTTCGAATCCTCTGCTTTCCCAGTTCCTCTCCGGGCTTCTTGGCTTTTGCACCCTTTCATTGGTTTTTGGATTTGGCTTCCCGCATCATCAGCATCACCAGTTCCTCCCTATTTGAAGCATCACTTCTTCGAACATCATGGGGGGGAAGCCCCCCCCCAACCCACCCGCTACTGTTTAGATTGTTTGCAGAGTAATTGCCTATTTGAATCGACACTTCTTCAAACATCATTGGGGGGGCTGCCGCCTCCCCCCCGCTACTTTTTGGATTTCTTGCAGAGATTGAATTGACCCCTATTTGAATCATCACTTTTTCGAGCGTCCAATTTCGCGAGAAAATGCGTCTATTATTACAACTGCTACTACTACAATTGCTACTGCAACTACTACTACTGAGAGATCCGGCATGCAAGCAGCGTGAACTGCTGGACAAAAGTTTCTTACAGGGATTGAAATGCCCTCCTGTTTGAAACATTATTGTTTGACCCCGTCAACCCGCCAGCTACTTTTTGGATTTTGTTAACATGCGGGGGATGTTGAAAACGATGCTGGGGATGTTGCCGGGCTAGTGTAAAATGCGTCTTTCGCGAGAACATGCTGTGAAATACGACATTTTGCTGGCCCGGACGAAAAACAAACAAAAAATCCGAGAAGAAACAATAAACAACATAAATCCGCACCTGTTCTCAAAGTAGACATAGCCCTGGTTTTGGAGGGCTTGCGACAGCCCACCCCCCTTGAATTGCCCTGTAGGCCAGACGCGGTGTCTCTGGCTGCGTGCCTGGACGCCTGCGAGCGCCGCGCCCACGCGCGGAGCGGCAGGGAGCTGATGCGGCGCCTGGAGGGCGAGGCGAGTCAACTTGGCCCAAAGCAACCGCTGGCCCTCAACGCAGATCTAGTCTTGGTTGTGGGAGTCAACTATTACTCGCTTGCCCAAACATGACCGTTTAACCAATTGTTTTCCCATTTTGGTCCAATTGTAGTAATGGTCCAAAAGGTTAGCCTTTTAATTCTGCGCCCTTTGGGCAACTGAGACCCAAGTCCGCATCCCATCCCCGGATTTGGTTTTCAGTTTCCTGATTCCAAGATCCTATGAAGGGAAAACCCCTTTTTTGTTTTTTTCAGGGAGCCAAAAGGAAACCTATGGCCGTTTCAGACGCCCCCCAGTTGTTCTAGGGCGGAAGAAGTATATGAATCACTGGTTTGAACCTCTTGCTATGTTTTACTGCTAAATAGCCATATGTTCAAGGGGACGGATGTTTTGTTCGTTTTTTCCAGACGCCCTGCGGCCCAAGATATGGGCTGTGTCGTCCGGAAACCAAATGGAAAACAGCCCTTTTTGGAGGTTCCCCTATTCCCTATTTTGAGACACTTGCTAGCTGTTTCGATTGGTTTGAGATCTATCCAATGTTTGATGAATCACCAACTGGGTGGCGTTGTTCCAATTTCTGCTCGGAACTTCGTTCTATTGGGAGTTTCCTGTTAAGTGGGTGTTTCCAGTTGTTGCGAATTCCGGATTCATTTGTTGGTTTAAAATTTGAACTGATTCTTGACTGCTTTTGGCGTCACTTCAATGCCCACCAAGTTGCAGCGTGTCCAACCAGTCAACTCAGAAGATAAGGGTTGGTTGGACATGGCTTGAGGTGAAAGGAAACGGAAGGAAACAATAGCATTTGTGGGCTCTATATTAGGACCCGCCCATTCGATTGGGCTCGCTCATTTCATTCCACCCTTCCAGCCTATCCGGACTGAACATTTGGCCACTTAGAACGGGAGCAATGAGCTCCGACCATGTGACCGGGACCCGTCCAAGGGGTCGAAATGAGTTCTGATCGCTTGCACCAAAGAGCACAGTGCTTTACGCGTCCTCATTTGTGAGAACCCATTCAAGGCGTCACCCAATTCAGGAACAAGGGTGCGTGGTTGTTGATTGGCGGGGGAGGGGAGGGCGGTTGATCATGTTTTCAGCATGGCTCAGGTCCCATTGCGAAGGCAATGCCTTGTTTTTTCTTTTGGAGGGTACTTGTAGTGTGGCAACTGGTAGCTGAATCTTTGGTAGCGTGAGTCACAACCGTAGGTGTCCTGTTTGGTTGATTTAGTTGAAAAATTGAGGGCCCTGGTTCAATAAAATACCAGGGCCATCCCAAAAGGACACCTATGGTCACAACGTTGTGCTGCTGCGCGCCGTAAGTTGCTCATTTGGGATGCTGTGTTGAGGCAGGGACCGACCCACCTGTCGTGCTTACGTTACCGATGTTCAAACATCAAACAGGGATCCCTATATCTCCCAATTGTGTGGTTTTGAACATCACCTATGTTGGCCCATGTATGGTGAGTTTCCCTTGTTAGAGGTGATGTTTTCAGAAGAATCGGGATCCCTTTCAAACCCAGTTGGGAGTCCCTTTCAAGGGGCCCATGGCAGCGGATTCAGTCATCATTTTGCGCCTCGTTCCTTTGGCTCAGGGGTGCCACTGGATTGGGGTCTGCAGAGACCTATGCGCCGCCAAGCCGGCGAGTCAGAAAATCGCAGTCGCCGAGTCGCCCCATGGACCGGTTGCTTCGTTCAACCTAATCTGGGCGGATCACACTTACTGTGATGGGTAACCTTGAGAAAAGGTAAGGGCCTGCTGATACAATGCAAGTGACTTTGTGCGTAACCCTATTATTTTGTGCAGTGAATGTGTTAAGATTCGTTCTCTGGGTTATCTATTATACGTAGTCATAGTGGCAACTGGAAGCAGTGGGCTTGGGTGAGTATTCCTTTTGGTGATAGCGGTAAACTGCGTCAGAGCCAAAGAAGAAAGCGGTTGCTTCCCCAATTTTGAGACACGCGGTGTGTAGGCCGTTGCCCTCACTCGCAGCCCCTTCGCGGGCTCAGGCCGTCCTTCGGCTGGAACAAATCATTGGCCAGCATGAGTCACGAATGCCAACCCCCAACCCCGGAAATGTGCACCCCGGTCCGGAATGTCTCCAGGGATTCGCTCCATATCCCACCAACTGGAGTCCAGATTTAGAGACCATTTGGATCCACAATTTTGCACACAGCCATTTGGAGCTCATGATATTATTTGGAGGACCCACTTGGAGAGATTGTAGAGATGACCATTTGGACTTCACGAACCAAGTCTTCGAATTCCCCAAGCCTCCCCTTGTTGGGGGACGAGCCCTGGAATCCGTCACATGAACTGTTGGTGAAGTCGATGGGTCAAAGCTTTGCCATGGCAAAGCAGCCATCGGCGAGCGAGAGAAGTCGCGGCCCCGTTTTTATGTCACCTGCGGATTGGACAAAGGCCTTTTGCCATGCCTGCACAGTATCCCTGAAAAAAACCAACAACAAAGAACTCGGAACGCAACGAACAATTATTCTGAGAATCTTGAACAGTGCTAAATTGGCACTCAATGACAAACCTCATTTTGAGATGTCCTATTCCACGCAGCTCTGAAAGGCAGAATCCGTGGAGGGGGCATTCTGTCCCCTGGAGATCTCCATTCATGGCAAACCATTTCCCTTCCGGCTGGACGACTTCAAGAAAACATTCGAAACGGCGGACCTTAGCCCTTGACCTCATCCCCAGCCCCCCCACCCGCCTTGAGGTAGATCCACCCTGCGATGGGTGTGACGTCGCCTCCATCCAGAGGCATGTGGGTGTGGGGCCAGGGACGAACAGATTGAGAAGCGGAGACTGGGCAGACTAAATTGCTAGAATGGGTTTTGTGCGGAGGCTTTAGAACCGAAAGAAGTCGCGTGCACAAGAGAAAAATGAGGGTATACAATTAACTAGCTAGCTCCTTACTAAGGCTCATGGCCCCTGAAGAATGAGGGTATACAATTAACTAGCTAGCTCCTTACTAAGGCTTATGGCCCCTGGAACGCTGAACCCAAAAGCCAATCGGAAGCCTTAGGATAGCGACACCAAAAGTTGAAAGAATGCCTGGCTCCAATCATGGAGAATTGTCACAGAGTATCGGCACGGTGTGTAAACATGTGTAAACGCAATCCCTTGGAAAGTGACAAGGTGCCATGATCACAGAAACGGCCCAAGTTGAACTTTGTCCAACTAAGTTACGATTGCCAGAAAGAGATGGCCGTAGAGGGCAAGGGTGGGAGGCCATATGGGAGCGAGCAGGCATACCTCCGTGTCATTTTCATGGCTGGTCTTTGGTGTGACCTTAGCCTCTAAGACCTTTCGGCTCGACCTTTTGCTCGGGGGAAAAGCAACCCGCTTTGAGAAACCCACGAAAATCCGCCCTGCCCCTTTGCAACTTATTGCCTGACAGGTTGTCAGCAGTATGGTTCCCTTCTTTCCTCAGCTGGTGGTTTGGGAAGATCGTTTCAGCTGTAAAGAAACATTTGGACATCTCGTGAACAATCCGCTTACTTGTAGGACGCAAGTTCTCTTTTTGCGCCCTTCTTTCTAGGAACCATTTGGAGCAATCCGTTCGGACTGGTTCCTTCATGGAACCCCCAACCTGACAATCTCTCCAACATGGAAGTGCAGTGTGCAAGACCATGCTCTTGACAGGGCCCCTCCACTTCCATGCAAGAAGAAGCAGTTCTGGGGCTTGGTGACACGTGCCAGGACTGGCGCGTTTGCCGCATGACCTGCTGGGCGCTCACCGGACTGTCAGTCAGACCAAACAGCGATGCGTCTCATCAACTTGGCCTCATGAACTTGGTGTTTGCATAGCGCCAGGTGGCGCAGAGCAACGCAATTTCTCAGTGAGTTTGTTTTGCTTTTTAAGAAAAAAAAGACAAAACAGTACTTGTTCGGATTCGCACCGGTGTGAATTTCTTAAGCATTGGCCTAGTCACGAAAGCTAGCTTTAGCTAGCTGAAGTTTCTCCTTGCGTAAGCAAGGTAAGGGGCTCAAATGCCGAAAGATTGATTTTTTCAATTATTTGAGCCGAAAAGATTGAAAAACATCAATTATTTAGACCCCCCCCCCCCCTCCCCCCCCCCGGTCTCAGGCTCGATTCCTCCCTGGTCCATCCCCCCCCCGGGCAGTGGCTCAGTGTTCAGCAGTCTCGGTTTGCCCGTTTTGGACTTGGTGCTACGAACTTTTACATGTTCCACCGATTCAGCTTGTTCATTTGAGACCTCAGTCTTCTCAGTAAACCACCTCGCAAGAATCTTTGCACACGCAGCATGCAGAACCCAGACATGCTTTAAGACAGCTTCTGACGCCTCTCGTTGTTTTCATTTTTCAAGGTTTGCCACGCCACCATGTGCGTTTGCGTGTCGCATCCTACGAATCTTGCCGGGCCTCTCGTTGTACACAAGCTACTCATGAATGCACTCTGTCACCGACCCATCTCATGCAACAACTGCTAGCTTTCGTTCACCCGCTCCTCAAGTATCAATGTAGTATTAGTTCTTAGCTTCATATTGGTTCAGTACTGATTTCGTATTGGTCCTGCAGTACCCCGCAATAAGTCTGGGGTCGGGGCGAGAAATCCGCCAGGTTCGTCGGCTAGGGAAAGCGAGATTTTTACTCATCTCTTCACTGTTCTTGGATCCTGCTTTCTTCTTTTTTGGTTTTTTGGTTTTTGGGTTTTTTGGTTCGGTTCATTTTTACTGGGGTCTGCAATACACACTTAGTTTTTTGCTACCATACCAAGAGTAGAGATGATCTGGGTGCCTTTTGGGGAGAGGGGATTAGTAGGGTTCACAGCTTCGCAAGGCAGAGGCAGCTTCGAGAAATCGAGTCCATACGCCCGGAGTCCAAGTATGGGCCGTGCAAGTCCTTGTTCCCCACTTGAAAAAAACCTTTAGAACATCCACTGAACGAGGTTTGGTACAAGATATCAGAGTTTCTGAGCAATTTGGCAGGGACATGAGGCCGAATGCTTGCTAATTATCTCATATATCCTTCAGGGCAACCTTGTATTTTGTTGTAGCACATATGCTTCTGCCCGGTTTTCGTGGGGTCCGTTTTGGGGGCCGCTCAGGAGCGCAGGGCAGCGTGCCCTCGTTGCAGCTATGCACAGCGGAGCTGGCCTGAGTCGCTTGTGGGGCTTTGAGTTTGTTCTCCCAGGCTTGTGACGTGTCTCATGTCCCAAGGCACGAAACCCGTTTTTGGTTTCCTGCCCGGACAACAAAGAGTAAGCCCAATGAGTATCCCCAATAGCGTGGAACTTCACCGCCGGAACCTCTGCAGAAGCAATGGTCATACTTGGTGTGTGCATATTGAGGGTGCCCCCGTCAGATTGGCTTTTATACAGGACACCACAAGGAAAACCACCGTTTGTCGGGTTCCCCTGGCTTGACACATGCCCATGTGGATGAGGGCAGAGTCCAAAGCGGTTTCCTTTTCGCGGCTCAGGCCATTTCTGGCTGCGGTCGCGCGCGAGTGTGTGGGCCCTCGACGACATGTGGTTGCCTTTGGGACAAACGTTTGACAATATCGTCTTGAGAAGGCCTCCTTTGCTTCCATTGGACTCAAAATATGGATCCCTGTTTGGTGTTCACACGAAACATGCAAACGTTGCGGCCTGTTGCTCACACCGAAGCAATGTAAGCCATGGCAGGATCCTTCCATTTCAGGAGAACCCTTGTATTGTGAGTTGTCAAGCATAGAGCCCTGTGTGGGAGGTCCCCTTGATGGAAGGAATACAACAAACATCATCAATCTTCACCGTTTCCCAGCTGCTCACAGACAAGCCAGACTATCTTTTCCCCTACTTGGGAGCATGTACAATCCTTTTGGATCAGAATTTCAGAATGTCTTTTATTTTTCCAGAGCTTTGTTGTTGCTTGCTTTTAGTAGGGAAATGTGGGAATGACCGTTTAGCATTAACTATTGGACTTAGAATGGTTGGAAGCATCATTCCAACACAAGTTGTTCTCCATGCTTGGGGATACTCATGTTTGTTGGATCCCATTGGGTCACCCAATATTCCTGCACTTGGCAGTGTTCAGCAGCAAGAAAGTGCAAGTCAGCGGCAAACCGGTGATTTGATGCAGATTAGCGAGCGACTTGTTTGCCTTTCATTTACGGACGGAGTTTCACCGCCCTTTGGCACTCCTGACGAAATGCAGATCATGCGCCACTAAAATGGTTGGTCTGATTGAAGCTGTTTTGCATGTTGAGGTTTACTATGGAACATAGAACTTGCAACGGTTCTCATTGTGGTGATGAATTGGTTCAACATGTTTCAATTCGTATTGCTGTTTGAAATTCCTCCGTTTGGTTCATCCAAGGGAGCCCGGATCTTAAAAAAGCCGATGTTGCCCTTTCGGCGAAGGTCGCAGATGGCCCTGGACCTTCTGTCGCAGATGCATCAGGTCGGTCTGATGCGATCCGGAAGCCAAAAAGATGTTCCGTACCATCACTGGTTGCTACCGTGGTTTGGAGCCCTCCTTGATTTTGCGGTTTCTAGAGTGAGCCACAATCAGAAGATTGGGGAAGTGAAAGTTAGGGGACACTACCGGCCAGAAATAAATGTGGATATCCTTCTTGTTTCTTCACAGGTTGGGTAGACCACTTCAGTATGTACCAGTTTTTTTTTGTGACTTCTGTGTGAGGGCCCTTTCTTTCAAGATGGGCAAAGCAAAAGATGGCAAGCGGGCCCTTCAAAGTCGGGGTTAGGGATCGGTCGGATAGGTGCTGTTTGGAAGGGTCCCCAGCGCCCGGCCCACAAAGTGTGGAACCCGCGCGAAACGCGGACGCGAAAAACCACCAAACAGGCCACCACGATTAAAAGGTGAAGTTTCGACGTGTTTTTTTTCCCCCGGCTACAGTCCAGGATCCAGCCCCGAGGTCCCCCTGCGAGGAGCCCAGCAAGTGCCTCCTCCAAAACGATTTGACGAAACATGAGACATAGGGTCTTCCAAAGAAAAGGAAAGAAACAGACAAGCATTTGTGCCAGCTGTACCCGGATGTGTGCCCAAGATGCGGCTTGCGCTGCGCCGGCCGCCGGTTCGCGGCCAGGAAGGTCCAAGCCCCGACAGCTTCTGTTGCAACAGCGCCCTCAAGGCGCGCGCGGAGCGCGTGTTCCTGGCCGAGTCAACTGAGCTGTCCACAAAGCGTTGGGCGACCGAGGTGTGCCCTTGATGATACACCTTCATTTGGGTGCACTCGGGTGTGGTGTCTCCCCGATTATTGGAATGTTCCTTGTTGATTTGTTTGGCTTCACAGACTTCTAAGCTTTAGGTGTTCTTTCTAGCACACAGTGGTAACGTTTTGCAGGGCGTCACTTGGACCGATTTAGGCCCCGTCGAAGATTGGGGGCGCGCAAACAAGCAAGCCAGCAAGCCGGCAAGCCAGGAAGGAAGCAAGGAGGCAAGGAGGCAGGCTGAGGCGGGCCGAGGCAAGCTGAGGCAAGCTGAGGCGAGGAAGCAGAGCGTTTCGAAGCACTGACCAGGCCCGAGCAGTTGGGAACCACCCCAAGTGGTTGAAAGTGCGCACATGACTTCAAAAGTTCATAGGCGACTCCTCACATGTGAAGCCGAAATCCACGGAACCTGAATCAAATGCTCTTACTGCAGTAGGAGACAGCTCCAGTTTCCAAATGCGCGCGCGCGTCGCTGGGTTTGCTGATCGGGCCGACTTCTACCAGGTCTTGGCTACACCTTGGGACGCTGTTGTGCAGTTCCAGCGCGTTGTTTTGATTTGTTTGCTTGCTTTGTTTGCTTGCTTTCTTGTTTGTTTTGTTGGTTGTGTTTTTGTGTGTTTGCAACTGCTTAGTTGCCTGCCTGCCTGCCTGCTTGCTTCCGGACTTTGGCATCCCCCACTGGATTGGCGTTGGCTTGCTCTTTGCCACTCGTTCTGGGGAAATGGCTAGTTCGAACAAACCAAACAATTGTCAATGAGCAGTCAAGCAAAGGAGGTTGGCTCCCAAATGGCGGCACCCATACTATGCGCCCTTCCGTGGTGTTTCCCCTTAGCACTTGAACCAACCCCAACTTCAAATGTGCTCCTAGCTGGTATGCTGACAAAGAAAGCAGCACGAGCAAATGTCCGATTCAAATTCAGACCATGGGTTTGTTTTGTGTGAGGGACCCCAAAGATGGTGGTGTCCTTTGAGAAAAGACGTGCCACCCATTCTGCGGCAGCGCTGCTAGGCGTGCGCCAGCTTGGAGGAAAAGCTCCATATCTTCGCTGGGAGCCAAGCGACCCTGAAAGTGTCCATGTGAGAGGCATCCATTTGGCCCCTTCCAGCTGAACAGACAGAACTTGAGGCAGGGGAGCGACTGCAGGAGGATCACCTTGATGTCGATTGCATTGCATCCATTTTACGGTTGCATATGGGCCCACACACACACACACTACTGCAAGCTGACAGAACTGCCCTGTTCCTCTTATCTCCCCGCTATGTTGCGGTGCAACCAGCAGAGTAGGCGCACCGGACTGGTTTCGACCAACGCGTTGCTCGCATTTAAAACTTGACTTGGGGCAGATTGAAAGGTCCGCCAAAAGATCCACAAGAATTGCAAAGGAGATCTTTCAAGCTGCATGACTTTGGTGCCAGCGCTGTTGGAAACCCAGGGAATGTGGTGGCAATCGCATCATGTTTGAGCGTTTGTCATGTAAAATGCCATGCACAGGTGTAGCTAAGAGAGGAGTTCAGCCTTGCGCTTGGTGCCATGAACCTGTTGAAGGCATGCCAAATCATGATCTTTCAGCCTGCTTCCCGGTCACCAGTCCGACTGGCCACATTGTTTGCCTTAGGAGGGCATGCAGAAGCAGGGAACGGCCCCAGACGTCGCCACGTGCGCGGGTTGGGAAGACAGTACCAGCAGCGGGGATGCATTTGTTTGTGCCATTTGGGTGTGTCGTAAAATAGGCAGCAGTAGTGCACACTGCACACTTGCTATCCTTGTCGTCTTTTATCATGAGAATATGTAATTGTTTGCAAATCAGTTGGAGCCCTTACTCAAGCGCTTGGCCCTGGAACTTCCGGGTATCCGATACCCCCGAGTTCCTGCCTGCTTGGACTTGTTCAGTTTCGGGCATCCGTCCAAGCTCAAACTGTTTGTTTATTCGAAGGGCCGTTGGGATTGCTTATAGCAACAAGCTTGCCTCAAGCCCAAAAAGGACAAGCAGTTGTTCGTGCCAAACCAGCGGAGGCAAAGCCTAACGTGAAAGTTTCCCTACAGAACTCCCCAAGCGAAGCTGCAAATGTGGACGCCCGCTTTGGCTGTCAAAACCCAGGGCCCTGATACAATTTGGTTGACCTGACGAGGGCATGTTCAGGGTTGTTTGGAGGTGCAAATTCGACTTTAAACCTCGGATATGCACAAGTTCCGTTGCTTTCTCTTCTCCAAACAACATCACTTGGCGATTCTGGGAAAGCATGGGCGGGTCTCCTGATTTCCCTTTTTGCCAGTCAACTAGCCCATGATCTCCGCCTCCGCACTTTGCCTGATTGGAAATCTGTGTTTTTTTGGATCTGGTTTTTTTGGGGGTTGGTTGATGCGATCCCCGCGGGGAAACTGGGTGACCTTATTCCCGCGGTGGTTTGGATCTGGTTGGTTCACTTTTACCCAGAGGTACGGCGCCCTGATGTCGGCCTTGGGCCGGGAAAGCCGCTGGGCAGGGGGCCCAAAGGGCTTTGGCAGGCCCCCAAATTGTGGAGCACTGGGAACCGGTTCTTCTTTGCGTGTCCGTGTTGTTGTTCGTTGGTTTTTGTCGTTTGTTTGGTTGTGTTGTGTTGTTTGCTTGTTTGTGTTGTTTGGTTATGTTGTCTTGTTTGTTTGTGTTGTTTGTGTTGTTGTTTGCGCGTGCACGGTGTGTACACGTTTGCCTATTCACTCAAAGATTGGGGCAGCCAATCTGAGACAGCCAGTGCAAAACCACACAGTGGTTGACAAAAACGCTAAACCGCGATAGACTCATGTTTAGCGGCAAACAAGGCCCAAAACAAAGTTGTTGGATAGTTTGCTCTATCAAGAAGAATGAGAAACACACAGGAACAGAGATTTGCCTTTGCAAAACAGCACCGCATGCTTTCATTGCGCACGACATAAGTTGCTACCTGTTTGCTTACATGACAGCCACGCTTTCCTTAATGCATACAGGCTATTCGCTACTGGTTTGCCTTGTCTTTCCCCGGGAGGTAGATTTGGGCTGGGTGCTCGGCCGTGCCCGACAGAAGGGTGGGATTAAGTCAGGATCATGAGGAGGTGTGTTTGACGGTGCGTGCCTTCCCGAAAGCCAAGTGTTGAATCCGCTCAGGAAGACTGCCTGGACATGATGCAACACATGGCCTCCCAAAGTGTGGAGTCCAACGTCATCGTGTGACCCTGGGCGTGGCTGCAAGCGCTCCACACGCTGACCAAAGGGGGCGCCTTCCAGAATGTGTGTTCTTGTGTATGTTAACTTTGGTCCCGCCCCCCCAACCCCCGCAAAGAAAAGGACCCACAAAGGGTACCAACTCAAAGCAAGAGAGACCCAAGCTGGCACATGAATTACTGAGGGAAGTGTGCATGCCAAGTTGGAGGTGATGGAGTCTGAGGGTCCCCCCAGGGACTATTTTACGTTTGTGTGCGGTTTCCATGTTTTTCTCTACGTAGTAATTGCACCAGTTCATCCTGTTGGGTTCAACAGACCGTGACGCAAAATGTTTTGCTGGCATCCGGATCACTTTTAGACTCTTCCGCCAGGTTGGTTTCATGTCAGTTCCCTTACCGATAGGGTTGCGAATCTCAACACAACGACCAAGGTGACCACACCACTTCCTTTTTGGATCAACTTTCTACCCTTGCGTCGATCGAATCTTTGGAACAACTCGAGCGGCATAATATCATCGTGTTGGTTTCATGGTCCAACTGGCCAGGTATGGCGCCGGCATCTCGGCGTGCGATAAGGCGGGATTGGGCGCAAAGCTTGTAACCAAGTTTGAACTTCCATTGCTGAAATGAATATGTGTTACTTTTCCTTCTTGGTTTTAAAAGGAAGCTATCACTGCTGGTAATATTGTCAGTTTTTTCAGGGGGCGTAAGCAAATGCAAGTGGAGGCGTGCTTGAGCCGCCTGACTTGTTTGCATTGAAGGTATGTATGATTTCACATGTTTCGCTGGGCTCAATTTCTTCACATCAAAATACTCGAGGCAGGGGGCAAGTGAATCGTCGGCTGGCTTTTTCGCCCGTGGCTCGTGAGAGAACCCAAAGCACGCGGGTTCCTTTGAAACATTCAAAGGGCGCCCTTGGTGTCGGGAAAAACTCTGAAAAGCCTGAAACACCTGGTGCTATTCAGGATTTATAAGGGTCAGTTTGAAGGAAGCGGCGTGGTTTTGGGGGGTTATTTGCAAATCCTTCTGACGGGTCAACCATGAGGCTTGTCAGCTCTCGGGCCCGTTCTGCAGGGCAAGCAGTGGCAGACAGCGCTGCTGCTGTTGGAGAGAATGTCCTTGGCTAAGTGGAGCCGCGTGGTAATCGTCGTAAAGGCTTGTGGGAGTCAGGAGATGGGCTCTCGGAATTTGTTTAGTCAAGACACCTTGTGTTGTCAGAGCCTTTTGGGCAAGTGAGCTTTGTGGTACGCGTGACAACGCAGAGGCTGGAGGAATAAGAGTGTACTTCTGTGATACCTTGCTTGCAAAGAATAAGTTGTTTGGCAAGGCTACAACCGAAGTGGTTGCATTTCCAACTGCTCTAAAAAAAAACGGACACCTCCAGATGTTGCTTGGTGGCTTCTTTGGTGCATCTGCCCCAAAATGGTACCATTGGTTTTGTCCCACAGCCATTTAGTGTAGCCAAGGGAATGACATTGGATACGCGCACCAAATTGCCACAAGGGAACGGAGGTCATGGCCGCAACTCTGTTGAAACTGGGAGCGGGCCTTTCAGCATGGCAAACGCCATGGACAAATGTCCCGCCACGCACGCAAGGCCTTAGAAAGCGCCAAGGCTTGTGTGCCTTAAACCGACGAGCCTAGCTGTTTGGGGGCAGGGTTGGGCATTGGGCATCATGTGGTGGAAGAACCCGCTCCTCTTCAAAGCCAAAATGAGGTTGTCTTAAGAAACAGGCACTTATCTTGCCAGTGCTCAGTCGGGAATGTGGCAATGAACCCAGGGATCCCCTTAAATTCCTTAAAGGACACCACCAGTTGCGCGGATTCTCTTGGGGGCGTTCCATCATTTTTCGCCGCCCATCGCACCAACAAACCCTAAACCCTAAACCCTATGTAAAAAACGGGGCTGGCCAAAAGTTCGGCGGGGTTTGGCGCTGGGTTTTGGTCTGTCAGGTCCGCGGGGCGGGTGGCCTCGCTGGTGTGCAGCAGCGCCGCGGGGGCCCCCGGGCCTGGAGGGTGGGGGATGGGGTGTGAGGGGGGGAGTGCGAGGGGGAGGGTGGGGGTTGGGGCGGGGATGGGGTGGGGGTGACTTGGGGTGACTTGGGGTGACTTGGCTTGGGGGACATTGAGTGAGATTCGGAATTGAATGTCAATTACCGCACAGGGTCACATGGAGCCTGGTTCCCAACAGGAAACCGAGTTTGTTGTGAACTGCATTGCAAAGTTCACCACACATGGAGAATTTGAGAATCAACTAATTGTTTCGGGTTGTGCGTTTGAAGGTGTTTACAGGGCCGAAAGAACCAAGCCTCGTCTCAGATCCATGCAAAAATCCTCTAATTAGCTGGGTGAATGATCCCAGCCGGAACCTGATTCATTCTCAGCCTTTACCATCCAAAGCTGGCTTCTTGGGTGCGAGACCCAAGGTCCGAGCCCCACAAAATGTTGGTTGTTCTAGGGGTAGCTTCCCCGTTCTTTCCGGGAACCTTCTTTCTAGAAAATCACCAAAAAACCCTGCAAAAGCAGCTGGTTTTTGAAAAGAACGATGGCTGAAAAACCATAAGAGCAACGCGGGCTTGAGCAAATGCAACGCAACGAGGTGGGTGGAATCTAAAAGCCGGATGCTGGAATTCTAGAGCAAGCACCACTAAATCGGTACTTCCGAAATGGTGCCTGGTCGTCAGGGGCCCATACAAATTTCAAGTCTCTTGACCAAAAGCTGAACGGCGCCGAGAGCCCCCGTTGGCCACTTAAGGAAGCTGTCCCTTATATAGGTTGCCCAGTAAAGCAACCTCCACTAGGGACCTCTCCAGGTGACGTGCTTGGCTTCCTTCATATCCTGCAAATCAGGGTGTCCCAATTTGGAGACCCTTCTAGCTCGGTTTCTTACCCAACGCAAGCTGTTCCCAATCCCAAAGCCATCAAAACACGATCAATCCTGGCAGAACCCTACCAGGGTTGTAGGATGTTGTAGGATCAAGGGGGGTATCCCCACTTCTTTGATGCAAGGCAATCTCCCCCTTTACGTGGGCGATAGTCTTTGGGAAGCCTTTTTTTTTGGTATCACGGAGGTGGTCATTTCCCACAGCCCCGACCCTACCAGCTAGCGCAGGTTCCAGTCCACAGTATGAGCCAGAGTCCAACCTATGTTTGCCGGGCAAAAGCTGTAGACAGGGCTCTGTCGCTCGCAGGCCATGAGCGCTTGTGCCGGCGGGCAGCAGTGGGCCGGGGCCCCGTTTATGCGCGCTTGGGCGAATGAGTGCGCAAAACCCGGGTGGTTCTAAGTGGTTTGATTGAAGTACTAAGGACCATAAAAAGGCTCTACCCAAATTGGTAAAACCAAAAGTCAATGGGTTTTGGGCGCTGCTCAAACGACAGCGCTCCTTGCTCAGATTGGACATGATTTCGCAGCTTAAGGCTCACCAATGGACAGGGAAATCCAAGCATATGTTTCAGTCGGGCACGAGCTGAGGTAGCTTGTGTAGTATCCTTCTCTCAGATCAAAACATTCCATTTGTTTTAGCTGCTGGCGCAAAAGAAGAACCAGACTCGCGAGCCTGGAGCTGGTCGGTCAGCCGTGGCCATGGCCCATAAGACCTTACCATGGGAAGTTTGTGCCAAAGCGGTCAGGGTCAACAGGCTACCAAACATCATCTTTTGGCCATGAAGCGTGATGTATTTGATTGCGGGCATAGAACCAAGTTCGCGCCTTCAAGCACCTGTACCAGTATTGGTCGTCTCCCTAGGATCAACCAACCAAACTGAGTGCCCTAATTTTTGGGCACCCAGCTGGCTTTTGTGTGTTCGAGTGTGTTTTTGCCCGCGGGGAGAAGTTACCGCCTTCTCCTAACGAAACTGACCTAAAGGAGGCGAAATGAGTTTTGCGCAATTGTCTAGGACCTTTTCGATCAGTCTGGTTTAAGCGACTTTCATCCACTCGTTAGAGATTACAGGAGGCCGCCCTGAATCTGCTGGACGAGACGCGAAAGCAAGGCTGGGATGGTTCGAGCTGGGATTTGAGAACTGGAGGACTCAGGGCCCTACACTCCCCGACCAACTGGCAGTGACGATCATGAACTGTGATCTACTGTAGCAGATGGGCGGACATGAGTTTGGCTCACACGGGCACTTTCTGCCCTTCAGATTGGGGCAGAGGGATTTCGGAGAACACTTGTTGGGTGCCAAGCAGTGTCCTTCTGGTCGGCTGAGTTGAGAGGTTGAGTGGCGCGTTTGTTTTTGAGGATAGTGGCACTCCTAATTGGCTTGCATTACAGGAACCCGAGTGTTGAGGGCTTGGCAGAGGCGATATGAGGGTTTTTTAGTGCCAAGGATTCCCTCCCATCATGGCTCCCAAGTTACAGATTTGCAGGACTTTGGTCCATTCATGAGAGAATATGCCTCTCCTGTTAGATTCTCCCTTGACCGGTTTCTCGGCTCCAGTTGAAGGTTCCTGCGAATCTGACAAAGCTCCCGAGCTTGTGTTCCAGGCGTCAAGAATTTGGTGTCGCCGAAAAAGCGGGTTTGGCCTATTTGCGGCCTCCTAAGGAATCAAACAGCACCTTCTACAAGTGCCTAAAAGGGAAAGTGAACTTTGATTAGTTGGGATATCACTCTTTTTTCCAGGCGAGAAGAAGGTATACACTCTGCCGGAAAAATGCCTGTCCCACAAAGCCGAGGGGAGGGTAGCCCAACTGAAGCGCTCAAGCCGTTTCCTTGACTCGTTGTGGGGGATCAACAAAGTCGCCTGGTTTGCGGGCTGGGCCCTTTTGAGCCCAAAGAGGGATAATTGTTCTTTAGCACATTTGGGTCTGGAGCCAAAGCTGCATGTTGAAAGCGCCTGGAACCATGCGGTGGGTTCACCCAAAAAGCCAGTCACCCAGCTACCTTTAACAGCCAAACGCCGGCGGTCTGCGGGGAACAAGTTGTGATTTGCACACACACACACACCAAAAAAAAAGCAGCACTCGGGCACCAGGCAAGCTCATGAGTTTCCCTGCTGTCATGTTCCTGCAAAAATAGACAGTAAAGGAAGCACCCTAACAAAAGGGGCACAGTCATAGGGATGGCAATCAAGGAGCGATATCACGCAAAGGGCCTTTTCCGGAGTTGTTGAGAGAACTAATACGTGCACCCATCCTCCAAGGGGAGGTTGCCAATTCGAGGAACCATCCATGAGAACAAATCGAACAATAATAATAACAATAACAATAGTAATAATAATGGTAAAGACAAGACCTCCAATATTTGAGTGGTTTGTGTGTGTGTGTAGGTTTAAAAGTAGGGCCCACACGTTGCTGGGAAGGCAGGGTCTTTGGAACGCACAGCGTCGGGAATTACGAGCTGGGTTGGGCCAAGCCCTTGTTGAATCTAGCCCTCACCACCCATTGTGGAAACAAGCTCAGGGCTCACGTCAGCTGATGCGCTTAAAATTGGTTGGGAAGTTCAAATTTGAGTGGTCAACAACAAGTCTGACACACATATATATATATATACACATATCGATACATGTACGTATACGTATATACACATATATGTGACCAATCCACTCAAGTGAGGGTTGCTGAAGGGCGGTCAAAAGGAGGGATGGATTCCGCCGGAATCTGCAGGGCTGGAAGCAGACCTCATCATGTTCAACGCCGGCATCCGCGCCTGTGCCACCCTTGGCACGGTTTCTGCACGGGATGAACCGCGCGTGTCTGCTTTTGAGGCTACCCATTTCCGGGATATTTTTTAGCAAGCCTATGATTCCCTTTATCGGGTCCTCTATTTCAAGTCACCCCCCCAAGAAATAGAATCATAGCCACATAAAGGTTACCTACTCAGTGATGCCAGGGGGGGGAGTGGCTTGGGGATATGAAGAACCATCTTGGATTATTGCCAGACAATTAGTTTGCCCGAAACCATTTTCTTGAGATTCATACCCCCCCCCCCCCCCGCCGCCCCGCTGTTTTCCAAAAAAGACCATGGCAAAGAATTGAATGCCTTGTTTGTAAGGAGCCGGGGGAAGGGAGGGTGGTTAGGGGGTGTTTTGTTTGCCCTTTGTTTTTCAACTTTTGCCCTGTTAGGTTCCCGTCATCTTTTCTTACCGGCAAAAAGTTGTCACTTCTTGCGGGCTTCTAGCAAAAAACGGGCAACCAGTTTGGCTCATTCGGTCAAAATTTCCTCTGATGCTGCATTGAAGAATTTCCCCATAGGATGCTCGCGCCGGGGCCTGACAGCATCTTCACCCTTGGGAGATCTCAACCCCATTTTGTTTCTTTTTTGGCAAGGCATGGTCCCTCGTTTGCGGGGAATCTTGCTTCGTTGGAAGAAGGGCCCCAGTTCGGCAGCGCCCTCCGAACATCCCCTTTTGTTTTTTGGGCGGAGAAAGAAAATGGGTCCCAGGCAACCCCCAAGAATTGGGCCCCAGGCTTTCCACCAGCGTCACTGGTTGCACCTGTTGCGGATTTCTCAGCCGTGAGGTGGTCAGGGCGGGCAGTGGCAGCGCTCGCTGCAGCTGCTGCACAGCTTGCCTGGACCTCATGCCGCCCAGGCGTTTTCAGGGTCCCCGTGCACAAAACACCCATTTATTTGGATGTGGGTCAAGACCAATGGTACCATTTTGGGGTAGGTGCACCACCCATGCTAGTCTATTTCAGTGGGGATTGGGATGTTCACTGGGGGTACGGGCTTTTGACCCATGGCCATTTGGGTTTGTGTAGGGTTGGTCATGAACTCTCACCAGACTCCTAGACAACAATTCTTTTGGTTTTTACCTTTGATTGTTTTCAGGAAATCGCCAAGGGTTTGAATGGACGGACAAGACTTGGACAACCACACAGCGATATACTAAAAGTGGTGATCTCTCTCGGCAAGGAATTGTGTTTGAGGTAAGTTTTGCTAACCTGTTTGTTTGTGCCTCTGCCATGCTGACATTGCTGGTGCAACAGTGTGACGTGCAACCCTGGACTGGAGCATCAAGCTAGTCGCCGATCACCAGCGCTTTCACGGGAGACATTCCAAGCTGAGGCTTAGCTTGTGATTCTACACTCAGTGTCGTCTAATCGTACGCTCAGCCTTTTTTCATTGTACCCTCGGCCTTGGCGGCCTTGACCCTTTCTCGCATGCGCAGCCCAATTTTCAGACGCGCTCAGTTGGGTTCATTCCCGAAAGTTCCCTGGGAACCAGCAAGGCGATCTGCACTGATTACAACCGTTTCAGGTGGCAGAACGAGCCCGGGCCCCATGAAGGTTCTTTCCTTGGCGGTCCAATTACTGTGTCCAGTGAATACACCGTACTCCCTGTTGTTTCTGGACTTTGATGTTTTTTTTTTTTTTGCCACGCATCTAAACAAAAGTTTAGACTTGTTCTGGCCAATCTACTCATTGAGTGAGCCACAGCTGTGTTTCAAAATGAGGGGACCAACAAATCGTAGCTTTCCTTTAAGTTTCCCGTAGGTTCTCATTAAGAGTCGTTTGCCAAATATGCTTGTTCCAATATGAATGTTTGTCTCAAGGGAGCACTCATGAATCGGTTTCTGTGTCCTTTTGTTTTCACTACAACAATCCGAACAAGCTGGATGTTTTTCATTTTAGAGATGGAAGAGTCCCAAAGTCAAGGTGTGTGGTTTTTGAGGGCGCTTTTTTTTGGGTCGGTGTAATGGAAAGCCAAAAGAGAGCCATCATGTTGCGGGTCCCCCTATTTCATGTGGTTTACTGGACTTCTGCTGGCCGAGGCTCCCCAAAACAGGAGCGCCAGAAAACCATCCCAAAGCCAACATCCCAATCCCCACTAAAATCCCGACTAAAATGGGTGGTGCACCTACCCCAAAATGGTACCATTGGTTTTGACCGGCAAGCCTTTGAAGCTGAGGCAGGCCGACAGGATGAGCCCAAACCTGATCATCTACAACGCCGTGGCCGATGCCTTGAGCCGCTTGCCCTCAAAAAACACACCTCGGGTACAAACAGCTAAGCAAGGCATTCGCAGATGCGCCCAAAAAAGGCAAGTCCAAAGCAATGCTGGACGAATCCCTGCAGTCCCCGTCACACTAGGCGCGGAGCAAAGAGTTTTTTTCTTTGTGTGCCTTGAATGATTCCATTTACCGTAAATTCCTTGTGTGGCCAGTGTTGATGGCCTGGCACAGGGGCAGCCCACTCGGACAGGGACCGAAGTGGAGGAGAACCTTTATGGGAAAGTGATTGAATCACATATTCGAATTCCCACGGGGACTAGTCAGAACAGAAGGGTCCAAAGGCCCTGTATGTGCGTGTCTACTCAGGCGAAGTCCAAGTGAACCTTTGGATTGGACTTTTTGGGGGGCCAAGTTGAGCCATGTTTCTCTAGATTTGTTTGAGTTTTTTGTTGCTCTGCCCTGGTCTTTAGTGTTTGCACACACCAATGTTTTCAAGAAGGCTGGGCCTGTTCCACTAGCGTTGCTCTAATTAAATTTAAATTGTTTTGTCCTTCTTGAAACCTTGCTGTGTACAGGAAGGCTGGGCTTGTTCCAAATTTTGCCCTTATGAATTGGTTTGTCCTTGCAAGGGCTGCCCTGAATATCTTGAAACCTCGGTGTCCACAGGAAGGCTGGGCTTGCTCCTAATTTTGCCCTAATAAATTGTTTTGTCCTTGGAAGGACTGCCCTGAATATCTTGAAACCTGGGTGTCCAGCCCTGACCCAAAATCGTTTGTCCTGAAGCCTGTTTTCTTTCGTGACTTGAGTCACTTCTCCAGTGGCTCACTGAGGCAGAATCAGAGACTAGACCAAAAAAAGCAGACTCCCCCATGAGGTTCAAAAAAGTGATGATTCAATCAGGGGCGCAAATTCGCAGCGGGGGGTTTGGGTGGGTGGGTTGGCTTCCATTATGATGTTCAAAGAAGGTCATACACACAGACATACATCTACATAGGTTACATAGAATACATACATGCATGCAGACATACATATGTTTGCAGAGACTAAGGCACTCTTTGTTCAAGCATCACTTCATCGAACAATGGGGGGGGGCTGCTCGCCAGCAAAATCTTCGCTTCCTCGACTCTGGCAGCAGCTGCCACGCGCACATCCACTTAGAGCCCCGCTGCTACTACCAGTGTTCTCGGGCTGCAAAGCTCTCTGCAATAATTATGTTCCTTCCACCCGCACCTCCGTATTATTTCCCCACCCCCCCCCCCCCGCCCCCGCCCCACCCACCACTATTACCGAGCCATTTTCTTTTGAAGGCGGCGGCCCCCCCCCCCCCCCCCCCACCCCTCCCCGCTTCTTTTTGTCTTTCTATTTACACCATGAGGGCTGCCAAATCATCTTCTTTGAACATCATGGGGGTTGGCCCAAAACCCCCCCCCCCCCCCAGTAAGGACTTGTTATCCGTTTTTTTCGGGGTGTTTCTTTTCGCTTTTGGCTTCTTGGCGTTTTGGCCTCTTGGCTTCTTAGCTTTTTGGCTTCTTGGCTTGTTGCCTTATGGTTTTTGGCTTTGGCTTTTCGCAACCTCTGCAGTCCCAGTCTCTCTAGGTGGCGTTTTGGCTTTTGCGGCTCTTCGCTGCGGCTGTTTTTCGCGTCCGACGCTTGCTTGGCTTTTGCACCCTTCCATTGGTTGTTGGCTTTGGCTTCCCGCATCCTCAGCATCACCAGTTCCTCTCCAGCAAGTGTTCTTTACATTCATGCTCATGATTCAGCAACGGGGTGCCTTGCACTCTCCATGATGCAATGCTGTGTCGTGAGTCACAGCTGCGCCGGGGTAAAGTCGCGCGCCAGCGCAGGGACCGGGCGCAGTCCTCTCCAGAAATGTGGGCATGGCCTGCCTTTGGGACAAACTTGGCTTGTTTCGTTTCGTTCTTGTGACCCGTCTTGAGAAACCTTGTATGTCTACCTGTGACCCGTTTAACCATGGCCTGCTTTTGGGTCCAAACTTGGCTTGTTTTGAGCTTACCTACCTGTGACCCATGTTATTAGAAACCTTGTATGTCCACTTGCCGCCCGTTTGAGAAATGTGGCCACGGCCTGGTTTTGGGGCTGAACTTCGCTTCATTTGGCTTGACCTCCCTTGTGGCCTGCTTGAGAAATGTGGCCACGGCATTTTTGGGGGCTTAACCTCCCCCGTGACCCATTTTAGAAACCTTGTACGTCTATTTGCGGCCCGTTTGAGAAGTGTGGTCACGGTATGCTTTCGGGGCCAAACTTGGCTTCGTTTGGCCTGACCTCCCCTGTGACTCGTTTGAGAAACCTTGTATGTCTCACCTGTGGCCCAAGCAAAGCTAAATAAAGTTTGCGCCATCTCGGGCAATTTTGGAAGCCAGTAAATATCATTAAATTCTGGCCAAATTATAGTGAGCCCAGACGAAGTAACTAGGTAAACATCCCGAAATAACGAGGCAAATCGAGGTACCTTTGTCTGGATGCAGGCAAACTTTCGAGGCCCAACAGATTCAAATTGAGGTACCTTTGTCTGGATGCAGCAAAGGTGTTTGAAAGCAAGGCCTTCCATTGAAACTTGCTCATTTGGGGCACAGTGGTCAAATAAATTGAATTCCGGCCGTGCTTGCAGTGAAAGAGTTCGCAGTGGTCAACGCGGTGTCGTTGGAGGCTCAGCAGGGGCTTCCTGCTTTTGTGCAAGCTGCTTCTCATGTTTGTTCTATATCAAACTGATTTTGGTTGGATTGCATGTTGGTGTTTGCTCTGTTGGACTTGGCTGGATTTGGTTGGATTTGGGTTGGTTGGTTCATTGAAATTGCGCCCATGGCTGACACGGGCACGTTTTTGAGATGCGCAGCCGAAAGTGAGGCGGAGGTCAAGATCCTGGGCGCCAGCCGTTGCAGGTCAATCTCTGCCACGAAGAGTTGACCTGCAGCGGCTGGAGCAGGCGGCTCCGGCCGCGTGTCCTTAGACCCAAGCTGGGTGGGGATTCCATGCGTTCAGGGCCCTAAGTTTGCATATGCCCAGCAAGTCCAAAGACCATAAAAGAATGGTCGTTCCGTGGGAGACTATTCTTTGCCGCCGTCACGCAAATCACGCAAATCACGCTTTCTGAAGGGCCAAGCCACATATTCAAGCAGGCTGGCACGTGCGCAGTTTCCTATCATGGCCACCTCCATGCTGCAGTCATTCAATGGCTCCACTGCCTCCGTTTGGCGGAATTGTTTAGCCCCAAGCCATCCAGAAACTCCAAACTGGGACGCGCGGACCGCGCCGACCCGGACGCGTCCGTCTTGTATCTCGGGGTTTGCCCGGGCAACCAGGGGAAGGGGTTGGGGCAACTCCTTGCCACGAAGGGCGAGGGTTTGCTGACTGCCCCTTGGACGCACAAGTGTCCGCATTGCGCCTGGGCTGCGTTGTGATTGAAGTTGCAAATGATAATATATGATTTTGTTTTTTCGTTCTGGTTTTATGATAGTAAATAATACTTTTGAAAAAGATGAGAAATGGTCATCGAGCAAAATATTATATATAAGTTAAAGAAGAAAAGTAGAAATGTATATGAAACATATGATTGGATGATATGTGTTGTAATATTGTATGTGGTAATAGTGAATAATTTAGTAGAGTAGAATGCGGTTTAAGACGAATTTAAATAGCTTGAGCTGATTTATAGAGTTTAACTATAGAAGAATCAAAAATTGGATGGGTGTGTTTTTTGAGGATGGGGAACGGGAGGTTCAAGGTGAGTTTTGATGATTGTTACTTTTATAATAATATGATTTACTCAAGATGGATCTATACATCTATATAAACTAGATATGATTTTTATTGTGGTTTTTATTTGGAACATAGTGTGGTTTAAATAGGTTAATACATTTTTAAATCATTATAACTATTTGTCTAGAATAGATTTGTACTTGAATGTGGTATTGAAGAATGAGGTTTGGTGGTTTAATATAATTGATGGAAGCTTGTCAATTCTGGGATGGGACGTTCGGTCCATATCTGTGGCTGGCATTATGGTCCCAAATGGTCGTCAGGAGCTTCTGAGAAAGCCAAACCTCTAGGTCATGTAGGCACCATCAACCCCCATCGTTGTGTCTCTCTCCCTCTCGGAAGCCAAAGACTGAAAGGAATGGCATCTGTTTCTAGATGTAACAGGCATGGGTTGCCCATGTGCTTCTGCCTCACAGGCTGCTCTGCTGGTTCACCTTAGTCTTAGTCAGTGCGCTGGCGCTCCACGGCACATGGAAACAACAACAGTAATTGGATTGGATGCTGGCCAGGTTGCAATCAGCTTTCAAGCTGACATACCCATGCCTGCTCAAAGAACACTGACACAACCACACTTGCTGATGTTGCCCAAGTCAAAGGACATGTCTGTAGCGCTGTGCCAAGGCAGTGTTACTCCACTGTTTACAGTGCACTAGTTTGAGCTTTCGTAAAACTAAATCAGGGCGTGCATGATTGGCAGCGGGGGAAGGTGGTAATGAGCCCAACTCGCAGTGGCAACTGAAGCCCAGTGGTTCCTTGCCTGCCTTGCCCTGCCTGCCTTGCCCGTGCCTGCCTTGCCCCATCTGTCTGTGTCTGCTTACGCCTGCTTCACTCCCACCTCCACTTTCTGATTTGTTTCTGTACATCTCCAGTCTGTAGCTAATACTGTGGTTTGTCTTCTGTTTGCTGTCATTTGTTGGTCTAGACTTTGTCTCTGCCTCAGCCACTCACTCGGGGATGTGACTCAAATGATAACAGGTGAGCCCCTCCAAGGACAAAAGCAAACATTAGGGCAAAATAGTTGAAGAGGCCCAGCCTTTTTGGTTAAGACCAAGGTTGCAAGATACTGAGACCAGCCACAAAACAATTTATACGGGGCAAATTAGTTGAACAGGCCTGGCCTTCTCGAACACATTTGTTTGCGCTAAGGGAACCTTCAGGGCATTCCCTGGCAAAGGCCTTCGGCTCTCTGCAGGAGGGTTCCTCCATCACACAAGTAAACAATTTTCACTTATTATTCATTTTTGTTAGTGGTTTTCTTTCTTCATGTATGTGATGTGATTTAAGTTTTCTGTATTTATTTTGAGAAAAAACGCTGCAGAAAAACAATTCCAGAAAAACATGGTTCAACCTGGCCCCATAAGTACAGTCCAAAGGTACGCTTGGAGTGAGAGTTCCAAAAAGCACACGCCCCATATGAAACCATTGATAAAGTTGGCGGACCCAGCCTTGAACCCTTGCGTGGTCAGTGTCGAGCTGCATGTGGGCTCATCCTCTTTCATTTTGGGAAGCACGGGTTTCCTGGCGAGACAAAAAGTGATTGCATTTGGTAACCACAGAAAACACCCGCTAAAACTCAAAGGAGAATGGTTGCACACGCGGCGGCTTCTTTGGGATTTCCATCTGAGGTCAGTGTACAAACTGGGAGCTGGTGTGCCTTGGCCAAAAGAGTGTCTTGACGCTACCAGGGGTAACAAACATTGTTTGACAGAATCTAGCGGACTCGCAAATTGTCCCGCGTCCTCTACTGGGCCTCTACTGTAGCCAGTTCCTTCTTGTGTTTTTAGTTCCATGCAAAATTGTGCGAAATGTTGCATGTTGAGCACGAACAAACGCAACAGTACCATGGTTTGTGGTTGGTTTACTTGCGTTTACTTGCAATACTTGGAGAATCGACCATATGAAACACATGAGGATTGCTTGTTGGGACACCCTCTTAATCATGGGTGAAGGCACGGGAAGCTTAGTGTCATCAAGGCAGCAAACCAATCCCAATTTAAGTTCAAACCGGAGCTGGGAATTGTTTGGCTCGATCTTTTTTTTGGGGAACAGGGTTGGGCCAATCCCTTGTTCAAGCGTGTCTGACCCACTTTTGTGCAAACACCGTCCTTTCGGCTTTCCGTTCAAGAAGGCCAGTGCCTGTTTGTTTAAACACAACTTGCCCAAACTCTGAAGAGGGTTTTTCGTGTCGTCGGGTCCGTTGCTTAAGCCACTTACACGTGTGGTTCATAAATCACAACCCCGATCACGAGGGCTACCTCAAGGGTTGTTTGACTAAATGAGCAACCCTTGAAGACTCCCATCTCCATAGGTCCGCACAAGCCAAACATGAGCATCCGAGACAAGTGTGCAGTTACTGATTGCATGGATCCATGCAATATCATGTTGTTTCTCTCATTTTGAACCCATTAAGGCGTTGGCGGTTGGTTTCCAATGGTTTCCCCCCCCCCCGAAACAGAATTCAAGTGATTAATGCGCAAAGTACTTTGGGGTTCATGTCAGGGATTTAGTTCATGTAATGGGTCCATGAAGGCATTCACACCAGGGGTTCATGTCATTGCTCATGATTCAACTATGAGTTCAGCCTTTGCTAAGGACGAGAAAGGGGTTTGGTCCACGCCACAAAAGAAAGAAAGATACCCAGAGGTGTCATGTTCAAAGTCGCGAAGGAAAAGCAAGTCGCACTCTCTCCCCTCTGATGGCAATGTCCAACTTCGCACCGAGGCTTGAGTTCCTGCAGGAGATGAGGCTGGGAAAGAGCCGCCCAAAAAAGGGTGTCGAATTGGCACTTGCGCACAACAACCCATGGACGTTTGGTTCTATTTGGGTACAGCATGATAAAAAGGCCTTGAGTTAGAACCACCTACTAAAATGGCCGCTGGCGGGCTCACATGATTGCGGGTCAAAACCAATGGTACCATTTTGGGGTAGGCGCACCACCCATTTTAGTCTATTTTGGAGGATTGGGATGTTCACTGGGGGTACGAGATTTTGACCCATGGCCACATCTTTTTTGTCACCCCCTCTGCGCAGTGCTCGCACCTGCGCAGGCGAGGCGGCTTGGTGCCCGACGCTGTCGCCAGCAGCTGCTGGACTGAGTTGATTCCGCGAGTTGGGCTTGAGAAGTGGGATGGTCGCATGGTACCCTCCCAGCATGGAACTTGACGGGGTTTTGGTTTGGACCACCGTCCTTTTAAAGGGACCCCCGCTCAGGTTCGGTTCCATGTGAAAAAGGGAAGGTATGTTTGTTTCGCGGGTACGCCCCTAGTTTGGGGGTTCCATTTTTTTGGGACACGACCGCGGAGAATTTGGGAGGTCCATGCGAGATTCACTGTATTTCCCAGAACAGCTGGGGCACTCGCCAGTTTTCCCATGTTAATTTGCCCGTGTCCACCCTGGCTGGCTCACAATGAGTCGGACCAGGCAGTTTTCTTGGTTTCCCGCTCGAGCCCTCGTTGAACGATGTACCCCATCAGCGGTCCTCGCCGGTCATATTTCCTGGGGATGGTCTGGAGGGCCGTCACCAGCCTTCTCTGATTGGGCACACTCACCTTGCAGAATACAATTGCATGGGGGCTACCCACCAAAATCCAATGTGGAATTGCAGTCTAAAGGGGAATCATGTTTTTCTCTGCCGTAGGACCCTTAGGAGTCTAGAAAAGAGCCATGTCACGTGCCAAGAAGCAAATTTGAATGTGGGTCACATTAACATCCAAACCTCCAAGCAGAGGCTTTGTTCCTCTAGTGGTCAAAATAAGGTGTAATTGGTCGCCCACCCACCTGGGTGCCAAATAGCCAAAGGGGCTAGGTAGTTTTCTGAGTGTTCCAGAACCCTTAGCCACACACAAGCCAAGTTGGTGCGAGTGGTGTGCGTACAGCCAATTCTCTTGCAGGTATAAGCTTGATAGGAAAGCCCCACCCTTCGCAGAACCCTCCAGGGAGGAATCAGTCCCATCAGTGGGCAGTGGAGGCGCCTGATCTATGGGCCTGACATGCGCAATCATACTAGTGGCCTTGTTTGGGCCCAGTCCAATCAAAAAGTGAGACGAAGGACTTTGCCTACAAATGATCGGTTTTGTTCGGGTCTTCCTTCGCACCATCCAAAAGAGATGTTTGCTTCCTTGTTTCCCCCACCCTCCCGCGTGTTCGCATGGCAAGCAAAACGAAATACATAAAGGGCCAATCGGGTCCGTCAGGGAAGAGGTCAGCAAGCCCGGCGAAAGAACCCACTACACGACTGAAAAAAAAAACATGGCTTCTGTGGGTTGTAACTCACCCGTCTGACGATCAAGTACCCTGGGTCTAGTGGGGAATCCGACCACTTTTGGGGCCAAAACCCACCCCTCCCTATGAATCAACTGGTGTTTGTTCATCTGGGGTCGACATGAAGCCGAGGCAGCGTGATGCAGGCCTGCGGCTTGGCCGCCAGGCAGGGCGCTTGCGGCTTCTTTCTTCCATGCGACTCGAAAAAACTCGGAATTCACAACGTGGCGCCTTATATGGAAAAGACGAAAAGACCTGCGTAGCAGCAAAGCTGTTGAACATTTTGAGACCCACACACCCGGTTGCTGAAAAGAGATTTTGTGTGTGCCTTGTGGGTTCTCAAGTTGGAATCGGGTTCACTATTGGAAATAGTGTTTTTCCAGGGGGCGAAAAAGCAAATGGAGGGTGTGAGTCTGCCCTAATAAAGAATCAGTTCTGATGAGACACAGTTTCAAGGACAAGCCCTGAAGAATCAGCTGGAGCACGTTGAGAGGAACCTGCAAGGGGTGGTGTCCTTGGCTAGTTTTACAACTTAAGGTAAAACCTCAATCAAGAAGCCCCCCCCCGTGTACCCCACTCATTCGCGAAGTCTCACGAACTATGCACCCCGAGAGAGAATAACCCGTATGGCCTCAGTCAGTTTTTTGGGGTGAACAACCCTGGCTATATCCCATGGTGATCGACGCCCTCTGCCAGGCTGAAGAAAAAAATGCGTATTTGAAAGGACAAAGCCGCTGACCCATGCGACCTCAAGGAAAAATCGAGTCGGAAAGTGACCCTTTCCCAGGTGGCAGGACGCGCTGGGGGTCTTTTGGGGCATCCGCCAAGGCAGGGCTTTGCTGAGCTGGCGGTCAGATCGTGACTCTAAGGGTGAGGTGAATCCTCTTTCATTTGCTTAAGAAGCATGTTTAGTTTCTCTTGTACTGGAAATATGTTCAAATTTGTTCCGCGGGCTTAAGCAAATGGAAGTCCTTAGACCGGGATTGAGGCTGTTTTAACGGGTGGGGCATCTCAGCCAAAGGGTGTGGGGCAGGTTCCTGAAGGGTTCCTGGCTAAGAAGTTTCTTAAGCTTGCAGAAAAATGGGGGGCGCTTCATCATGGCTATATCTACCAAGTTGCCAGAGGTTCCGAAAGTCTCGAGATATAGCTAAGACTACATTATACAATCCCCTGGTTGATTGTGCAATCTGAAGTGTCACATTTTTGAGGGGCCTTCGCTCCCGCAACACCCTGAGCGCTGGTTTCCTCGGTGTTGGTCACGCAACAAGCACACGGGCCGGTCCCAAACGAATAGCAAGAGGAGTGCACAGTCAATTTGGGAGCGACTGAAGGGACTTAAAAGTCCAAGCACTCAATGAAACCCTGGACTGGCCTTTGTGGACAACTCATTCCCCTAAGCATTCTTCTGGCAGCATGAAATAGGCAGATTTATTTATGTTCAAGGACACTGCATGATTCAAAATAATTCAACAAAACTGATCCAAAAGAGCCCGTCCGTGTGCAGATTCCACAGTGATCCAAGCTTGGCTCCTGACTCTTTGGCGCTCAGATCGCCTGGATGTCATCGCGCAGTGGCCTCGAGTGGTGTCTTGGGACTGGTGCTTTCAATATATCCTGTTCCGGCAGATGTGCAAAATATTGCCAGGGGCCAACTCAGTTGCCCAGAGCGATTTTCCGATTTCGGTCTACTTTTAGTCATAGGCCCCAGAGGTTAACCCTTTTTTGCAGGTCCTTTGGGCAACTGATGGGGGGCAAGGGAACCCTGTAGTGTGTCGTAATTCAACCAGCTGTGGTGTTAGATGTGCTTGCCTCACTTGAAATATGTAGAGCCTGTTCTCTGGGTGAAAGCAAGATGATGAGATGGCCTTGGGGGTTTGTCAGCAACATGTGTGGCATCTTCGGGTTAGTAGGGATGGTCATTGTCATGGACTTCCGCCTTCGGCATGGCGTTGTCCCAGGTTCCACTCAGCCATCGCTGCGTGTGGGGAGGCGGGGTTCGGCATCCGCTTGGTGCACCAGCGATTGGCTCTGGCAAGAAACGGCCCCTTTTTCCACTGGCAGTGAACACTGATCTCTTGAGGCTGCCCATGTTGATTGAGACGGTTTGCCTCGAATCAAATCCCGGAAACTCCCTTTCTGGTACACTTGAATATATGTCTTGTTCCAGAGCTTCCTGCTTTTGACACATTGCTTCTCTGGCCTCGTGGAAGTGGTGAGGCATGAGAGCCGGTGCCAGGCCAGTGAGTGGGAGCCGGCCGTGGCATTGCTCGACCGCATGAGGCGCCGGAAGCGATGCGAAGCGACCCATGGAACCGTTCTACTGTGGGTGGACAAATCCATTGCGCACCACTTTGCAACAATCGCACCATTGTTTGTTGGTATTTACAGGCGAAGCATCACCCCAGGGTTTTTTTTGGGTGGTGCAGGATTTCGTCCACACTGTGGATGGCTGGTCTTTGGTGCGATAACGCCCTCTAGAGAGCTTTTGGGAAGCGGTTTTTCCGAAGGCTGCTCGAGAATCGGGGTCACCCCCAACCCCAGTTCGTCGCAAAACAACGCCATGCGGCCTTGGTCCTTTCCTTTGAGTCGAACTCAAAGGGCTTTATGTTACTGAAGTTTGGCAGGGAACATATATTTGGGGGGTGACTCCTCTTCCATTGTGTTCAAGTATCGTTCCGTTCATAACAGGTCGTTCCGTTCATAACAGGTCCTTCCCTTGAGAATTTGGTAGTTTTCTGGAAGGCATCCATGCCGACAAAAGAGAAGCTACCCCTGGAATATATTTCTATGTAGGCAACTCATGTGGTTTTCTTTTCTTTTCTTGATTTGGCTACTTACTGGCGCGGCCTTGCTCCATTTCGGAAATGTTAGTGACCTGAAGGCGGGTTGCGATGTTACCCATGAAGGTTCCTTGCATGGGTGGCCCCTCAAGAACCCCGTTTAACGCAATCAAGCAAGTTGTTTTTATGGATCAATCGCAAGCATATGTTTAATTGCAGAGGGTGAAAGTAGATGGCGCAATTCTCCTTGTGTGAGTAAGCAAAGGCAATGGCAATGACTCAACCTGATGCGCGAATACATGGCAAAGTTGTAGTGGAAAGAGCCTGCGCCTGCATGCCATGACGGTTATCCAAATACTGTGCATGTTCCCACCTGAAAAAGAAGTCGTCGAAAACGTCCTTTACGGCAACGAATTGGGGTGATCGCGAGAAATCAAAGGAACACAGAAGCAGCCCAAACAAACACAAACGAATCAAACAAAAACACAACGAACGGAGAATCAAACAAAGTACATCCAAGCGCTCAAACGGACCAAACCAAAACAGAACAAAACAATCAAGAAGCAAAGCAAGCAAGCAAGCAACCAAGCAAGCAAGCAAGCAAGCAAGGGACAATCCCAGCCACAATCAGCTAGGAACAAATAGATGCTTTGCCGGATTATCGATACTCAAGAAAGAAGACAACTGTTGTTTGTTTTGCCCGTAATTAATATCCCCTAAAAGGACATCAGGAAAGTTGGGATGCCTCCCGTCGATGCCCATATGGCAGGACCCTGACAGCCCCAAATCTAGTACCCAGATCCCGCGATTTAGCACCAGCCTTGCATCACCGAGGCGCACAAAGCTGCGCCCAGACGCGCGGCTCCTGTCCGCGGCGCTGAGCGCTTGCGCCAAGCCCGGGCCAAAGGAAGTTGACGTCTGAAAGCTCGTGGCTCCCAGCCATCTTGTTCCTCAGCTTTTTGGGTTTTTAGTTCAACTATTCGGCTTGGTGGGGGTGTCCATTTTTCACCCACCCCTGACTGGTGGAAGACCATATGCTGCATGCGTGCCTGTTGAACGGGATACTCTCAAAACAAACACTCACAACTTGATCAACGTTCAAACCCAAACCTGGGATTTAAGTCTTTACCGTCATTTTGGGAGCGATGTTTTTAGCTTGGCCAAGCGGAAGGGACCCCCCCCCGCCAAAAGATAAAAGGGTTGGTGAAGTGTGGCAATGTACGATTAAACAAATTCCGGGCTGTCCTCAGATCCTTTAACTTTTAGTCCCTTTTACCAGAATTGGCCGTTTAGGACTGCCATTTCAGATAGGATGACCAAAAGTTAGCCAAGCCATGCATGCGATCGCTGGGAATGAGGGATGCAGGGAACGAGAAATGGCGCTCATGACCCCCAGATAAACCATCCAACTGGTGGGTTCCTTTCTTCGGGAATCGTCAAGTTCATTCCTACCTATCGCACCATCAAGCCATCAAGCGCATGTGGGTTTAAAGGCCGGCCAAAGAGAAGCCAAACACTTGAAGGGTCCCCCCCACGTTAAGATACTCCGATACACCCAGTTGGTCGGAGCACGCCCACGGCCAGCTTTCCCGGTTGGCCGCTTCCGGGTGAGACAGCTCCGTACCAGGTTTCTCGTTCTCTTTTGGTGGTTGGTGGCGTTTATAGGTGCGAAATCTGCTCTTCCCGCCCATCTGGGGTTTGGAAATGAGGTTGGTGCTTCCGGGAAGCTTTTGACGCAACATGAAGGTTAGCGAAGCCGTTGGGGAGTTGGGCAGGTCTTCGACTTGTTGGCTGCATTCACGGACCTCTGCCCCCAGAAAAGGCAATACGAGTCCTTCTGCGAGCCCCTAGAAGGTTCCAAGAGCCTTTCCTGGTGGGCCATGGGGGGGAGTTGTTTTTCCCTCTTGCAGTCGATTCTTAGGGACTTAGCCGGTAGATCCCTTATGGTTTTCGAGTCTTCCGTGCAAGAGGGTTTCAAGAGCTCAGGTAGCCCGTAGTTGGTGGTTTGGGTTGGTTTGGGAGTTTGAACCCCAGTCCGTTTTGACGCCAAATGGGGGCACCCCCAAGATCAAAACAACCAAACCACTGATGGGTGTGGTGAATGACAGACCTCACAGGAGAGTTGCCCGAGGTGCGGGCAGTGGCAAGTGGCCTTGGCGCTCTTGAGCGCGGGCCCTTGGATGGGAATGCCTGCAGCGTTTGTTTCGTGAATGTGCTCGTGTTTATCCCTGCGCAGCTATTCGCAGACAATCCCATGTTAGTCGGGACTTTTGGAGGAAGGCCATTTGGTTTGTTGCCGGTGCAATCATTGACCAGCCGACGCGCCCAGAAAGGGACGCAGGTTGTTTGAACACTGGTTGAATTCTGTCTAACGAAGGGCTTGGTCCAAGCCTGATCTGAGCCCGTTTCGTGGCGACCTTGGCCGGGCGGATTCCCAGACTCCCCGGCGGCTCGTTGGACAGCTGCGGTCCAAGGGAAGGGGGATCGGGATCGGGGTCTCTTGGGGGCCGTAGAAACTTTACCCGTGGCGATGGGCATTGCGCAGTGAGTGGCTTAAGCTCCATCACTTTTTGGGGTGTGTTCATTTTTTTTCTCAAGTTGTCTCTTTCAACCAAGGTGGTTGTGGAAGCTGGGGTTTTAAGGGCTTCTGTGCCGTTCAATTTGAGAAAGTCATGGGAACCATATCACAAGGGTGACATCCCACAGAGACCAGCAAAAAGTGAACTTGTGGTCGTCTGACCCAGCACTCCATGCGACCGCGTCGAGGTGGCCCTGTGGACCAAGCCTGCTACAACGCCGCCATCACCGCGTGCGGCAAGGCGTGATTTTTGAATCGGAGAAACCTGGGGCCAGATCTGGGACTCCAAATCTGGCAAACTCAAGCGACCTCACAGGTGCACCGCTTCGGGAAGGTTGGAATTTGGATTTCCGTCGTGGGAGCCATTGCTCGCCGGTGGAGTGTTGAACGCGGCTCACCCGGCTGGGCAATCTTCCTGCTAGACAGCATGAAAATCCAAATGGGCCCGCTATGGATCTGCATTCTTTTTCATGGCACGCTTCTTGGGATTGCTTTTGACTGGGAGCCCCCCTCCCTGAAACCCCTTAGTCTCCTTGGTTTCCTCCAAAGAGAATCGAAAGAACATCGGAACCGAGGGTTTGGGGGGTTGAGAGGAAGGACGTGGTTTGTCTCTATTAAACAAACTCGAATAAGCTTAACAAGCACCCGCTTTCTGGGGCTTTCACCGGGCTTTCATGAGGTAAACTTACTCGAGTTCCTGGGCTTTGATCCCAAGCTCTGGGGCCCGAAGCCCCTTCAGAGCCCCCACTTCAAACCGCGGGAGTGGAGGTCCAAAAATGAGGCGGGCCAGGGCCCAAAAATTTCGGAGGCGTTGGCTTAGGCGTTTTTTTCCTCTCCTGCCAGGGCTTGCGCTGGGATGTGGCGCTGGCGCAGCTTGGGCGGAAGTTGGTTGGTTCGGGTGGCCCCTTTCACCAGCCACTGAAGGCGCCCCTTTCTTTTTATTGGGGAGCCGGTTCGATTCAATGGTTGGGTCTGTTTTAAAATGACTTGAAACATGTTGACTGGACATGGACAGAAACAGCATCGAATTGGGGGCAAACGCTGAGGGAACCGTTGGCGAGCATGAATCCACACGGAAATCCACCAAAGGGTTCTCAGTTGGAGTTCATGTTAGTGATGCCCTGTGATTCATCAGGGGGAGCTTGAAATTAACCCCACCCTCTTGAGTAAGAAGTAGGCTTATAAAGCAGCTGTCAACATTTCGCCCAAAGCTCTAATCAGCGACGGGTGGTTCCTTCACTGTGGCCCTCCATGGTGGCAGACCGAGGGTCGCTTGAACTCTGTCCACGGCGAATCGACAGTTGGTGCATGTTTAGTCCAGGTTCCAGCAGGCTGCCCGGCAAGTTTGCAGAAGGAACCCCCAAAGGGCCGAGAAGAAGTTTCCTGTGGCTCCTTGCTCCAAGTTTTAGTTGAGCCAATGGCGAGGCTGCTTGGGGATCGTGCTGATGCTGTGGGCTACTGTGCGGCCATTACTGCCTGCTGGGGCCCTGTGGACCACGAACGTGCAGCGGGGGGCTTCTCAAAAATGGCGGGCTTCTCAAAAATGGCGCCAGGTAGCCTTCCGTTCGCGAACTCACTCCTTGACTTCATACTTTTGGGAAGACTATTTTAGTGGCCAACAGTTTGGACTTTCGAAAAACCAATCCACTCAATCGGAAGTCAGTCGTTGTGCGTCCCAATTCTAGGGATGCGTCTTGGAAAATGACGTAGAACAGTTTGGCGGTTTCCCAGAATCACGGGAAAAGAATTGAGGATCAACCCGTGAAACTGACAATTGCCCCCACCAATAAAAGGAACGGAGCCTGCCTCGTGCATTCCATGCGGGGTAGCTGTCTCGCCGCCCAGTTGCTGGCACTGGTCGTTGTGGCCCTTGTCAGTTGAGCACTGGCTCGTTAATTGTGTTTGATGTTTGAGCTTGTTCGGTTTCAGGGGTGTGAGAAGCGGTTGGTTCCCACTTCTCTGATGCCAAAGCTCCCCGTGAACCGGAGAATTCGTCATTTTTCGAAGGCCTTCCATTGGTGCAGAAGTGGGTACCCTATCACCAGCTAACATGGAAGTGCACGGACCCCTGTGGAAAGACTACTTTCCTCGTGGAAACGGCCTTTTTGCACTTCCATGTTAGTTGGTGGGAGGGTAATTCCCACAACCCTCTTCGGTTTGGCTTTTTCGGTTTAGCTTTTCCGTGGCGAGGTGAGAAGGGCTTCGAATGGCGCAAGGCGGTGGCATTGCGGCGGCCCTAGGTTTGGTGGGTTTGCGTGCCGGGGGGGGGGGGGGGCGGCTGGTGTAGCTGTGCTTGTGCAAATTATGTGTATATACGTATAAGTGTGTTTTTTCTTTGCATATGTACAGGTTTGTCCCACCCCAAGGAGGCATTGCTCATGCCTGCCAGTTGCCCACATGATGTTCGTCGCCGCTTGAGAGCAACCGCAGCCGTCATGCCACGCTCTAGGGGAATCCGCCCCACCAACATGTTTTGTTGCGCGTTCACAGGCATACCTGGTTAGACTCGCGCTCTAGGGAGCCCATGCCGCCAAAATGATTATGTTCATGTTCACATTCTAGGGCATGCCATCTTAGGCAGGCCACCCTCAAAAACCGTGCTGCGGCAGACCTGTTTTTGTTGCAAATCAAAGCAGCACAGCGGCGCAGCGTCGAAGATTGCTCCTAGGTGTCCGAGACGGCTGAATGTGTATATATATATATATGATTGCCAGCACCCAACGGTCATCAGACAAGCCATATATGTTTGTGTTATAGACTTCCTGTACGTGCGTGCACAGGATAGGATTCCGACAACCCCACTATGGTGTTCCCTCAAGACAAGACCCTTATGAGGCCTTAGCAGGGTAACCAAGACGGTGAGGGGATCGGACTGGGTTGGGATCTCATCAATGCCCATGAGCCTACTTGGGTTAGCAACTTCAAATTCGGGAACCCTGAAGGAATTGGCTGTTTCCCTTGACCTTTTCTTGGTGGACAAGCCCCAAAATAGAAGTATATATAAATATATACACTCGTACGCGAACCCCCCCCCCCCCCAACTGAGCTTGCTTGCGTCAGTTTCACAGCAGACACTCCAGGCCTTTACGATCTATTCAGACCCAAATTTGCAAGGTTTGGAAAGGGGTTGCGATTTTAAGCTAGAAAGTTACACTTGCTCACTACAAACGTTGTGAGCGAAGTACACTTAGGCAGATCCAGCTCAAAAACTGCAACTGTTCAGTACGTGCCTGTACCACTTCTGCCGCCGTGTTTGTTTCTTCTTACCGTTTTGCAGAGAAAGTTAGCAGACCATCAGTTCAGGGTAAAGAACTCATTCTTGTCTAGATTGATTTCGAAGTCTACCATGATTATAGTCCACGTACATTCTAAATCATATGCAAAAAAGCATTTAGCGTTGCACAGAAACATGTATTGAGATTTGTAGATCCAGACCAACCAACCAAACAAAACCTGGGATGTTGGATCCAGGCCACCCCGAGTACACTTTCAAATTGTTGAAAAGACGTTACTTTGTGCGGGGTGCATTCAAGATCCAACATTCCCAACGAACTTTTTTGTGCAATTTGGGATCTTCAATCCAGTCCCCAACAAAACCTTCAAGTGCGTACAAAAACCTGAAGGGGTTGGGTTTTTAATTGATGGAGGCCCTTCTTGTTCGCTCTAGGAGATGCAGAGTTGCACCCTCATGTTTGAGGGGTAAAAAGGAGCAGAAATGTGAAAACAAGTATTGTATGACAGTTATGTTTGACGAGACGGGCCTCCATGTGGAGGGTATCGGTTTTGCCCATGTATAGATATATATATATATACACTCACACACATTCGTATGGTACCTCCCCGCATGGTCAGTATGTACATGTATTACACATGCAACACGTGGATATGCACATGTTTTCAATAGGTCATAGCCCCATGAACCAGCGCGTCGTGGCCAAGGTACAGTCAGATGCTGTCCAGAGAAATCCAGCCCGGGGCCGTTGCCCTGAACGCCGTGTACGCTGGCCTGATTTGACATAAGCGGCGACATGTTGTGGTCTCGCATGGGATGGTCAGGGAGCGTGGGGATATTTGTGATTGTTTTTCATGTGTGAACGGTACTTTGCCTAGAGGCGCAAGCGAAACCCGGGTAGGGTCCCTGAAGGCGGATGTGCCAGGATAACTGCGCTGGACCGGTGCTACCAGTGGGTTCTGGCCTCAATGGGTTTGCCTCCCTTTTGTTTTCTTGTTCAGGCCTCCAGAGACAAACCTCAAGAGTGCATTTGTGAAATGCTATTTCGCAAATGCAGCGCCGTCAACATCGCCCTCGTCTCAGTTGCGGCTGATGTATTGCCCAGAAGAATAACAGACAGCATGGGAAGCGCTTTGTTGCTTCGTGCTCGGAACGTGTTTCTGAATTTGTCGTGTGGACATTGCCTGCAGCAATCCGGCCCATCTCCAGGCTAAAGTCATGCTTGGGGCTGGCTGAAAAATGGAATTGTCCCGCCATTGGAGCTTTCCAAAAAACTGGGCGTGTTCCTTTCGGCCCCTTTCAAACAAGGGTTCCTTGCCCGCTTTTTCCACCACCGGAAAATGGGAGTTGCCTCAAGATGACGGTCCTTCTTGAAAACCCTCCCGACTTCCATAAGTGGATTGGTGTCAACCTTTGGGACCATCTCACCTCCTGAGTCGAGTGGATGAACCAGCAAAAGATGTGAATCCTTAGGGTCGCAACTTGGCCAAGATATGAAACTGCCAAAGTTTCAAAAGTTTCAAACGTTTCAAACGTTTCAAACAAGATATTATCCTTTTGAAAATTCCAAGACATGAAACCCGAGACCTGTCGGGCCGTATGGCCGGCCCGAGCCGATTTCAGATTTCCCAGCGAGGCCCATGCCTTGGCCTGGCCGCAAGCCCCAGTGATGCGGTGTGTTTCTTGGAGACCCCCAGCCGTCCGGTTCCTGAGGTGTTTAGATGTTTGGGGTATGAGTTTGGTTGGGCTTTCCATTTAAGCCACTGAAGTGCCATGCATCAAAAGGCGTTCAAAGGGAACTCTGATCCATGTGAGAGTGTTTGTCTCCAATAGCTTGAGAGATTGCGAGCGCGTGCATATGTGCTCATGGGTGTGTGTGGGTGGGCGGGCGGACGGGGAGCCGTGAATGCTCGCATCGTGCGTGGGCACGCGTGGGTGGGTGGCTGGCTGGCTGGCTGGGTGGGTGGGTGCGTAGGGACTCCCTTATTGCAGGTGTGGATGAAGGCACAGGCGCAGGCGGATGCTAGCGGCTCTTGCTTGCATGGTTGCTCGCGTTCTGGGTGTTGTAAAAGTTGGTAAAGGGCACGGAGAACGAGAATGCTAAGCTAACGCTCAAACAAGCGTGATTAAGCCTACTGATTGATTGTTTGATTTTCTGGGTTGGGGTTGGCGTATGCCTTTTGCTTTGCACCTGATGTGGCAAATGCCCTGACCGCAGTAAGGCTGGAAATGGCAATTCATGCGGGAAGCGCAGACGAGGAGCGGGGAGGGCAGAGCAACGCTTGCATCGGCAGTTTGAGCCTGCGATTGAGCAATTTTAGCCTGAGGCATGTGTTTGTGTGTGTGTGTGTTTGTGTTTGTGTGCGCGCAGACTGCACGAAGTGCAAGCATGGTACGCAAGCGCCAACGCAATCGTTCCTGCAAGCGCCAACAAACGCAATGCAAGCTGCATTTGCAAACGTTAGTTCACACACCCCTGATACAGTGCGAGCGCTGTAAACGAATTCGGTTGGTCGAGGCAGGCTGAGTCGTCTTTGAAAGGGCTGGCTTTGGCACTCTGCAGCCAGGGGGGCTGGATGTCTTAGCCAATTTCTTAGCCTTGTAATGATTTACTAGGCTGTCATCTCGCGGGTGATGAAGGACGCCTTTGCTAAGCACTTCAGGGGCTCAGGCTCAATTTCTTAGCAAGCAATCCCCCTCAAAGAAATTAAAGCCTTTTCTGGTGTTTGAAGGGAACCATTTGTTCGCTGTTTCAAGGGCCCTGGGAGGTGAGTTGGTGTGGTATCTCACCCACACCTTTGCATCCATAAGGCACTGCATTTCTGAGCTGGCACTTCCCTGATGGTCAAGAATGCTTTTTGAGAGCTTTTGGAGCCTTTTGGGAACCCTCCCCACTAAGAAATTGAGCCCCGGGATTTCTTAGCGGGCACTTCCCTTTTGGAGCCTTTTGGGAGCCAGAAATTGAGCCCTTGGATTTCTTAGCTGACACTTCCCTGGTGATCAAATGTGTTTTCTTCATCTCACAAGTTTGCAAAGAAATTGGACGAAAAATCCAGGGCGCTCAATGAGTTAGCAGCAAACGCGGTTGCAATCATTCTTGACTTGGCAATCTCAGCCCCTCAATTTCTTCTACAATGATTTCTTCAATCTTCTATATACAGTGCTCGCGTTGTAATACACAGGAAGCGAAACCCGGACCAAATCATACACGCCCTAGCGAGAGTACATACTGGAACACTAAAGTCGCCGAAAACAGCAACACTAGCAACATCGGCAAGCGCAAGCAAACGGACAAACAAGCCAGCGACAAAACGACCAAACAAACTAAACGAAGACACGCAAACAAAATCAAGTAGATAGACAAACAAGCACGCAAACAACGACCAAAATAGCAATTAATGACATTAAACCAAACAAGCAAGCAAGCAAACCAAACGCGCAAACAAAGAAACGTCACAAACAAGAACAAACAAAATGACTAAACATATAGATAGATAGAAACAGCACAACACATCGCAAACAAACAAACACACAAACAGACAACAAGCGCAGCATAAGCCATCAAACAAACAAGCGAAACCAACAAGACAACACAGACAGCCAAACAGTCAGGCACGAGGCAGGCAAACAAGAAACCAGCCAACCACGTGTGTGTATGTGTGTGTGTGTGTGTTTGTTTGTATTGTCAATTGGGACCTCGGCGAAAATGCAAGGGCCGCTTAGTGTTGCTTTGATAATGGCAAGCGACTCATGAAGGGTTCAGCTGCAGGCTGCTCATACCGCCAGCACGTGTTTGTCAAGACCATCCTGCGTTCATGGAAAGGTTTCTCTTCCAGTTGACAGGGGCGCGCCATGTCAGATGGTTCACTCACCCTACTTGCAGCCGTTCTCTCACAGCAGTGCGCACTCCTGATGGCTCTTATTCAACCACTTTCCACCTTCAAATGGTCCTGCCTGGGCATGCGTCACCCTCGAATTGTGGTTTTCCTTTTGCCCTGTTTGCCAACCTCCAAACGGTATTCTCGAAACCCGCACCCTTACCTGAGTCTCCCAGCGGCCGATTTCTTGCTGCGCAGGTTGCCCTACATGTGAGCCTTTGTGCTTTGGCCACCGCCAGCAAGTGGGCGGGCAGCCAAGTGAATGTGAACAGCCCACGAGTCTGGGGCTGTGTCTTCTTGCGGGCGCCCGCTTTGGTGGCTTTAAAGAGACAGCTAGAGGAAAACCACCATTTTTGGTGAGCTCCGCATTTCTAGACGGCTTCTCTAGGGTCGAAACAAGTTGAAGCCTTTTCTGAGCGAGTGATCTCAGTAGGTGCGATCTTGTGGTGTTTGTGTATATATATATATGTATACAACAAAGCCAACAATTGTGCAGTGAACTGGTTTCACAACGAGCAAGTTGCAAAACTCTTGGGTGTGCAAGGTACATGTTTGCTTTGCACTCAAGACAGTCCATGATAAGCTAAAACCATGTCTGTCCGCATGATCAGTTCGAGAGTTGCTGTGCTCTTCTACCTTTCGTGTCTCCTTCTGCTCAAATGGAAAATCAGTGCAGGGGCAAGTAACAGCGTGAAGTAGTTCTGAAGGGATGCTTCTCTCTGCAAAGGGTCTAGCTTGAGGGTACCCTGTGTTGGGGTTGCCTTCAGGAAACTGAACGGAACCAAGCCCATTGTGGGGCTTCAAGTGAAAGAACACTTCCCCTGCGGTCGCAGAAGTCAAGCGAAAGAAATGCATGCCCCTGCAAAAGTGCCCATTCCGGTATACGGGGGGAGGGCCTTCCAAATATAGATGTTAGTTTATCTCAAATTGACGAGCCAAATGGGTGCTGTTCCTGTGGTGCCCTCAAAATGGCATCCTCCCAAAAAAGAACCCTATGCGGTGCAGGGCCTACAGGTTCCCTTTCAAGGTGTTCAAAGGCCCTTCCAGTGCGAGTTGGGCCCAGTTGTGTAGCACCATGCCATGCGCTTTGTGTTTTGAGGTTTCTACTAAAAGTGGGGGGGGGGGGGGGGAATCAGCATACCGGTAAACGCGCTAGGTGAAAACCCAGAGAAGCCCTTCTGGACAATGCCTCGGCTGGATTTGTGGATTTGACGCTGAGAAGGTACCATCGAAGGAAGTCACACGGGGCGTTTTTGATGCGGAGCTGGGAACAAAACTCTGAGGAGGTTCTGCTCCAGCAGCTCTGGCGCGAGGCATGCCGATGGCAAGTAGGAGGGCAGTTGGTCGTTTTGTTGGAGGGACGGTGATATAACAGGTACCCCGCAAACCTTTTGGGGAGGGCGAGCATATAATGTTATATATATATATATACATACGTTATCCGGTGGTGCCCTTGCGGCTTTGTTGGACGTTGTTCTCTTGAAAGTTAACTACCCAACAAAAAGGGTGCCATTTGGGGCTAAGATATATATATATATATATATATTGGGTTCCATTTTGGCAAGAATCCCGGAAGCCTCCAACATACCTTTTGGGCTGTTCGCAGGGGAACTCCAGGGGTATCCCCAAGGGTATGTCGGGTTCTTCATCTTGTCTTGTAGGCAACTTTGGAGCTGTAGCCACCCAATTCCCTTCGCTCCCCTTGCGAGTGGGGTAGGATATCAGAAGCTTGAAATTGGAACTGTGCAAAATGCAGGAACGCCCCTGACAAAGAATGGGCGTCGCTTCCTTTTGGCTAGCGCTTGGGCCGGTTCTTTTGGCCTTTGAACAGCGCAGGTACATTTGGAGCTGTGGCAACCTAATAGTACTCGTACCCACAAGTGACAATTCGGGCGAATCAGGGCCTCTCGCCAGTCGGCCCTAAATCGGAGGGCGGGTGTGTGTCTGTGTCTGTGTCTGTGTCGTGTCTGTGTCTGTGTCGTGTCTGTGTGTGTTGTGAGAGAGGTGCTGGAGGCGCGCCTGTCGCAAGGTGCCCAGCGCGGAGGTGTGGCCCAACGCGGAGGCCTTCAGCCGGGGCCTTGGCAGCATCCCGCATAGCATCCCAACATTTTCCGGCTTCCCCGTGCTCGCGGTTTCCCTTTGTGGGGAAGACCGGGAAGACTAGATAAATGGAATTGGGGAGCCCCGGCTGTGGAGAGTTTGGATGAGGCGGTTTTTGTTTTTTTTGTGAAAGGGATGCTCAGACTGTTTGGAGGCGAATCTTTCGTCGGATTCGAACTCCCCAACCCCCCGCCCTCACCATTTGTGGTTTGCGTTGCTTGTCTTCGCAAAATTCTAAGGGTTGATTCCTCATTCTGTTCAGCGTTCTTTTCAAGAACCAGCCGTTTTTCCTGGTTTCCAGACGTTTTCTAGAAAGAAGGATTTGTGGAAGGAATGGGGAAGGTACCCCTAGAAAAATGGCTGGGATCGTTGCCAATCGAAAGGCAGCCTGCCCAGGCCAAGCGATGCTCGCATGCTACCGCAGCGGCGAGACAGAGGCGGCTGAGATCTAGTCAAAGTCACTGGTTTGGCCAAACTCTGGTCTTCGGTTGGTGTTTGGCACAAGTTGCCCAATTTCCTATGGCCTCTGTGGCCATTCCTGCGGCCCTGGAAAAAAAATGGAGCAAGTGCCGGGAATGACAGCCGCTTGTCCATCCCATGTGCTTGGTACAGAGGCTCAAAATGTACCGAAATGGCACCTTGGCAATCTTGAATCCCAGCCTGAACCTGATTCATTCTCAGCCTTTACCATTCAAAACTGGGCTTTTTGGGTGCGAGACCCAAGGTCCGAGCCCCACAAAATGTTGGTTGTTCTAAGGGTAGCTTCCCCATTCGTTCCAAGCATCCGAATCTTTCTGGAAAACCTCAAAAACAATGGGAAGCAGCTGGTTCTCGAAAAGAACGATGGTTGAAATGAATGGGGAATCAACCTCTAGAACGGACATCGTGCAGGGGAGCGAGATCAGCTCTCTGGCATTTGCCGAACGGATTGCGAGCTTATTGGAAGGAAATGTGTCCCTAAAATAGACACGGGGTCCCAGTCCAATCTGTTTTTTCTTGCAGTTTCCATGTTTTTGACACCTTCCCTTCCATCAATGTGTCCACGTGCCATTTTCCAACCAGCTTCCCACAACCCCGCCTCCAGTTTCCCACCAGACCTGTTGTGCCGTTTTTCAGGTCGTTTCCCAGGTGTTCGTGCCGTTCGGGTCGGGCTCCAAGCTCCAAGTTTCCAAATTTGGGTTTTCCTTTGGGCTGTCCTTTTCGGCGTCGCTTCGGGAGGTGTGGCCCTCCTGCCTGCAGCTCCTGGCCGCCGCGGAAAGCTCCCAGCTGGCGCTGGGCGCCACCGAGCGTGGAAGCCGAAGGGCTGAAGGGGAGAGAGAGCTTGCGGTTGGGCAGGGACCTGAAAGAGCTGTGGGATGGCGTGTCCTTGGTGGTTTGGTTGGACTATAATAAAGGGCCCTGCCTCTTTTTTTATTGTTTTTCATGTTTTTTTTCTAACCGGGTGGTTGAAAAGCAACTGCCGGACCCCGCAATTGTCCGGAAACAAATCGCACCTGTGCCTGTGGGCTTGTCTCAAAGATGTGTGCCTTGGTCAGACCCGATTTCTAGGGATTGATGACCAGGGATGGTCATCTACCTGGTGAGGGGCCTTAACCATAAAAAGGGTTCCTATTTAGAGAACCATGACCATAGGCCATATGGACCCCCTGATTTGTATTTTGTTCTTTTTGCTTGCACCCAGACGCCCATACTGTGTTGTGTCCAAGAGGACGGAAAAAGGGCATTGCTTGAATAGTAGGTTGAAGCAAATGGAAAATGCAAGGCCCAGCCAGAAATATTGCATTCTTGGGCTCGCCAGACCGGGTGTTTCGGGTGTTTCATGATTCAAAGCATCACACATTCTGCTCGTTTGCTGTCTCAGGTCCTGCATCAAGGTATAGCCCAGTGGATTTCACCCTCACCCTTTTTGCTGTGAAGGATTTCCCTATCCAACAATAAACAAGGTGCCATCTTTGCCCACCAACCTTTCAGTAGGGCAGAAGCCCTTGCTGCTGATATATGCAAGGTTGTCCATGTCCTGGATGATGTTGTATGAAGAGACCCCGAGTTTCGACGTTGAGCAGCACGTTTGGATTCGCTCAGTGCCCTGAAGCTTACTCTTTCTGGCCATCCAATGAAAGAATGTTGTGGATTGCAGAGCATACGTTCACTGCCTGATGAAACGATCCTTGGCTAGCTCGCCAAAGTGCAACACAGCAACCTCCAGGGAAGCAAACCACATCACCGGCATCGAGGTATGCTTGCGCTGCCCGCGCCTGCGGCAGAGGCCATGTGCGCCAGTTGAGATGAAGTAGCGCTACTATGGCGAGCTCTTGGTAAAATGAGCTCACCCAGGATCAAGGTCTGTCCATAACTGGAGGGCGCCCTTGTTCCAGTGATCCAACATGCACTTGAAAACACGGGGGTGTGATGGGAACGCATCACGACCCTTTTTCCGCACTCTTGGCTTTCTGGGCCCTTTTTTCTTGGAGGAGATGGAGTTAAGATGTTGCACTTTGTGCGCTGTCCATCCATCATGCTCATCACCCGCATAGAAGGTCACACAGGTGCCTGACTTGAACAACCATCCGAGCGTCAACTGTCACGATTTGACAACGCAGAACAAAGAGCTCAAGTAAGTGTCAGGTGTTCTCCTTGAGATTGTCGTTGGTGCAAGACGGAAGCTGACTTAAGGAGGGATTGCAATTTTGACCCAGCGGCTCGGACCAACATGAGATGAAAGCCTAGCAAAAGCCAGAGGGTAGAGGAACCTCCATGCTAAATAAAAGATGCCCTAGGTCCCGAGGGGGGGGGGTATCCCAAACCTGCCCTGAAAAAGGGACACCCTGTTCATCAACGAGGAGGCTTGATTCCCATTAGCGGACATTTGCAACACCGGGACTTTCCCGATTCCAATCAGAAAAGAATGACGGCCATATGGGTGTGTTCTCAAAATATCGATGCCTTACGGTTGGTTCCTGGGGGCTTCCCTTTGAAACAAACCAGACCAACCGAGGTGTCAACGAGGTTTAGCAAGCTCCCATATGAGATCAACTCATATTCCAACGGGTGGCAGCGCTAGGCGGCGTATCCTTTGGGCAAAGCAGCAGGGCACTCGGCGCAGACAGCAAGTGCCAGTGCGCAGACAGCAGCAGGGGCGGGCAAATGGCCCCCATTCAAGGGAACCAAAGCCAGGCTGTGTAAACCGTACTAGTAAGGCCAAAAGGGAAAATCGTGTTTTGGGTTTTCCGACCCAAATCAAATTGAACACCAACCCCCCAAAGTGTGGCGTGCTGGTCTTTGAACCCTGGCCAGTGTCTCAATATCATGCGACCAAGGTTCCTCCCCAGGGGTTTTGCCGGTGGTAAGACATCCTGAGTCCACAGAAGACTGAAGGAGGGGACCCAGGGCGAACCTGCATGCGGTTGTCAGGTGTGCTGCATCCCAATATCGGAGGTGTGTTGTTCTTCAAAGGGGTGAACCTTTCCAGAACCCATTTTGCCGAAATGTCCGTGTGAGCAGCAGACAATACTAGCGGCGTATGATTCTGCGGGCAAAAAATCCGCATGCTTCCGGGGATCCGAAAGCGAACCGAAACGGCACAGACAGGCACAGACAGGCACAGACGAGCAGACAGGGAAGCCACACGCACAGTTGCATGCAACGCCTTCCAGCGCACATGGCTGTGGGTCAAAACCAATGGTACCATTTTGGGCTAGGTGCACCACCCATTCTAGTCTATTTTAGTGGGGATTGGGATGTTCACTGGTATGGGATTTTGACCCATGGCCACATGTCTTTTTTATTCAAAGGCGTTGGAGCAAGCCTTTCCAAGTTGAATGCCGCATCAATCTTTGGTGCCAAGTCGTCTTAAGACACAACACCCCAGAAAGGTTCTCACATCCCTGGGAAGATGTCCTTAAACTTGTTTGGAGTGTGGGGGGCCTTGAGTTAAGGCTTGTTCATCTTGAATCCCTATATGGCAGATTCACCTGGGGGAGGAAAACCCAAATGTGGAAGGTTCTTGATTCCGGGGGTCCGACCTACGAAAGAGAAGCCGGCGAGAAACTCATCCAGCGATCCGGCTCAGGCGATTTCCAGCGCCCAGGAGCCGAGGTCTCGCGGGGGCCGAGCCGAAGGGCACTGGGTCCATTCGATGTTCGGAAGCTGCAAGGAAGCAGCTGGGGCCAGGACGAGGATTACTTCTTTGCCAGCAAGAAAGAGTCAAGGGATGCTTGTGAGCCATGCATGTGCGACAACATTCTTGGAGGAGCGTCCTCTTTCGGAAGGTAGGCTGAGTGAATGAACCACGCAGTCCTCGCCCCCAATCACTGGCGCATGCTGGTTTTTCAGCAGCCCAGTTGGGACAACCCCCTTTTGGGTTCCAAGTTACCATCGTTTCTCACGCACCACGTTAAAGCCCAGGGGTCATGTTCTGCTAAACAGATTGCATGGCAGACTCAGCGGGGGAAAAAAGGCCCGCAGGACTCAAGACCTTGACATTTCCCATGGAGATTCTTTCTATTGGGTGTGGTACCCAAGGCACATCAAAGGCTGAATGTATGCGTGTTGAATCCCGGGATTATGCAACCCTTGGGGGTCCAAAATGGCCATGGTTTCAAAAATGAACCCGACGCCTTATTAGCCCAACCCCGCGTTCGGCAGGTCTCAGAGATGACCAACGCACTTGCCTGGGCCAACGAGGCAACCGCCGACAGGTCCCTGGTCATTCCATATCGAGGAATCATTTTACCATGCTAGCGAAACACGTTCAATGGAGAGGATATCATATATTGAATAGATGATTCATTTAAGTCACGAGTTGATAGCTACGTACAATCTAACTGTACTTACCCCCCTCCCGTGGACCCTGGTCTCCCCCTCCCATGGACCAAATCTAGAATCTCAACATTTATGTTCTCGAAAGTTCTAATTGTCCAGCCCGGAGTCTCTACAATGTCTTAATGTAATACCCTTTCCAAATAGGATATTATTTGAATTTGTAATTTTAATGTATTTTTATTAAACGGAATTTGGAATTTTAATTGTAAATAATATTGTTAAATTGATTGATGATTATGATATTTAATATTTTGTTATGAAACATATATTAAATATAATTTATGAAAAACATGTTTTTTAATTTTGGTTTTGTAGGAAATGGTAATTTGAGGAAAATTTGAAGGAACTTAGAAATATATGTTAAATTTTATTTAGTTTGATGATTATTATATGTTATTATTGGATTGAATATTATAGAAAAAATGATATTTAAAGAATGTTTATTTGTTATATATAACTTGAAGATATTAGAATTTTAGATGAATTAAAATGATAATATAATTAATATATTTGGATTTTGTTTTTATATATATTAAAAATTATTTGGAGGTATTGGGATATTTATTGAATAGGTTTGGTTAAAATATTTTATTGATAATATATAGGGTATTAAAAATTTGTGATTCGATATGTTGATGATTTAGATTTGTTTTGAAAATATAAATTATAAGGTTACATTTTATTATTTATAATTAAAATAATAATTATGTTATTATAATATTATTCGGATATTTTTTTTTTAATTTTTGTATAGATGAAGATTGTATATTTTTTTTTTTAATTTTTATATAGATGAAGATTGGTTTGCATTTATTAAATGTTATTGATATGTTTATTTATATGTATTTTTGAAAGATTAATGAGGGTAGAATGGTCTGTTATGAATAATTTAATTGGAAATTGTTATAAATATTGGGAAAAGGGAAATTATTATAAATGTCGGGAATTCGTCGGCAAGCTATCGAAAAATCATCGGAAAGTTACTGGACACGGCAAACCATGGAATATGGAAAGATGTTAGGGCATGTGTTTACTTGTGTTTTAGGATTGTTTATGGCAATTGCATCTTTTATTTGGTGGTTATTTCGGTATATGGACTAATGGTTAATGGTTTGGATTTTGTTTTCAAATGATAGGGTTTGTATGCCCGAATAGCTGGGAGGGACCCAATTTTGAAAGCAATTCCCCTCCTTATTCTTACTTTGAGGATCCGATACCAAACGATGCCTCGAAAAGAAAGAGAGGGGGATCCCCTTAGCATGGGCATTTTCCATGTGAAACGAGTGTTTTTTCGAATTGGGGAGTTGTATGCAGATATGTGTGTATATATTTTTTGACCGCGATCTACGCTGCAATTTTGGCCAGCTAGAAAGCATCTCATCTATCTGCATCCTGCACTGAGCCGTCCCACCCTCCACTCTGGGCTAAGATGGCATTTGCAGCAGAAGACATGACCTACGAGGATCTTAAGGAGATGGTGGATGGCTACCTATGCCGACCTTGCACCGCAGTAGTCGCTTTGCAGAGCTGTTCCTGCTGGAGCTCCTATGTTGTAAATCTTCTGGCAAGCTTCATATGTTAAACGAATTTTTTTATCTGAATTTTGTTCTGTTATCACCTTATTACCTGCAATTTTGAGAGGCCCTGCTCCTACATCTGCCCAACTAACAAACTGGTAACTTTCTTCAGCTGCCTGAACTTAAGCAACTTTCAGATAAGACCAATTTCTTGCTTGGATTTTTGGCCCAAAGTGGGACTTGATCACTCGTGCCGATTACTAGTGAGGATCGTTTCTTAACTAGCATCTCTGTATCTGCAACCAAATGTGCATCTTGAATCTCAGCAACTGGAGCAAGCGCCTAGATGCCAGAGCTTTCTATCAATATCCTGGAAGGTGAGCTGGGCCCGAGCCTGTTCTTCAACTGGTGCTAGGCGAGTAGTCTGATCTTTGCTCAAGTAAGCTGCACTTAGCCATTGGATTAGCTTCTCTACATAAGAACCTGCATACTTTAAGCTCTGCTGGAGCTTGGTCTTTCTCTGCAGGGCACAGTCAGCTTCTTGCAGCCAAGCTTTCCTTTGCATCTCATTTCTGCAAAGCTCTGCCCTAACCATGCATCCCTCTGCCCTTGCAACCAGAAGGGCAAAGAACTCTTTCAGCAGCTTATTAATTGAAACGTTGTGACTATAACTCCTTTCTTTCTGCAACCACTTGCCAAGTTAAGAGATCTCTCTACTAAACTCTCTCTTTCTCCCTCCATTAGCTGCTCTAGCAAACCTCTTCTGCAATCTTCTAGCCTTTGTGTGCTCATCTTGAATTTTCTCCTTGCAATTGCCCAAGCTTCTGCTTTTGAGGCTGAGACTCTTCCAGAATCATCTGAATCTCTTCACTAAGCTTTATCTTCTGAAAGGCAAAAAGCTCTTGCTTCCTGGAAGGATCCGTCTCCTTCTTCCTGTTGCTTAATTGCCCACCTGTAGTTCTTCATGCTCTTCTAGAACTGGAGGCTTGCCACCTTCTTGCTTCCTAGAAGGATCCGTCTCCTTCTTCCTGTTGTTTACCTGCCCACCTGTAGTTCCTCATGCTCTTCTAGAACTGGAGGCTTGCCACCTTGTCTGCCTGTTACAGCTTCTTCTGGGTCTTCTTTCTCTAGCTCTACTAACTTCTGGAGGTAAGCTGACTTCACTAGTGCAGCTTCTTTCTGCAGCTTGCTCTGCTGCTACCTCTGATATGGAACTACCCTGTTAGATAGCATAGGTTCTATCTCCTTGGCTTGCAACTCTGGTGTTCCAAAAAATTTCTTTACGCTGAACTGTTTTTTCTCCAAGCTAGCTGGGCTGGGGCTGGGTGCAAGCTGGCTTGAAGCTAAGGACTCTGTCGGTCCTTGCTATCACCTGAAGCTGTGTTATCGGGCTGGCCATACCTTTGGTTTTCTTGTTGTTTGGTGTTTGAAAACCTTCTAAGCCTTGCAGAGCTGTCCTGTGTTGAAGCTTTTGCAGCAGGCAGCCTTAGAAACATCGAGAAATCAAAAGAAGGTGTCCAAAATCCAAAAAAAAAAAGAGAGAATTCGAAAGAAACTATCCAAAAAAAAAAAACATCGAGAAATCGAAAGATTTTGTCCAAAACCGAAGGAAACCTCGAGAAATCGCCAACAAAAACAATTTGGCCAACAGAATGTTTATATAATACCAGCACGATGTCCCAGATTTTTTTATTGGTTTTTTCGATTTCTCGAGGTTTTTTTGGTTTTGGACAAAATCTTTCGATTTCTCGATGTGTTTTTTCGATTTTTGGATAGGAGCCTGACATCTGCAAGGGGGGGGTAAGGTGGAGAATTGTTTGCATAATACTAGCATATTGTCCCAGAATCTGTCGATTTCTCGATGTTTTTTTCGGTTTTGGACAGGAGCCTGACATCTGCAAGGGGGGTAAGGTGGAGAACTGTTTGCATGATACCAGCACATTGTCCCAGAATCTTTCGATTTCTCGATGTTTTTTTTTCGGTTTTGGACAGGAGCCTGACATCTGCAGGGGGGGGGGGGGGTAAGGTGGAGAACTATTTGCATAATACCAACATATTGTTCCAGAATTCTTTTTTTCCTCGGTTTTGGCCAGAATGCAGCAAAATTAGGTGTGTGCAAAAACCCAACGCTCACAGGGTCCCTTTCTAAAAAGAAATGGGATATTTAATGATAGGAAGACTAATAAAATATATTATTAGTATATATATATATTTTGTTTTTATATATCGTATAATTTCATTTATTAGCTAGCCATAAAGATATCTTATTCATTCCCGTTTATTTTTCTCCCTTAATTCATATTATAGAACGAGAATGAGAAAGAGAGAAAGCGCGAGAGAGAGGGTAAGAGGGAGCGATAGAGACAAAATGAATGGATGAAACCGAGAAAAAAACAAGACCTTACCAAAAACCCACAAGCAACATCAGCAGAGTCCATCCACAATATCACAAAGCAGCCACTTGGTAAGTGATTGATAACCCTGGTTAATAAGACCTATAGATCTGTAGGAATTACCCTCCAACCCACTTAGGGACAAAATCTTCATTGAGGATATTAAACATTTACCAAATGAATCACAATCAAAGCCCAATCTACCCAAAACTAGACAAAAAAAGAACAAAAGGACGGAGAACGCCAAATTATAAAATGGATTGTCCACTACTAAATTTCATTTTATCGGGATTTGATTCTGACTCATCTGGGATGTCGAACCACTTACCAAATACTTTCAGGTGCCATGTTGTGTCAAAATAGGGCCCCCAAAGAAGTGGTTTTCCTTCTAGCTTTCCTTTAAACCAACCTGAAAGGGGTACCTTCATATGATAAACTCACAATGTGGGTGGTTTCTAAACTTTGGGACCCCTTATCGGTGAGGGCTAGTGGAGGGAGGGCAAATGGTTGCTAGCCATCCACACCCCCTCCCTCCCCCCCACCACATAAAAAACAACTAAGAACACATCCAAGTACACCCCCACCAAACCCACCCTTCCCCCCCCCCAAACCCTCCTCACCTAAACTCTCTCGCGCCTCGAGGGAGCGCAAGAGTACAAGAAGGAACATAATAAAGATCATAAAAATAAACCCGACAAATAATACGAGAGATTGCAAGAAAGAAAGAGATAACAAGAGAGGGAGAGAACGTGAGGAAGAGGGGGAGAGCACGAAAAGAAAAGAATACGAGAGACAGAAGGCGAGAAAGAGAGAATATAAATCTATTTTACCTAGATTAAATTCAAATCGGATTAAATATTTTGTTCATAGAATTTTATTTATTTTATTTCGATCTAAATATTTAATAATATATATATATTATATAATATTTAATTTATATTTTATAGAATTTAGATATTTAAAATCTAAAAATAACGAAATATTTATATTATTTATTATATAAATTAAATA